TGAGGTTTACTAGAGAAAGAAAACAGAGAGGTGGGGCCGGCTCTGTGGCACAGCGGGTTAATGCCCTGGCCTGAAGCACTGGCATCCCATACAGGCGCTGGCTCTAGTCCCGGTTGCTCCACTTCTGATCCAGCTCTCTGCTATGGCCTGGGAAGGCAGCAGAAGGTGGCCCAAGTCTTTGGGCCCCTGCACCAGCGTGGGAAACCTGGAAGAAACTCCTGGCTTCAGATCGGCACAGCTTTGATCATTGCAGCCAATGGGGCAGTGAACCATCGGATGGAAGACCTCTTTCTCTCTCTGCCTCTCCTCTCTCTGTGTAACTCTTTCAAATAAATAAATAAATCTTTTTTTTAGCATCTCTCTCTCTCTCTCTCTTCTCTTTTTTTTTTTTCTTTCTTTTTTTGACAGGCAGAGTGGACAGTGAGAGATAGAGAGAGAGAAAGGTCTTCCCCCTCGCCGCTGGTTCACACCTCCAGTGCTGACGCAGACTGGGCGCGCTGCGGCCGGCGCAACCGCGCTGATCCGAAATCCAGGAAGCCCAGGTGCTTCCTCCTGGTTTCCCCATGCAGAGGGTTAGGGCCAATCAATTTTGTCATCCTCCACTGCCTTCCCAGGCCATAGCAGAGAGCTGGCCTGGAAGAGGGGCAACTGGGGACAGAATCCGGCGCCCCGACCGGGACTACAACCCGGTGTGCCGGCGCCGCAAGGTGGAGGATTAGCCTATTGAGCCATGGCGCCGGTAAATAAATAAATAAATAAATCTTAAAAAAAAAATAGAGAAGTGGACATTTGGTGCAGTGGTTAAGATGCCACTCGGGACACCTGCTTCCCATATTGGAGTGTCTGGGTTCGAGTCCAGCTCCTCTCTTCATTTTTGCTTTCCCCATAATGAATACCATGGGATGCAACAGGTGGTGGCCCAAGTACTAGGTTCCCTGCTACCCAACACAGGGTACATGGATTCAGTTCCTGGCTTCTGGCTCTGGCCTGGCCCAGCCCCAGCTGGCAGGTATTTGTGGAGTAAACACTGGATGGAAGATTGTTGCCTGCCTTTCGAAGAAATTAAATTACAAAATAGGTACTGAAAAGTAACAAAAATGACTTTTAAATGAGTTTCTAGCAGGAGTAAGAATTGAGAAAATCTGAAGTATTTAGTCCTCATTTAGGTTTACCTCTCTTGTGTCCCCGTACACCCCAATTAAAAATTATCTGAAGGATCTTCAAGCTCTAAAATGTGAAATAATATGCTTTTTAAAAAAGGTTTATTTATTTGAAAGAGTTACACAGAGAAGGAGAGGCAGAGAGAGAGAGCGAGAGAGAGGTCTTCCATCTGATGATTCATTCCCCAGTTGGCCCCAATGTCCAGAGCTGCGCTGATCCGAAGCCAGGAGCTTCTTCCAGGTCTCCCACGCAGGTGCAGGGCCCCAAGGACTTGGGCCATCTTCTACTGCTTTCCCAGGCTATAGCAGAAAGCTGGATAGGAAGTGGAGCACCCGGGTCTCGAACCGGCGCCCATATGGGATGCCGGCGTTTCAGGCCAGGGTGTTAACCCGCTGAGCCACAGCGCCAGCCCTGAAATAATATGCTTATGATGGAATTTGAACAGGAGACCGCTGATTCAAAGGGGATAATTGAATTATGTCCTAGGTTCTGACAACAACTTAGATAGGATTTCAGAAATGCTGGGGGAAAAAAATGTTCCTAAGAGAGTGAAAGTGGGCACTTTCCCAAGTTTTAAGGTAGGTCTCAGAAACTAACAGGGGAGAGCATTGTGGCCTAGTGGGCGGGGCTGCCCTTTAGGTCATCTACGACCCTTGTTCAAGCGCTGGTTTGCATCCTGGCTACTACTACGCTTCCAATACAGCTCCCTGCTGATGTGCCTGGGAAGCAGCAGATGATGGCTGAATCGTTGCCACCAATAGGAGAGACCCAGATAGAATTTGTTGGCTCCTGGCTTCAGCATGGCCCAACTGTGGATGGAAAATCTCTCCCTTCCCTTCTTTGTCACTCTGTCTGCCTTTCAAATAAATAAATAAGTACATTAAAAAAATTACTTGGCTTTACCTAAAACTTCAGAAGCTGGTATATTTTCACTAAAACATTTGTACAATAAAATACTTATTATTTACTAATTATGAGATGTAAATCTCTCATCTTAAGCCCTCATCTAGTGAGAAACATACTGTATAACTATAATTAGTTGGGTAAGTCCTTTTAAAGTGATAGAACAGTGCGATGCATAGCAAGAAATAGTGCCTGAAATCAGTCTCATTACTGTTTTGACAGCACTGATAAGCTGATAGCACTGCAGTCACGACTCAGCAGGTTGTTTTAATAAGGCTTCATGGTATTTTTGTGCTTCTATCAATTCAACAGACATTAGGTACAGTTATACTGTGCTGGGGAAAGAGGATATGGTCCCTGTTCTCCAAGTATTTTGTAGTGGGAGAAACAGCGAAGTCTGAATGATTACAGTGTGGCTACACAGTAGTTTGCCTGAAGGAAGGACAGGGTGTGATTGGAGCAAACCAGGGGGATATAGATAAATCTAGTGGAGGGTGGGTGGTTTCTTAGGGATAGGCTCCTTAGCAAGGTAATGCTGGACCTGAGAATTACAGGACACAGAGGAGTTTATTACGTAAAGAGATTGAAAGGCATTCTGGACAGGAAGAATGCTGGGGGACAAGATCCTCGACTAGGGAGAAAAATCTGAGAAACGCAGTTCCAACTGACGAAAGTTGCCACGCCAGGATAAGAGTTCCGTCTAGAGCGAAGATAGACCATGAAAGTCTCTCTTTTGAGTTGCACCCTAGGGAAATGGAACTTTACTTCAAAGCAGGCCAGTGCTTTAGTAGCTGTGTTCATTCATGATTGGTGGCAGTATAATTAGTATACTTGACTCGTAGTAAATATTCTAATTGTGTTTTTCTCTTTTCTTCCTCCAATGTGATTGAAAAATGGTTAAGGTGGAAAAGAATGAATTAAAGTAAACAGTCAGGAGAATGTTTATCCAGGAAGGAATGTTCTCTTTTGACTTAAAATGTAGGAACTATTCAACATTTTTCATCAAATCCAAGGCACTAATACTTAAGACATCAGTGGTTCATGTGCCACATAGAAAATGAACCCATTATAAGATGCCCCAATTTGGGGCATGTTAAAATGTGAAAAAGTTATCAGAGAATTAGTGAAAAATAATTTTTTGTGGCTAGAAATGGTAATGGGCTTCAATATCATATTGGCCTTAAAATGAGATTATTTTCTCAAACTTTTTCTCTGGCTGCATGCTTTTCAAACATTTTTAATCACAAAAGTAGTAATTATATTACAGTCCTTTGACAATCAAATGTGATATAAGGACAATTAATTTGTAGGATTATTTGCCACTTGAGAAGAGAATCTGCCTAATTTAAACATTAGGGCTGCACAGTCTTTCTAAAAATTGTGGCGGGCATTTGGCACAGAGGTTGCTGCTTGGGATGCTTGGTTCAAGTCCTGGCTCCTCTGCTCCTGATCTAGCTTTCTGTTTATGTGCACCCTGGGTGGCAACAGATGACATTCAAGTCGATGGGTCCCTGCCACCTACGAGGGAAACCTGGACTGAGTTCCTGGCTCCTGGCTTCAGCCTGAACCAGTCCCAGCTGTTGGTGGGCATTTGGGGAATGCACTAACAGATGATTTTCTCTTTCTGTCTCTCTGCCTTTAAAATAAAATGAAAATAAATAAAAGTTTTAAAAATTGATTTGATAGTAGTTAAGGGGGGTTGGTGGTGTGGCCTAATGGGTTAAGCTGTTGCTTGTGACTTCGGCAGCTGCTCTGAATGTTGTTTCAAGTCCTAGCAGCTCCATTTCTCAGCCAGCTCTCTGCTAATGCACCTGGGAAAGCAGTGGAAGATGGTCCAGGTTCTTGGGCTCCTGCACCCACATGGAGATCTGGATGAAGCTCTTGGCTCCTGGCTTTGACCTGGCCTGGCCCCAGCTGTCTTGGCCATTTGGGGTGTGAACCAGCGAATGGAAAATCTGTCTCTCCCTCTTTTTCTCTCTTTCAAATAAATTCCCCTTTTCTTTAAAAAAAAAAAAAAAGTCATCATGAGAGGAAGCAGTACACTTGATAGCTTACAGACCAATGGTGCAGGGTCTATATAATTATTCTATATATAGTCTGAGTCTATATAACTATTATCAAAATTATTTCATTGACAAACGTTATTTTAATGATTTGTCAGGTGGAAACAAAGTCAGAAACACTGAAACGCACATTAGTGCTTTTCTTCCTCTGCTGATCTATTTTGAAAGCCAGACCTTATTTTAAAAGAGATTATTCATCTGTTAAAGCCTTGCAAACTGTAAAGTATTATTTAGCATTGATACTTGGTAAATAGAAGGTCCCAAACACATGTTGATTTAACTAGGTAGAAGAAACAGCATGTATTTTAGACCTTGAAGAGGTTTGGGCTCTCTTTCCAGAAGTACCAGATACTCATAATTTTGAACAGATTCCAGGGAATTCCTGAAACCACATCCTACGAATCTATGGACCCTAAGTTAAGGACGCTGAGAGGAAGAGGTCTGACTTCGGACGGCGCTGGTGGGACATCGAGAGACTTGAGATTAGATTTCCTTTTAAATTCTCCGCCACATCCTGGGATTCTGGAATTCTGGTGCTGAGAGGACCTACTAGGGGAAGATTTAAAGAAGCGTGCAGACTGGTTATGTAGTGTTCCGGTCAAACAATAGTGGGGACAACATTAACATCTCTTACACACGCGTTGTGTGTTCTGAATGCCTCGATAATCCTGTGATGAAGTTCCTGAAGCTCCGAGGGGGCTTAGTAGCTTGTCTAAAAGGACACAGCTCTGGAAAAACGATAGAATCCTTAGTCCAAACCGTCGGAGCCGAAGCTGGGCAGGGAACAGCTCGGGCGGAGGAAGGGGCGGGGCCGCGCACGCGCACGCGCACCGGCGCCCTGGCGCCGTCGGCTCTGGGTTTCCTCTTGCAGCTACTCTTCCTTTCAGTCCAGTACGGTGGCCGACGGGAGCCAGACGCTGGGGATGAATGAAGGAGCTGGGTGCAGGTTGAAAAAGTCTCCTCGGCTTTTCCCTTCCTCCAGTCTGGGTTCTGCCCTGGTGCGGTGTTCCCGTCCTGCCCCCGTCTTGCCCACCGCCCGGTCGGTCCCGGCGTCTGAGCGCTTGGTGCCCAGATCGAGTCGGGCACAGCTAGGGTGTGGGGATTCGGATTACCGCCTAGGCCCAACTTCGGACCGCGCTCTCGATTTCTGCCGCGGCCGCCTGTAGGACGCAGAATCCCAGTGGGGTCCCGTGAGGCTTGGAGGGTAGATCTTCAGGTATGAAGCGTCCGCTTCTCAGGCCTCAGCGCGTTCCCCGGTCTTTGTCGGCGACCGGCTAGACTTCTCTCAGCCCGAGGGACTGGCTTCTGGTTCTGTCCGGGGCAGGACCGGTCTTGGCGCCTCTGCCCCGGCAGCCCAGCCCTCTGTTCAAAGACCAGCTCCTCCTGCTTCAGAGCAAATCAGCGTGGCTGCCCACGCCTCGCACCCACGGTGCTGCCAGTCGGTCGGTCTTAGGGGATGGCTCTGGCTAACTGTTGCTTTTTTTTTTTTTTTTTTTGATGACTCCTGAGGACAGGCAGCTGCCCGAGTGGCGCTCGTCTTTCCCCGTGGCACAGCTCCTTGCACCTACACGTGTGCTTTTTATCCATAACGCAGGGGGTGTAGGGAAGAGTAGCCCTTAGAGCCGGGATGTGCCGTGGCTTGTAGCCAGCGAGGTGATTCTCCAGCGTTTGCACTGGGGGAGGACGGGGAGAGAAGCCGCAGCTCCTTACCCATGTCGGAGAGGCTGTGAAACCAGGCGGGTGGGGCAAGAGGAGCCGCCTTAGCTGTGGCCGCTCGCTTAGCTTTTGTGGCGCTGGGGGGACTAGTGCAGCGGTTTTAGAGAGGGCTCGAACAGGGATTTGGTCGATGACGGCTGAGCCTTGGATTTTGCCACTAACTAGTTGTAGTACTTTGGGCCTGTTCCTGTATCTCACCAGACTTCGTGTTCTGTGGAAAAGGCTAGAAGAGGCATTAAAATTCTCTATTTTCTTATTTCCCAGGTGGCAGTAGGAAGAGAGGCAGACAGAAAAAGCCTTGTCTTTATTGGTGTCCGGAACGTTGCCAGTTGAGGGGCCTGTGACAAGTGTACCACATTCCCAGGGTTTTTCAAAAGAAGGTGTTCACACCACGTGGACGTTCTACCCCAACTCTCTCTCTTTTTGTCACTAGGATCCACAGTGATGATGACTGAGTGTGCAAGCCTTCAGTTTGTCAGCCCTTTCGCTTTCGAGGCAATGCAGAAGGTGGATGTGGTGCGCCTGGCGTCTTTAAGTGATCCGGAACTAAGACTTCTCCTGCCCTGTTTGGTACGGATGGCGCTTTGTGCTCCTGCTGACCAGAGCCAGAGCTGGGCTCAAGATAAAAAGCTCATCCTCCGCCTTCTGTCCGGAGTGGAAGCCGTCAACTCCATCGTTGCGTTGCTGTCGGTGGACTTCCACGCTTTAGAGCAGGATGCCAGCAAGGAGCAGCAGCTTAGGTAACGTTCCGTTATGAACCGGGCAGATCAGGATGTACTTAGATTGGCTGAGGAATAGGGCATCGGTGGTTTCTCAGAGCTTGGAGAGCTCCTCCAGAAAACAGAATGAGAATGTAAACTTCAGAGACTATTCTACTTAGGTCTTTTCTATTTGTAGTTAAAATCCTAGGGTCTTTAAAAATATCGTGTAGAAGTTTGGCCTTATTCTGTTGTCCGGCTAAACTGATGTGGCCAGTTACTTTGTGGGAAGTGTTTAGGGTAACTCCCTCTAGATTACAGGGATGTATTACAGGATGTATTAGAATCATTTGGGCAGCTTTTTAAACTTTTTTTTAAAAAGATTTATTTATTTATTTGAAAGTCAGAGTTACACAGAAAGAAAGGGAGAGGCAGAGAGAGAGAGAGAGGTAGATCTTCCATCCACTGGTTCACTCCCCAAATGGCCATAATGGCCGGAGCTGTGCCAATCTGAAGCCAGGAGCCAGGAGCTTCCTCCGAGTCTTCCCATGTGGGTGCAGGGGCCTGAGGACTTGGGCTGTCTTCTACTGCTTTCCCAGGCCATAGCAGAGAGCTGGATCAGAAGCAGATGGGGGCCGGCGCCACGGCTCAATAGGCTAATCCTCTGCCTTGCGGCGCCGGCACACCAGGTTCTAGTCCCAGTCGGGGTGCCGGATTCTGTCCCGGTTGCTCCTCTTCCAGGCCAGCCCTCTGCTGTGGCCAGGGAGTGCAGTGGAGGATGGCCCAGGTACTTGGGCCCTGCACCCCATGGGAGACCAGGAGAAGCACCTGGCTCCTGCCATCGGATCAGCGCGGTGTGCCGGCCGCAGCGTGCTGGCCGCGGCGGCCATTGGAGGGTGAACCAACGGCAAAGGAAGACCTTTCTCTCTGTCTCTCTCTCTCACTGTCCACTCTGCCTGTCAAAAAACAAACAAACAAACAAACAAAAAAGAAGCGGCCTTATGGGATTCCAGCACTGCAGGCAGTGGCTTTATCCGCTGTGCCAAAGAGCTGGCTCCCAGCTTTTTAAACTTTTGCTGGTTCACAAAGGTTCTGGGTAGATGTTATGTCCTTCTCCCCCAAACTCCTCCATAATGAATCCAAGAGTAACCCACTAGTTTTAAGGGAAGTGATTGTTTACTATCAGTTGTGATGGAGTCTTTATGTATGTAGGTTGTGAATCCCTGAGATGATAGGTAAGCTAAATAATAATCAGAAGTCATAGAAGGTATTTAAAATTTTTATGTTCTTTTGTTGGTTATTTTAATAAAAGATAATTTTTATGCATTACTTCCACACAAGTGTTCTCATACGTGTTGTTTTATGTGTTTGTGCTTCATTAGGCATAAACTTGGAGGAGGCAGTGGAGAGAGCATCCTGGTTTCCCAGCTTCAGCATGGACTGACATTAGAGTTTGAACACAGCGATTCACCTCGGCGATTGCGTCTCGTGCTTAGCGAACTGTTGGCAATCATGAACAAGGTGATTTATTTTGAGCACAACTCAAAGTATTTATGCTTTGATATCTACATATAGAAAGGTTGTGAAGAACAGGGCAACAAGGCAGGCAGGCTGTGTCCTTTCCTCCTTGTATTTCTTTTTTAAAGATTTATTTATTTATTTGAAAGTCAGAGTTACACAGATTGAGGAGAGGCAGAGAGAGAGCGAGCGAGAGGTCTTTCATCTGCTGGTTCACTCTCCAGATGGCCGCAACGGCCAGAGCTGCGCCGATCTGAAGCCAGGAGCCAGGTCTCCCATGCAGGTGTAGGGGCCCAAGGACTTGGGCCATCTTCTACTGCTTTCGCATGGCCATGGCAGAGAGCTGGATCAGAAGGGAGCAGCCGGGACTTGAACCGGTGCCCATCTGGGATGCTAACACTGCAGATGGTGCCCTTATCCACCATGCTACAGTGCCAGCCCCTGAACTTATTTTTCATCAGTTTGAAATGAATGAGAGAGAGACAAAAAAAAAAGATAAAGAACATGCTCTGTCGTCTATCTGCTGGTTCACTGTTCATATGCCCACAACATTTGGGCCTGGGCCAGGAGCTGTGGACTTCATCTGGTCTTCCCTGTGGATAGAAGGGACTGAAGCACTTGAGCCATCATTTACTGCCTCTCAGGTACATTAGCAGAAGCTGGATCCCAAGCAGAGGCAGGACTTGGTCCCAGGCACTCTGCTCTAAGAAGTGGGTGTTCCAAGGCAGCTTAACCCCCTGCAACACAACATCTGCTCCTATATAGGGTCTTCTTGACTTTTATTTATTTTAAAGATTTTATTTTGCTTATTTGAAAGGCAGCGTTAGAGAGAGAGAGAGAGATCTTCCATCTGCTGTTTGCACCCCAAATGGCTGCAATGGCTGGGGCTAAACCTGGCTGAAGCCAGAGCCTGGAGCTCCATCTGGGTCTCCCACATGAATGCAAGGGCCCAAGCTATTGGGCCATCTTCTGCTGCTTTCCCAGGTGCATTAGGAGGGAGCTGAATTGCAAGTTATAGCAGCCAGGACTTGATCCAGCATCCATACGGGATGTCAGCATTGCAGGCAGTAGCTTAATCTGCTGTGCCACAATACGGGCCCCATCTTGACATTATAAAGGAATTTATCTCAAGATTTGTACAAATTAACCAAAGTTGATAATACTTTTATAGGATCTAATTTATAGTGAATTTTAACTGAAAACCTAAATGATTCATTTAGACAATGGATGAGCCTCCATTACTTCATACATAACAGTGACTAGGAAGTATCAAAGCTGAATTAGAAGAAGAGTGGCCGGCGCCGCGGCTCACTAGGCTAATCCTCCGCCTTGTGGTGCCAGCACACCGGGTTCTAGTCCCGGTCGGGGCACCGGATTCTGTCCCGGTTGCCCCTCTTCCAGGCCAGCTCTCTGCTGTGGCCCGGGAGTGCAGTGGAGGATGGCCCAGGTGCTTGGGCCTTGCACCCCATGGGAGACCAGGATAAGTACCTGGCTCCTGCCATTGGAACAGCGCGGTGTGCCGGCTGCAGCGCGGTGGCCATTGGAGGGTGAACCAACGGCAAAAAAAAGGGAAGACCTTTCTGTTTCTCATTGTCCACTCTGCCTGTCCAAAAAAAAAAAAAAGAAGTAGGGTGATTGAGTGCATTGTTCTTGTACCCTAATAGGTGTTAAGAACACTGGTGGAGTGTTTTTTTTAATACCTCACTTGATGACTATAATAAAAGAACTGACTTTCGTGTTTAGGAGGTTTTCAGGTTTTTTCAACTTTGTGTCCCTCAGCATATGGGAAATATGGTGACAAAACTATTGCGTGAAATTTTAAAAAATATAGTGGGTGTTTTTGTTGATCTGAGCTTTACTCTGTTTTCTACACAAATCTTTTAGAATTGAACAGGAATTTGCCTTTGTTATAATGTGTAAATTTTGTATTTTTTGGCTTTTGTTAAGTGATGTTTTATGTAGGTAGCATTCCTATTTCATTTCTTTGTCTTGCTTTATCCTTTAATTCCAGTTGTCTCCAAACATTTAAATAGAAATTTATTCTTGAGACCAATACTGTTGGGTCTGAAAAGTAATTAATGTGAGTGCTAATTGTGGTTAAATTGGTTGAAATTGATGAAGTACTGTATATTGTGCTGTAGTATAGTAGTGAAATATTAAGAGACATGGTGTGTGATCTCAACAACTAATTACAAAAATAGTAAGCACTTTCATTCATTACCCAAATTATAACAGTTATTATTGTTTTTAATGATATATATGTATAGAGAGGGAGAGACAGACAGAAAGATGGAGAGATCTTCCATCCACTGGTTCATGTCTCAAATGTCTACAACAGCTGGGGCTAGGCGAGGCCAAAGCCAGGAACTTAGAACTCCATTTGAGTCTTCCATTTGGGAAGCACCTAAGTACGTGGGCTATCAACTGTTGCCTTTCCTGCTGTGTTAGCAGAAAGCTGGATTGGAAATGGAGCAACCAGGACTTGCAGTGGCACTCTGATATGGGATATAGGTGTCATTAGCAGTGGCTTAATGCACTGCGCCACAATATTGAATTTAATAGAGTTCCTGTCTTTTTTTTTTTTTTTAGGTATCTGAATCCAATGGAGAATTTTTTTTCAAGTCTTCTGAGCTCTTTGAAAGTCCAGTATATTTGGAGGAAGCTGCAGATGTACTTTGTATTTTACAAGCAGGTATTGTATTAAGTGCTAAGATACATTGTGAATACATTTTCCTCTTAAATGATACTGTGTAACTTCTTAGCCTGGACTGTTGTGTTATTTTAAGAATCTTCTAATAAAAATGTATCCTAAAAGTTAAAGCAAAAATGATTCATAGCAGGACAATTATTAAGTAAACTACATTATTGCCAGAGTATGGTATATTATAAAGATACAAAAATGATATATTTGATTTGGTGATTTTAATGCCCATTAATAATTTTGGAAAATTTCTCCAGTATGTTAAATGAAAAAAATTAAAGGAGAAAATAGTAAGTAGAATGTAATCCCAATTTTCTTTCTATCTTTTATTTTTTTGACAGGCAGAGTTAGACAGTGAGAGAGAGAAACAGAGAGAAAGGTCTTCCTTCCATTGGTTCACCCCCCAAATGGCCGCCACGGCCGGCGTGCTGCGGCGGAGCCAGGTGCTTCCTCCTGGTCTCCCATGTGGGTGCAGGGCTCAAGCACTTGGGCCATCCTCCACTGCCTTCCTGGGCCACAGCAAAGAGCTGGACTGGAAGAGGAGCAACCGGGACAGAATCCGGCGCCCCAACATGGACTAGAACCTGGGGTACTGGCGCCGCAGGCAGAAGATTAACCTAGTGAGCTGTGGCGCCGGCCCCAATTTTCTTAGAAATTAAAACAAAAACAATATCCATGGGAGGGATTAAAATACAGTATATTATTAACTTTGATGAGACAGAGATAATTTTATTCTTTTGCATTTTTATATGTTCCAGATTCTTACATATGATAAAAATAAAAGGAGAAGGACATAAAAAGGCAAAGAAAGTGTTCATGAAAATAATTCTTTAGAAAAGCATTGTTTAGTAAAACTTTGTGCAATGTTCCATGTTGTAATGTCCAGTTCAGAAGTTGTTAGATATATGTTGCTAATGATTATCTTATTAGAAGCTCAACTCTATATGAAAAGAAAGAACTTTAATTGCTTTTCGATGATATTTGTGAATTGTCAGACTTTAAATGTAAAATATAATGATCTCTTTAATAATAACCTTGACTTTATTTTCTTATAGAACTCCCTTCCTTACTTCCCATAGTGGATGTAGCTGAGGCCTTGCTACATGTTAGAAATGGTGCCTGGTTCTTATGTCTTTTGGTGGCCAATGTTCCTGATAGTTTTAATGAAGGTAATTATAATTTAAAAGTGGGATATTGAAGAGATTAACTTGGACATGTCCAGGACTTATTGGTTGGAGCTAACAAGAAACATTTAGGAGATTTTATGTTGTTGTTGTTGTTGTTGTTTTAAATTGGGAACCGGCTTTGTGGCATAGCAGATAAAGTTGCTGCCTGCAATGCAGACATCCCACATGGGTGTCAGTTCGAGACCCAGCTGCTCCTCTTCTGATCCAGCTCCTTGCTAATGCACCTGGGAAAGCAGCAGAAGATGGTCCAAGTACTTGCGCCCCTGCCACCCAGGTGGGAGACCTGGAAGAAGCTCATGGCTACTGGCTTCAGCCTGACCCAACCCTTACTGTTGTAGCCATTTGGGGCATGAAACAGTGAATGCAAGATCTCTCTCTCTGTCTCTGTCTCTCTGTCTCTCTGTCTCTCTCTCTAACTTTGCCTTTCATATAAATAAAATCTTTTAAAAAACTGTGTATATTCATTTGAGAGGCAGAGGGATACAGAAAGAAAAAGAGCATGAGAGAGAAATATATAGAGCTCTCCCATCTGCTGGTTAACTCTGCAAATGGCTGCAATGGTCAGGACTGGGCCAGCCTGAAGCTGGAGTCCAGAGACTCAGTCCAGCTACCTTATGTAGGTGGCAGAGAGCCAAACACTTGAGCCATCACCACTGCTTCCCAGTGTCTGCATTAGCAGAAAGATGGAGAGGAGCTAGAGCCACAAGTTGAACACAGGTATTCTGATGCAAGTATCTTTTTTTTTCTTTTTAAGATTTATTTATTCTTTTGAAAGAATTACACAGAGAGAGAAGGAGAGGCAGAGAGACAGAGAGAGGTTATCTATCCGCTGGTTCACTCCCCATTTGGCTGCAGTGGCCGGAGCTCTGCTGGTCCAAAGCCAGGAGCCTTTTCCAGGTCTCCCACGTGGGTGCAGGGGCCCGAGGACTTGGGCCATCTTCTATTGCTTTCCCAGGCCATAGCAGAGAGCTGGATCAGAAGTGGATCATAAGCTGGATCATAAGCTGTGACTTGAACTGGCACTCATGGGATGCTGGCACTGCAGGTGGCAGCTTTACCTGCTACACCACAGGGCCAACCCTGCAAGTGTCTTAACTGGTAGATTCAGTGCCTGCTCCATCAGATTTTTATTTTTTGAAAGTTTATCATTGGGGCCAGTGTTGTGACATAACGTGCAGTTTTTTTAAAAAAATATTTATTTATTTATTTGAAAGGCAGAGTTACAGAGAAGCAGAGGCAGAGAGAGAGAGAGAGTCTTCCATCTGCTGGTTCACTCCCCAGATGGCCATTACGTCTGGAGCTGTGCCGATCCAAAGCCAGGAGCTTCTTCTGGGTCTCCCACGTAGGTGCAGGGGCCCAAGGACTTGGGCCATCTTTTGCTGCTTTCCCAGGCCATTGCAGAGAGCTGGATCAGAAGTGGAGCAGCCAGAACTCAAACCGGCATCCATATGAGATGCCTGTACTGCAGGCAGCAGCTTTGCCTGCTATGCCACGGTGCCAACCCCATTTAAAGCTGCTTCCTGTGATGCCAGTATCCCATATGGGTGCTGGTTTGAGTCCCAGCTGCTCCTTTTCCTATTGAGCTCCCTGCTAATGCATCTCGGAAAGCAGCAGAAGATGGCTCAAGTTCTCAGCCCGCTGCTCCCAAGTGGGAGACCTGGAAGAACTTCCTGGGTCCTGGCTTCCGTCTGGCCCATCCCTAACCATAGTGGCCATTTAGGGAGCAGATGGAAGGTGTCTCTCTGTGTGTGTCTCTCTCTCCCTCTCTCTCCATCTCCCTGTAAGTGTGCCTTTCAAATAAAGAGAAAGTTTATCAGTGAGCATTCACTATAGAATTTTGAGTTTAGAGATTTCAGAATTATATTGGCTTTGATAATTTTAGAGAGTATGTATGAACAAAGTACTTTTTTGCCTTTAGTCATCAGTGCTATAATATGACAGTAAAAAATACCAAGGAAGTAGAAGATTTAACTCTCATTGTCTGGGAGCAAATGGGGTATAGACATTTGTGAAACACTCAGAGAGTAGTTTGAGGTATAGGTAGTAAGAAATAACAGCATTCAGACTCTGGGTTTTTAACTTTATTTCGCTGTCAGTTTGCAGAAAAGCATAGGATGAAAAGAATCATCTAAAAATTTCTATGTCTATTGCAAGCTTCTGGGTCTGAGTGATATAAAAATAAAAGCATATGTTAAGCAAGGTAATTTGTGAATTGTGAGCTAAGAAGAAAAATACTAGGTCTAGGGTCATAATTCCTGGCTTTTACCACACATTCTGTGATCTCAATCAAAATATTTAATTCTCATTTGTAAAATGGGTATATTATAACATTTTATTTATATATACATATATATATATTTAATGATTATTTATTTGAAAGATGGTGACAGAGGGGGATTAGAGGCAGAGAGAGAGGGATCTTCCATCTGCTGGTTCATCCTCTAAAAGCCTGCGATAGCCAGGGCTGGGTCAGGCTGGTGCCAGGAGCTAGGGACTGTCTGGGTCTGCAACATGGGTGGCTGGAACCCAAGTACTTGGATCATCATCTTCTGTCTCCTGGGTCCTGGAAGCGTAGGCAGAACTGTATCCCAGGTACTCCTGTATGGGATGCAGTTGTCCCAACTGGCAGCTTAGCTTGCTGTGCCACAGTCTGCTCCCTCTCTTATATTTCTGGAGATTTTTTGAATATCACATGATATGTGAAACTCTTTGTAAACTGTCAGCTTGTTTTATCAGTTCCTGAAAGAGGATTTTTGACATCTGAAAACTTAGTAGTGGATTTAGCTGTTTCTCCTTTCAGTGTTGTTGGTTTTTGCTTCATGTGCTTTGAAGTTCTATTATTGGATCCGTGTGCATTTAGAATTGTTTGTTTTGATTAAGTTAGCCTTTTTCCTTCATTCTGAAATACTCTATTTTTCTGATAATGTTCCTTCTTTTGAAGCCAGATTTATCTGATAATAATATAGCCATGTCATCTTTCTTATGATTAGTGTTTGGCTACACTAGTATTTACTTTTCTTTCTCGCTCTCTCTTTTTTTTTTTTTTTTTTTTTTTTTTACGATTTATTTATTTATTTGAAAGGTAGAGTTAGAGAGAGAGGGAGAAACAGAGAGGGAGAGAAAAAGCTTCCACCTGCTGGTTCACTCCCCAAATGGCCGTATTATTCAGAGCAGGCCAGACTGAAGCCAGGAGCCGGGAACTTTTGAGTCTTCCATGTCGGTGCAGTGGCCCAAGCACTTGGGTCATCTTCTGTTTTCCCTGGACCATTAGCAAGTAACTGGATTGGAAGTGGAGCAGCCAAGACACAAATCATTGCCCACATGGGATGCTGGCATCACAGGTGGCACCTTTACCCGCTATGCCACACGCCGGCCCCAGTAGTAGTTACTTTTTTGTGTGTACATCATTCCTTTGTGTAGTTTCACATTTCCTTCTGTGTTATTTCCCCTTAGCTTAAGCTGCTTCCTTCATTTCTTGTAGTGCAGATTTGTTGGCAATAAGTTTTCACAGATTTCTTTGGTTTAGAAGAACTCTTCATTTTGCTTTCATTTGTATAAGATATTTTCATTGGGCTTAAAGTTGTAGGTTGACAGTTTCTTAAAGGTGTTGAAAGATCTTCTGGGATGAGTGTTGTGGTGCATCGGGTTAAGTTGCCACTTGGAATACTGCATCCCGTATTGGAGTACCTGGGATTCAGTTCTGTCTCCGCTTCGCATCCAGCTTTCTGCTAATGTACACCTGGGAGGCAGCAGGTGATGGCTCAGTACTTGGGTTGCTGCCCTTACTTGGGATCCCTGGGTGGAGTTCCGTGCTCCTGACTTCAGCATGACTCAGCCCTGGCTATGGTGGGCATTTGGGGAGTGAATCAATGGATAGAAAATTTCTCCTTGTCCCCCTGTTGTTCTGCCTTTTAAATAAATAAATAAAGACTGGTGGTGTAGCGGTTAAAGCTGCTGGCAATCCCATATGAGCACCACCAGTTCATGTCCTGGCTGCATGCTTCTGATCTAACACCCTGCTTACGGCCTAGAAAAGGCAGAGGAAGACAGCCTAAGTATTTGGGCCCCTGACACCTACGTGGGAGACTTGGATGATGCTCCCAGCTCCTGGTTTGGCCTGAGCCAGTGCTGGTGGTTGTGGCCACTGGGGAGTGAACCAGTGGATGGAAGATCTCTATCTCTCTTTCTCCTTCTCTGTAGCTCTTTCAAATAAATAAATCTTTAAAAATAAATAAATAAACTTTTAAAAAAGATAGTATTCTATTGTCTTGTGTTTTTTGTCTTTGTTCCTTCATAATGTTTTTCTCCTCTGGTTACTTCTGTTTGTTTATTATCTTTTTTCCTGTGGTTACTTTTGAGATTTTCTCTTTTATGTGGTGTGTCTTTGTATGACATTCTGTTTGTATTTGTCCTGCTTGAGGTTCATTGAACTTCTAGATTCATGAAAACATTTCTTCAAGTTAATTTTTGCCTACCATTCCCTTTTCTTCTTTGTACAACTGTAGTTGCAAGTAAGTTTGACAGTACGGTACTACCCCATGGGTTTCTCTTTGTGTTTTGAATCTCTGTTAATTCTTTGCATCATTTTGACCATTTCTATTGCTGTGCTTTCATGTTCCCTGATCTTTCCTTTAGTGTCTGATATTCATAAATTATTGATTCTTAAAGGCTGAAAAAAATGGTTTCTAACATCTTACTTATGAAACTTAAAGTAATAGGGACTCTTACATATTTAGTTTGTAGAGGCCTGATCAAAAATGGAGAACGACAAGATGAAGAAAGTCTCGGAGGAAGGCGCAGGACAGATGCCTTACGCTTCTTATGTAAAATGAATCCTTCTCAGGCTCTCAAGGTCCGCGGCATGGTGGTAAGAAACCTGCTGTTTTTAAGAGACAAAGGCCTTTTTATCAGGATGAAGAATTTTTCTCCAGATGCCTTTGGAATCTTGTAGGTGTTGGGAATTTGAATTATATTCTGGGGGAGTTATCTTCCTCTTGAGTTTTTAATGTTTGTGAGATTTCTTCCTCTGAATTTCTTCCTCATCTTTTGTTGTATGACCTTGTGTTTAATTTGTTTTCTTGGTTGTGTTAGGTAGAAGAATGTCACTTGCCAGGTCTTGGAGTGGCTTTGACATTGGATCATACTAAAAATGAAGCATGTGAAGATGGAGTGAGTGATTTGGTTTGTTTTGTTAGTGGTTTGCTTCTTGGAACAAATGCGAAAGTCCGGACTTGGTTTGGAACTTTTATCCGAAATGGACAGCAGGTGAGGGTTAAGAATTTGTAGAGGCAGAAGATCAGGATATTTTGATGATTACTATGAGGGCAAAATTTCTTTAAAATGATGTGATAGTAGTTCTCAAACTTAGTTTCTGGGACTTCTTTACATTTTTAAAAATCTCTAAGGTTTGAAAGAACTTTTGTTTATATGGTTTTTAGATATTGAAATTTGCTGTATTGGAGATTGAAACTGAAATATTGGAAATACTTAATTCACATAAGAAGAATAATCTTATTAAATATGAACATAACTTTCTTTTTTAATATAACATATTTTTAGTGGAAAGTAACTATATTTTCCAAAACCAAAAAAGTTTAGTGAGAAGAATGGCATTATTTAGAGTTTTCCACATCTCATCAAGCCTAGTTTATAGAAGTCTTTGGAAAAGTACACTGTACACTTGTGAGAGAATGGGAGAAAAATGACAAACAACTAGATCATTAAGGAAATGTTTTTGCCTTTCTGGACCCTCTGGAAGAGTTTTAGGGAACTCTCATGTTCTGAGTTGCACAAGACTGCTGCATTAGATTTTCAGAATAAGTTGTTCTGTAATTTTAACATATATATGATGTGTGTACATATATATACATAATATATTTTATTATAAAATGTACAAAACAAATATTTACCATTTCATCATTCGTAAGTGTACAATTCAGTGACAACGTTGACTGTATTCATAGTGTTGTATAACCATCACTACTATTCATTTCCAGAGCATTTTAATCATTCCATACTGAAAGTCTGTACCCATTAAATAATAAACTGCTTATAGCTCTCTTCCCCGTACCTCTGGTAATCCCTGTTCTACTCTCAGTCTCTAGATTATACCGATTTTGGTACGTCATATGAGTATAATCATAGACTATTTGTCATTTTGTGTCTGGAATATTTTTAGATTTTTCCATGTTGTAGCAATTATCAAAACTTCCATCCTTTTTAAGGGTGTATAAAGTTCCATTATATGTATGAGGGCACTTCTAATATTTCATGGAAAATGGAATTGGAAGAAAAGTTTAGGGATAGGCATTTAGCCAGCAGTTACGATGCCTGCATCTCGTATTGGATTACCTTGGTTTGATACACAACTCCAGCTCTGACACCATCTTCCTGCTAATGAGAGGCAGTGGTGATGGCTCAAGCGATTGGGTCCCTGGCTTTAGTGAGGCCAAAACCTGGCCGTTGCCTGTATTTGGAGAGTGAACCAGAGGATGGGAACTCTCTCTTTTCTGTTTCTTTGCCTTTCAAATAAATAAAAATTTAGAAGGTAAGTTTATTTTGGTGCAAGAAATATTTTAAATTCATGAATATGAATAGTCTTGAAAGGTCACAAAAATACATGTTATGAAATAACTGCATAGATTTAAAATTTTTTACACCAAAAAATTATATTTTATTAAATATTTTTTCTTTTATTTGAGAGGCAGAGAGAGAAGGAAAAAGAGAGTTCCCATCCAGTAGTTTAATCCCCAGATGTCTACAACAGCTGGGGCTAGGCTGGGGCAAAAGGGCTTCCACACAGGTGTTACAAACCCAATTACTTGAGCCATTACCACTGTCTCCCAGGGTCTGTATTAGAAGGCAGCTGGAGTCAGGAGGAGGTGGGCACTGAACCCTATTTAACTTTGCTGTGGGACATGGACGTCTAAACTGCAGGCCAAATGCCTTATAATTTAATTCCGTTTTTCCACAGACTCTTTGAAGTACCCTTGTATGTACCACATCTGGTTTATCTCTTCAACCTTTTACTGGCTATGTATATACGTTGCAGCAATTGTCCTTTGTATGCAATAAGCTTTCTCCTTTGAATTTAATGTTATTATTCAAGCTGGTTTATGATACTTTGCTTAGAAACCCTCTAAGAATAATAAACAGCTAATATTTGCCTAGCTCTCTATAGTTTTCATCTTTTTTTTTTTTTTTTTTAAAGATTTATTTATTTGTTTGAAAGGCAAAGTTGCAGAGAGGTAGAGGCAGAAAGAGAGAGAAAGAGAGATGTTCCATCTGCTGGTTCACTCCCCAAGTGACCGCAACATCTGGAGCTGGGCCAATCGAAGGCAGGAGCCAGCAGCTCCTTCTGAGTCTCCAATGTGGGTGCAGAGATCCAAGGTCTTGGGCCATCCTCCGCTGCTTTCCCAGGCGCGTTAGCAGGGAACTGGTTTGAAAGTGCAACAGCTGGGACTCGAACCAGCGCCCACATGAGATGCTGTCACTGTAGGTGACAGCTTAACCCACTATGCCACAGTGCCGGCCACAGCTCCCTATAGTTTTGACTTGCTTTCATATTTGTTTTCTTTGCTTCTTTTATTAGTCTGCTTAACATTTAGTGCCTGCTACATGTCAGATACAGTGTTAGGCTCTGCAGAGTAAGAGATAACTAAGACGTTATCCTTTCCTAAGGACCTGTGGGGTTTATGAATTTGGAAATGCTGAATTATAAGAGCTCTATAGGGTAAATATTAATAAAGTATTAATTTCCTTGTCACTAAGGAAATTGGAGGTCAGAGAGGTTGACTACATTACTGAAAAGTCCCTGATCATCTGATAGTAAAGCTTAAGGTTGATATTTAAGGTCTTTTATCTTCAAATTCTGAGTACTTTCTGCTAAACTACATTGCGTTTTTGAAAGAATGATTTAAATATTATGCAATTCAAGTTGCTATTCATTTAGTCTTTGCAAATGATCCAAATAAGAATGAATAGAACATTCTTCAAACCCATGGATTTGGAGGCTATTTTATTGGCTCAGATGGGATTTTGCAGTTAAGGCAGCCTCTTCAAATGGGTCAACGTCAGGTGTTTAAATGGAGAGCTCTCTGGGGGCGATGTTGTGGCGTAGTGGATAAAGGTGCTGCCTGTGATGCTGACATCCCATATGCGTGCTGGTTGAAGACCCGGCTGCTCTGATGCCGATCCAGCTCCCTGCTGTTGTGCCTGGGAAAGCAGTAGAGGATGGCTCAACTGTTTGGGACCCTGCCACCCACATGGGAGACCTGGAAGAAGCTGCTGACTCTTGGCTTCAGTCTGCCCCAGCTCTGGCCATTGTGCCCTTTTGGGGAGTGAACCAGCAGATGGAAGATGTCTCTCTGCTCCCTCTCTCTGTAACTCTGCCTTTCAAATTAATAAGTAAATAAATCTTTAAAATGGGGAGCTCTGTTTGAGGTTGCTTTTTAAATTTATATTTGTTTTAAAACTTTAGATACTTTCGTTTATCTGAGAGGCAGAGATCTCCTTTATGCTGGTTCACTCTTCAGATGCCCGCAGTGGGTGGAGGGCTAAATTCTAGAACCAGGAACTCAATCCATGTGGGTGGATTTTGACATGGGTGTCAGGGACCTAACGACTCGAGTCATTGCTTGCTGCCTCTGAAAGTGTGCATTAGCTGCATGAGCTTCTTTAATGCTCCATGCTCTCTTCCATTTGTGATTTCCATTTCTTGCAGAGAAAGAAAGAGACCAGTAGTTCTGTCCTTTGGCAGATGAGAAGGCAGCTGCTTCTGGAGCTGATGGGCATTCTTCCCACAGTAAGAAGTACCCGCATTGTGGAAGAAGCTGATGTGGACATGGAGCCCAATGTGTCTGTGTATTCAGGACTGAAAGAAGAGCATGTGGTGAAAGCCAGTGCGCTCTTACGTCTGTACTGTGCTTTGATGGGGATCGCTGGACTCAAGTATTCAATAATTTGATATTTTACCTTCTTGTCATTTTACTTTCTTGTTTCTAATCTAAAGAAAGTGAGCCAAGGGCCTTTTATTCAGAACATTTGGGTTTTTTATTTGACTAAGATAGTGAGCTGGCCTATGTCAAGAATAAAAAGTCATGAGCTGGCCTATGTCAAGAATAAAAAGTCAATCATTCCCAACAAGGATTAATTAATCTATTTTAGTCTGATTATAAATAGAATTATGTAAATATGAGAGGGGCCAGAGAAATTTATCCACTTCTAATGATAGTATGACGATACCTATGATTTTACCTCAGTCCTGCATGACTGTAGTGAATGATCTGTGAGATCATTTATAACAGATAATGGAACAAAGAAATTGTGCAATATGAATGTAGCAACAAGCCAAAAATGGCACTTAAATCAAACATAAACTGAAGAAATGACTGAGAATGTTGACACTGCCACCATGTGAGAGACTAGATAGATAGCCAGAAGAACTTAGTGAAGACAGACTTGATTACAGTCATGGGAAAAGTGATTGTGACAAAAGAATGATAGTATCCTAGACGGTGTGATACTGGCAGAAATTTCACATTAAAAGAGCTATCTGCTATTTCATGAGTAAAAGTATAACGGATAAATTCTTGGGAGGTGACCCAAACTTAGAAGGGGTATGACAATTCACCAAGGCACAGAGAGGATGGTTAGTGTGTATTATAAATTATGAAATGAAAAAGGCAATGGCTATTCAAGCCACTCTTCAATGAGGATTTTACAAAGGAATAAAACATTCTAATTCCCACTGTTTGTAATGTTTTCAATTACAGAGTGTCGTATAATTATTAGTTTTATTGTTGTTTTCCATATCTCCATGCATTATAACTGACAGAGTTTAGAGTGTTTTGACAATTTTAAAGGTCAGAAAATAATTGTAGTTTGTACCCTTCATTATTAAAATCATGTTGTATGGTTTCAGCTTGCTTGGTCATTTTTATGGTCCAACACTAGGCAAAATGAGGATTGCCTATATTTGTGTCTGAGGATTAACCCTGCAGTTGCAATTTCTCGACACTTTTTTCTTTTTTGATGATTCATTTTATTTATTTGTAAGGCAAAGTGACAGAGAAAGAGAGAGGGACAGACACATAGAGAGAGATAGAGAAAGATAGCTTCCATCTGCTGGCTGTAATAGGTAGGGCTAGACCAGGCTGAAACCAGAGCCCAGAACTCCATCTAGTTCTCTCTGTGAGTGGCAGGGGCCCAAGCATTTGGGCCATCCTCTGCTGCTTTCCTAGGTGCTTTAGCAAGGAGCTAGATCAGAAGTAGAGCAGCCAGGGCTTGAACCACACTCCACTATGGAATGCTGGCATTGTAAGCTGTGCCTTACTGCTGCACCACAACACTGGCCCCATTGCTTTTGATTTGAACAACTTAAGAAGGCAAAGATTTTGTAACTAGTGAGGTATCATTGTAAAATTAAAAATTTTCATCTGAAAAGTAAAACTGATGGGAAGTTCATGCTTTCTTATCCCTACCTAAAAAAGTGAAGCCTAATAATGTATTCCTTTTCAGACCGACTGAGGAAGAAGCTGAACAGTTACTCCAGTTGATGACCAGCCGTCCTCCTGCTACACCAGCTGGGGTTCGCTTTGTTTCACTTTCATTTTGTATGCTGCTGGCCTTTTCTACACTTGTCAGGTACCTTACTATATAAATTGCTCTCTGTTTTTTCTAGGTCTACCTTTATTTACTTACTAAAATGCATGAATAGGGGCCAGTGTAGTGGAACTGCGAATTGAGCTGCTACTTGTAACGCCAGCATCCCATATCAGAGTGCAGGTTTGAGTCCCAGCTGCTTTGCTTCTGATCTGCCTCCCTGCTGGTGTGACTGGGAAGCAACAAATGATGGTCCAAGCACCTGTCTTTGTGCCATCCACGTGGGAGACCAGGATGGAGTTCCAGGCTCCTAGCTTCAGCCTAGTCCAACCCTGCTTGTTGTGACCATTTGGAAAGTGAACCAGCTGATGTAAGATCTCTCTCTGTTTCTCCCTCTCTCTTGCTCTCTCTTTCAAAGAAAGCAAGCAAAGTATTTTTAACAAGTGCATATATGATGTTAGATTAAAGATTACTACAAAAATTGGCATAGGTGTGGATAGTCATAGTATCTTTTGTTGTTGTTGTTGTTGTTAGCTACTGAGCCATGTGGCTTCTTTATTCCATTTTAAGGTTTAATTGGCAGTCACTTGTATGTACAGCCAGGGTACAATTGGATATTTGGACATCTACACACACCCAGGAAACTATCACTCCAGTCAAGAAAACAAGCATGTCCAGTGGTTCCTTTGTGCCCTTTCTCATCCCTCCTCCTACTCTCTTCCCAGCCCCAGCTTTTTTTTTTTTTTTTTTTAAGATTTGTTTTATTTATTTGAAAGACAGAGTTACAGAGAGGAGTAGAGACAGAAACAGAGGTCTGACTCTATCCCTGTCATGTAACTCTACCTCTCAAGTAAATAAATAAATCTTAAAAAAAAAAAAAAAATCTGAAGACTTTAAAAAAAGAAAAGGAAAAGAAAAGAGAGCTTCAGTTTCCATCCTCTGGTTCTCCCCAAATGGCTGCAACAACTGAGGCTGGGCCAGGTTGAAGCCAAGAGCCAGGAGCTTCTTCCAGATCTCCTGTGGGTGCAGGAGACCTGCAGGTACATTCACAGGGAGCTGGATCAGAAGTGGAGTAGCCAAAGCTCCCAACCAGCACCCATATGGGATGTTAGCTCTGCAGGCCAAGGCTTTATCCCACTGCACCACAGCACCGGCCCATGATCATAGTATCTTAATAAAAAGATATTTATGTCTCATTTTGTCATTATCAGAGTTTCCCATGAACACTGTTTAATGGAGTTAAAATAGTTCTTCAGGATTTGTTAAGGCTAGTAACAGCCCTTACTCCCCTCCTCTCTGTTTCCCCTTTCCTAGGGCAGTTCTTTCTCTTGTTTTGGGTGGCTTTCTTTTATTAAGATTTATTTATTTATTCTTTTGAAAGGCACAGAGAGAGAGAGAGAGAGAGAAATCTTCTGTTGGTTCCTTTGCCAGATGGTACAGTACCCAGGGCTGGTGCAGGCTGATTCCAGGAGCTCAGAACTTCATCTGGGTCTCCCATATGGGTGGTGGGGACCCAAATACTTGGGCCATCTTCTGCTCTTTTCCCAGTCACATTCGCAGGGAGCTGGATTGGAAGTACAGCACCCAGGACTCAAACCAGCATTCTACATTAGACACTGTCATCCTAGGCAGCAGCTTATTTTACTGTGCCACAGTGCTGGCCTCTTGGTTGATTCTTTTGGATTTTACTACTAAATTTTTAATAGCATATTTGTGTTTTATACATCCTGATTTTGTTCTTTTAAGTATTACTTGTTGGGGCCGGCGCCGTGGCTCAATAGGCTAATCTTCCGCCTGCGGCGCCGGCATCCCAGGTTCTAGTCCCTGTTGGGGCGCCAGATTCTGTCCTGGTTGCCCCTCTTCCAGGCCAGCTTTCTGCTATGGCCTGGGAGTGCAGTGGAGGATGGCCCAAGTCCTTGGGTCTTGTACCCCATGGGAGACCAGGAGAAGCACCTGGCTCCTGGCTTCAGATCAGCGCAGTGCGCCAGCTGCAGTGGCCATTGGAGGGTGAACCAATGGCAAAGGAAGGCATTTCTCTCTGTCTCTCTCTCTCTCACTGTCCACTCTGCCTGTCAAAAAAAAAAAAAAAAAAAAGTATTACTTGTTGAGTTCCCACTGTTAAAGATGAGGATTTAATTCTGTCCTAAACATATCCATACATCCTTCCTATTTTCTTTTTTGATTTTTTTTAAAGATTGATTTATTATTTATTTGAAAGGAAGAGTTACAGAGAGGCACAGTGAGAGAGGTCTTCCATCTGCTGGTTCATTCCCCAAATGGCCACAATGGCTAGAGCTGGGCCTATTGGAAGCCAGGAGCCTGGAGCTTCTTCTGGGTCTCTCACATGGGTGCAGGGGCTCAAGGACTTGGGCCATCTTCCACTGCTTTCTCAGGCATGTTAGTAGGGAGCTTGGATCAGAAGTGGAGCAGCCGGGTCTTGAACAGGTGTCCATATAGGATGCCAGCACTGCAGCTGGTGGTTTTGCCTGCTACGCCACTGCTCTGGTACCACCCTTCCTATTTTCCCATTTTGCCAGTACAGTTAACAGTGATTCTTATTAGATCAATATTCATTTATATTATTGCATAAAGCACTACTGAGAACTCAACTATGTAGAAGGTGATTTCTTGTAAAATATTTTGCTTTAATAATTATATATTTATTTATATTTGTTTATTTCTAAAGATTCATTTTAATTATTTGAGAGGCACAATGACAGAGAGAGAGATCTTCCTTCTGCTGTTTCATTCCCTGAATGCCAGCAGTGGCCAGAGCTGTGCCAGCCTAAAGTCAGGAGTCCAGAATTCTATTCAGTTCTTTCATACAGGTAGCAGGAATCCAAGCACTTGAGACATCATCTGCTGCTTTCCCAGGTACTTTAGCAGGAAGCTGGGTTGGTAGTGGAGTATCTAAGATCCAAAGCAGCACTACAATATGGGATTGCAAGTGGTGGTTTAGCCCATTGTGCCACAATGCCTGTCCCTGCTTATTTTTAAAAAAGATTTATTTATGTATGTATTTGAAAGGAAGAAGAGTGACAAAGATATCTTTTTCTTGTTTTTGTTGAGATTATTTATTTGAAAGGAGGGGAGACATACAGAGGAGAGAATGAGCGATATATTTTATCTGCTTGTTCATCCCCCAAATGGCTGCATTGGCCAAGGCTGATCCAGGCTGAAGCCAGGAGCCTGAAACTCCATCTGGGTCTCCCTTGTGGGTAGCAGAGACCCAAGCAGTTGGACTATCTTCCCGTGTTTCCCAGGTGCATTAGCAGGAAGCTGGATTGGAAGTAGAGCAGCCAGTACTCGAACTGGAGCTCTTTGAGGATGCTGGTGTCATAGGTGGCGGCTTAACTTGCTGTACCACAGTGCTAGCCCCCAGAGATATCTTGTATCTACTGGTTCACTCCCCAAATGGCTGCAACAGAGAGAGCTGGAACAGGCAAAAGCCAGGAACCTGGAACTGCATTTGGATCTCCCATATTGATGGCGGGATCCAAGTTCTTGGGCATTCATCTACTACCTTCTAGGGTACACATTAGCAGGAAGCTGCATAGAAAATGAAGGTGGCGGGGGGCAGGGCTGTGGTAAAGCTGCTGTCAGCAACACTGGCCTCCCATGTGGGGGTTGTTTCACATCCCAGTTACTCTACTTCTGATCCAGCTCCTTGCTAATGTGCTTAGGAAAGCAGCAGAGGATGGCCCAAGTGCTTGGGCCCCTGCACCCATGTGGGAGACCCAGACTCCTGGCTCCTGGCTTTGGCCTGGTTCAGCCTTGGATGTTGCGGCCATCTCAGGCGTGAACAGACAGATGGAAGATCTCTTTCTGTCCTTTGTTTCTCCCTCTCTGTCCATAACACTGATTTTCAAATAATATAAATAAATGTTAAAAAAAATGAAGGTAGGACTCCAACTCTGATCCTCTGACATGGGGTGTAGGCACCCAAGCAAGGGCTTAACCCATTGTGCCTCAACATCTACCCCTGAAATGATCATCTTTCTTTTGTGCCTTACTTTTGTCTTCTTCTGCTTTTTTTTTTTTAAACAGCTTTATTGCAATCTAATTTAATAACATAAAATTCACCCATGTGCAGTGTACAATTCAGTGTTTTAGTATATGAGGATACTTCAAAAAGTTAATGGAAAATATATATTGTGAAAAAACTGTTCATGGATATCAAATATCGTATAAAATATAAGCCTGTATTTTAATTCCACTTTCACATGAATCTTTTGAGGTACCCTTGTATTTACAGAGTTAAACAACCATTACCACAATCTGATTTCAGGACATTTTCTTTTATTTATTTATTTTTTTTAAGGATTTATTTATTTATTTGAAAGGCAGAGCTAGAGAGAGAGAAGGAGAGATCTTCTATCTGCCGGTTTACTCCCCAAATGGCTGCAACATCCAGGGCTGATCAGAGTCCCGGAGTAGACTGCTGTCTACTGGAGAGTGAAGGCCTGTCTAGAAATCCATAAACAGTGTTTTTTTAATTTTTTTTTTATTTTTTAACTTTTATTTAATAAATATAAATTTTGAAAGTACAACTTTTGGATTATAGCGGCTTTTCCCCCCAGAACCTCCCTCCTGCAACCATCCCATCACCTACTCCCTCTCCCATCCCATTCTTCATCAAGATTCATTTTCAATTATCTTTATATACAGAAGATCAACTTAGTATGTACTAAGTAAAGATTTCAACAGACTGCACCCACACAGATACACAAAGTATAAAGTACTGTTTTGAGTAGTAGTTTTACCGTTAATTCGCATAGTACAACACATTAAGGACCGAGATCCTACATGGGGAGTAAGTGCACAGTGACTCCTGTTGTTGATTTAACAATTGACACTCTTATTTATGACGTCAGTAATCACTTAAGGCTGTTGTCATGAGCTGCCAAGGCTATGGAAGCCTCTTGAGTTCACAAACTCCAACCTTATTTAGTCAAGGCCATAATCAAAGTGAAGTTCTCTCCTCCCTTCAGAGAAAGGTACCTCCTTCTTTGATGGCCCGTTCTTTATGCTGGGATCTCACTCAGAGATCTTTCATTTAGGTCATTCTTTTGCCACAGTGTCTTGGCTTTCCATGCCTGAGAAACTCTCATGGGCTTTTAAACCAGATTCAAATGCCTTCAGGGCTGATTCTGAGACCAGAGTGCTTTGGGCATCTGTCATTCTATGAGTCTGCTGTGTATCCCGCTTCCCATGTTGGATTATTCTCTCCGTTTTAACTCGATCAATTATTATTAGCAGACACTAAATCTTGTTTATGTGATCCCTTTGGCACTTAATCCTATCATTATGATCAATTATGAACTTAACTTATCATTTTGACTAGTTAGATGCCATTAGTACATGCCACCTTGATGGGATTGATTTGGGATCCCCTGGCATGTTTCTAGCTCTACCATTAGGGGTAAGTCCGAGTGAGCATGTGCTGAATTGTACATCTCCTGCCTCTCTTATTCCCACTCTTATATTTAACAGGGATCACTTTTCAGTTAAATTTAAACACCTAAGAATAATTGTGTGTTACATAAACAGTGTTAGCAAGGAAGGATTAAAGGTTTGTATAACTCAGCTCGCAATATGATCTTCCACTGGGGCTGGTCCTGTGGCATAGTAGGTTAAGCTTTTGCCTGTGGCATCAGCATCCCATATGGGCACTGGTTCCAGTACTGGCTACTCCACTTTTGATCTAGCTCCCTGCTAATGGCTTGGAAAAGCAGTGGAAGATGGTCCAGATGCTAAGTTCCTGCACCCACATGGGAGACCCAGAAGAAGCTTCTGGCTCTTGGCTTCAGATCAGCCCAACTCCAGCATTGTGGCCATTTGGGGAGTGAACCAGCACATGGGAGACCTGTCTCTCCCTCTCTCTTTATAACTCTGTTCTCAAATAAATAAATCTTAAAAAAATAATCTCCCATGGAATTCTCCTACTTTCAGAATGGTATTTCATGTATATGTATATGCTTGTCTGTTATTTCACACATGAAATTTTCCATCTCCAGAAAATAATCTCCGGTCTTTTTTCTCCTGAGGGAGAGATTTTCACCTGGTTGTGTAGAATGGAGGAGGTGATTTGAGGTCTTCTATTTATACTGTCAACATTTCTGTTTTTTTTTTCTTTAACTCTTAACTCCTAAGCTGCTTGGGACTGTCATTTCTCTGTCAGGAGTTCCTGGCTGTCGTGTTTTTTTTTTTTTGTTTGTTTGTTTGTTTGTTTGTTTTTGACAGAGTTAAACAGAGAGAGAGAGACAGAGAGAGAGAAGTCTTCCTTTTCCGTTGGTTCACCCCCCAAATGGCCGCTATGGCCGGCGCGCTGCGTCAATCCGAAGCCAGGAGCCAGGTGCTTCTTCCTTGTCTCCCATGCGGGTGCAGGGCCCAAGCACTTGGGCCATCCTCCACTGCCTTCCCGGGCCACAGCAGAGAGCTGGACTGGAAGAGGGGCAACCAGGACAGAATGTGGCACTCCAACAGGGACTAGAACCTGGGGTGCCAGTGCCGCAGGCAGAGGATTAGCCTAGTGAGCCACAGCGCCGGCCTCTGGCTGTCTTGTTTCTTCTTCCTCATATTTTTTTCTTTTTTAAAGATTTACTTATTTTTGGAAAGGCAGGGTTATAGAGAGAAGTTTTCCATTTGCAGGTTCACTCCTCAAATGGCTGTACTGGCTAGGGCTGGGCCAGACCAAAGCCAGGAGCCTGGAACTCCATCTAGGTCTGTCATTGTGGGTGGCAGGGGCCCAAGCACATGGACCATCTTCTGTTTTTCCAATAGGAAACGGAGCAACTGGGATTTGAACTGATGCTTATATGGGATATTGCTTCGCTGGTGGCTGCACCACAACACTGGCCCCTCTTGTTTCATGCTTAGTCCTCATTTATTACTCTATAATTTTGAATTCTAAGCTCAAGGTTTCTGTAAATTAAATTTCATTTTTCAGGGAACAGATGAAGTAGCTTGTTATTTTTTAGTACTAAATTTTGTGGTCTTTTGATGCTTGAATTTTTTACTAGATTTTTTTTCTATATGAAATCAGTATTGGGCTGGCGTTGTGGCTTAATGGGTTAAGCTGCAGCCTGAGACTCAGGCATTCCATATGGGTGCTGGTTCGAGCCCTGGCTGCTCCACTTCTGATCCAGCTCCCTGCTAAGGCACTTGGGAAAGCAGCAGAACATAGCATAAGTTCTTGGGCCCCAGCACTGATGTGAGAAACCCAGATGAATCTCCTGGCCCCTGGCTTTGTCCTGGCTCAGCTCTGGCCACTGCAGCCACTTGGGGAATGAACCAATGGATGGAAAATCTCTCTCTACCCCCCAGTCCCTGTAACTTTACATTTCAAATAAATAAACAAAAAATCAGTTATTGATAAAGTTTTTAACATTTTAATCCCAAAAGATACTTGCTTTTCTAAGGAATGTGACAAAGTGCAGTGTCTCTACTTTGCAAATGCAGTAACTAAGACCTGGAGAGGTTGTGACTGTTGAGATTTGTGGAAAACAGAGATCCCCATCCTTGACCTCTGGAACTGCCACTTCATATCTGAGTGACAGTGGCTTGATTTAGCCAGCAGTTAATTTGGTTTGATATTTTAAAGTAGGAAAGGAAGTACTAATTCCTACCAAAGTTTATTTCAGAATGCTTTCTTAATCAGTTGCTGTTTTGTTTCATTTAAACCAGTAACACACTGGTCTGTTTTCTGTAGTACACCTGAGCAGGAGCAACTCATGGTGGTGTGGCTAAGTTGGATGATAAAAGAAGAAGCCTACTTTGAGAGGTAAGACGACTTGATTTGTTTCAGTTAGCTAGAAAGCTTTTCTCATTCTTTTTGGAAAGCTGTATTTTCTTTTCTGTTTTCACAGCACTTCAGGTGTGTCTGCTTCATTTGGGGAGATGTTATTGTTGGTGGCCATGTACTTTCACAGCAACCAACTTAGTGCCATCATTGACTTAGTGTGTTCCACTTTGGGGATGAAGGTAATTTTGTTTTTTTAATCTTCTTTCTAAAAGAAAGTGCTTCTAAGCTGGACATGTTATTGTAGTGTCAAGTAAATAGATTGTTTTCATTTGTGCAATTTTAGTTTTTTGATAGTTTGAAGTTTTATCATGAGCTCCTGAAAAAATGCACTTGGAGAACACTTATTTGTAAGAATTATAGATGTCCAGTACAGAAAGCTTGGAAAATACAAAACAAGAGAAAAAATCTAATTCTGTCATTCAGAAATTTCAGTTATACTACAAGCACTTGAGCCAACTGCCTCTACTTTCCCAGGCTGTTAGCAGGGAGCTGGATTGGAAGTGGAACACCTGGGACTCCAACCAGTACCTTTTATCTGCTCTGCCACAACGCTGGCCCTACAGTGGTATTTTATATAACTCTGAGGGTACTTCATAAAGTATGTGCAAAAGTAGAATTAAAAAGTAAGCTTATTTTGATGCAAAAATTTTTAAATCCATGCCTACTTTTTTCTTAATAAACACTTTTTAGAAGCTTTTTGAGACCCTTCATTTGCATACAGGCACTCACACATCTATGTCTTCATATGCTTATCAGGTTGTTTCTTAGGATAAAGTTCTAGAAGGAAGTTGACTAAGTAAAGGAGTATGATTATGATAAGATGTTTCATGAGGATTGCCTGATTACCTTTCAGAAAGATGACACCAGTTTAACTGTCCCTGTTGCTGAATGAGAAATTCTGTGTTTGTAAACTCCCACTGTTACTAGGCATTACCATTTTTCTTAGTCTTTGTAAATTTGATGAAGAATGTTTTTACTTATTTTGTACTTCTTTGTTTACAAGTAAAACTGTAGTTTTTCAAATCTATGGGTTTTGATTGTTTTCTTTGTGTATGAGGAGAACTCTTTTAGTATCCTAATTTTTCTGTAGAAATTTTTATTTTTCCTTTCATTGATTGATCAGTGGCTCTCCCTATAAAAGAAAACCATTCTGCCTTATATAATCATGTTTTGTTGATTTTAAGACATGCATTTTACCCAATACTGACACTCATGATTCATTTTACAATGGCATGTAGTGTAAATGTGATGGTGTTCCCCCTCCTCCCTTGTTTCCTTGAAAAACTACTATTAAGTCAGTGATGTATCTTATATTACTTAGTATATTTAAAAGTGAAGTATAATGTTACAGTTGATTTTGTCAAGTATTTTTTACTATGTAGAAATTATCACTTTTTATGTAGTATAATATTTCTATTGTGATTTTTATTTTGCCATTGTGCTTAGAAACTTTCTTTCCTTAAGTTTTTGTAACTTGTCACATTTTATCTTAGTGGTTTTTTTTGTGGCTTCATATTTTATATTAAATATTTAATCCATTTGGAGTTCATTTGGGTGCATGATAGTGTGAGTATGATTAAAATGTATTGGTGTGTATTCCTACTACCCACACAACAAGATAGCTAACCCAGCTCCATTTATCAAATTATGCATTTCCTTTCACTGACTTTAAATGACAATAATAGAATTTAATAAGCTGTTTTTATATTGATTCTGTTTCTGAGGGAAAACACACTTTAATGTTGGGTTTGAGACATTATTTCTGAAGCAGAGTGTGTACTTACTTTTTTTTAAATATTTTATTTATTTATTTGAAAGTCAAAGTTAAACAGAGAGAGGAAAGGTAGAGAGAGAGGTTTTCCATCTGCTGGTTCACTCCCCAATTGGCCGCAACGGCTAGAGATGCGCCAATCTGAAGCCAGGAACCAGGAGCTTCTTCTGTGTCTCCCACGTGGGTGCAGGGGCCCAAGGAGTCTGGCCAACTTCTGCTTTCCCAGGCCATAGCCGAGAGCTGGATCAGAAGTGGAGCGGCCATGTCTCAAACTGGCACTCAAATGGGATGCCAGTGCTTGAGGCCAGGGTGTTAACCTGCTGTGCTACAACACCAGTCCTGTGTACTTACATTTGAATACTAAATTTTATATAAGCCCAGCCATTTTAGATAATAAAAGCACCAGAGTAAGTTGTGCTTCATGTATTGGATTTTCATGTGCTGTTGTAATTCTTTTGGTTATTTTAGATTGTAATTAAGCCAAGCTCCTTGAGCAGAATGAAGACTATCTTCACACAGGAAATATTTACTGAACAGGTATTTTTATTTTATTCTTATTTATTTAACTTTTCTTTTACAATACCTTTGTGGGGAAACTTGTATATTTCATGTTAAGAGAACAGAATAGCCTTTCTCCATTGCTTTTTAACTTCTTTCTTTTTTTTTTTATTTTAAAGTTTATTATTTCTTTGAAAGTCAAGGGGAGAGAGAGAGAGAACGAGAGAGAGAGAACGAGAATGTTTGGTCTTCCATCTGCTGGTTCACTCCCCAAATGACCACAATGGCTAGGGCTGGCCTAGGCCAAAACCAGGAGTCAAGAGCTTCATCCAGATCTCCCACATGGATATCAGGGGCTCAAATAGTTGGGCCATCTTCCTCTGTTTTTCCCAGTCTGTTAGCAGGAACAGCTGGGACAAGAACTGGTGCCCATATGGCATTTTGGTTCTGTAGGCAGCAGCTTTGCCTGCTATGCCACAACGCCGTCCCCTGAGGGGAATCTTTGAGAGACACTTAGAAGTCTATGAATGACATCTTTTTTCTTAACATCCATTTTTATTTACTTGAAAGGCAGAGTTGCAAAAAGAGAGGGAGAGACAGAGATGTATCTTCCATCTTTCATTTGATGGTTCACTCTCCAAATGGCCACAATGGCCAGGGCTGAGCCAGGCCAAAGCCAGGAGTTTCTTCCAAGTCTCCCATGTGTATACAAGGGCCCAAACACCTGGGCTATCCTCCAATACCTTCCGCAGGTTATTCACAGAGAACTGAATGAGAAGTGGAGCAGCTGGGACACGAACCAGTGCCCATGTGGGATGCTGGTGTTGCAGGTGGTGGCTTTACCTGCTGTGCCACAACGCGGGTCCCAAATGTCATCCTGAGAATAAAAATTCCTGCTTATATTTATGTGATGCTTTGTGATTTACATAATGCATTTCCTAAAAGACTTCCCCCCCTCACAACAACCCTTTGAGGCAGGTAAAGCAGTATTCTATTTTGTACATGTAGAAATAGATTCCAATGATAAAGTAACTCCTCCAAAGCCAGTGAGCCCAGATTATAAGATGCCTACTTTTGGAGTTTTTACCTTTTTGCATTGCTGTGCATGTATCTATGTTTAAATGCAAAAAAAATCGAGAACTTTATAAATCACTGAATGTATGCTTTTTCATCATTCAGAAGAATTAAAATATGAAATAATCAATTGTTATCATTTGTAGGGAGTACATTTGAGTACTAATAGTTTATCTACTAATCCTCTCTGGTAAAAATAAGTTTAGATTTGGTTTAATCATATGTATTAATACTGTTTTTTCCTGTTAGGTTGTCACAGCTCATGCAGTTCGGGTCCCTGTTACGAGTAACCTGAGTGCCAACATCACTGGGTTTTTGCCTATCCATTGTATTTACCAGCTTCTCAGGAGTCGTTCCTTTACCAAGCACAAAGTGTCAATAAAAGTATGACCTTACATTTATTTTGAAAATTTAGCCCTAGTTAATGCTTTTTCCCCAGCTAATTCTGTTCCAATTTGTGGGCCTTTACTCTTTGCTTTGGGTATGAAAAATGTGCTGCCAGGCTGTGATACAAGTCATGTATGTAGCCATGGTAATTAGGAACCTAATTTCAGATTTCTAAAACAGTATAAATGTTAGTTAGAAAATGAATGTTATTAATTCTTTTAAATTTTCAGTGATAGCACATGACTATTTCATTAAAACTTAGAAGTTGCCATTTTCTTCTTTTTTCTCCCCCAGATTTTATTTGTTTATTTGAAAGGCAGAATTACAGAGAGAGGGAGAGACTGAGAGAGAGGTCTTCCATCTGCTGGTTCATTCCCAAAATGGCCACAGTGGCCTGCTAGGGCTGGGCCAAGCTGAAGCCAGGAGCCAAGAACTCTGTCCAGGTCTCCCATGTGGTTGTCAGGGGCCCAAGCACTTGTACCATCTTCCATTGCTTTCCCAGCAGGTAACTAGAATGGAAGTAGAGCAGCTGGGACTCAAACCAGAGCCCGTATGGGATAATGTCATTGCAGGTTGTGGCGTAACCTGCTATGCCACAATACTGGCCCTCGAAGTTGCCATTTTGCTTGCCAAATTGCTGATCAGCTATGACCAGTATTTGTAGATTTGTTACAAGGACACCTAACTAAACTGAAACTTATTTATCTGAAAGGCATCGCACAGAGAGAGAGGGACAGACAGAGATAGAGAGATCTTTGGTTTCCTGGTTAACTTCCCAAATAGCCACAACAGCCAGGACAGACCCATACTGAAACCAGGAGCCAGGAACTCTATCTGGGTTTCTAGGCGCATTAAAAGTGGAACAACTGGAACTCAAACTCTGTATTCTGCCATGGGATGCAGTGATGCTGCTCTTTGATGGCCCCAAATTGATACATATTTTAATGTTTTTAATTTTTTATGTTTGTTTATATCCAGCAGATATAAGAAAATCTAAGAATCTAAGAAAAGGCTATAACCCAGGAGTTAAAGAAATCTGAATCTTTTTAGAGGCATTTTTATTTACAAAGGAAAATGAACAGTATATGCATGATATATTACCTTTTTTTTTTTTTTTAATATTTAGAGAGAGGTCTTCCATCTGCTGGTTCACTCCCCAAATGGCAGCAATGGGCAGAGCTGGGCTGATGTATGTGCAGCGGCCCAAGCACCCGGGGCATCCTCCACTGCTTTCTCAGGCCATAGCAGAGAGCTGGATCAGAAGTAGAACATCTGGGACACAAACCGGTGCCCATATGGGACGCTGGTGCTGCAGACCAGGGCCTTAACCCACTGTACCACAGTGCCAACCAATATATTACATTTAATTGTTCTTATTTTTATGATTTAGTGAAATTATTTTTTAGCTATAATGCATCTTCTACATTTTTTAATTTTTATCATTGTAAAAGAGCTACGAACTAAGAATGAATATATACCTGCCATTTCTACATGTCTTCTATCCAGTGACAGTCAAGTGGGATCTTTATAGAGTGCTTATAAACTACTTTCTTTGAGTTCTGAGGATTTGCTATGTGGACCTATCCCTCTACCCAAATTCCTCTCTGCCGTGAGGTCTTCTATGGCAAGACACATCGTACTCTGCATACAGATATAGTAGGGACTGAGACTGTGTGTCTCACTGCTTAAAAACTAATCGATTACTCTCATAGCTAAGCTTCTCATTATTTTAGGTTCATCTAACACTGGAAAATATTTTCTATTAGGATATAAAAGTAGTTCATATTTTTAAATCAAAGGCAATTATGAAACTTAGTAATCTATTTGGAGCTACCAACAATGAATAATGAGTTTCATAGACTCACCACCACATAAAACCATTTGTGCCTCTATGATTTCACATGTGTTTTCTTATTGCCACAATTGATTCACTGCCTATAACCTTCTGTTTTAGGACTGGATTTATAGACAGCTGTGTGAAACCTCCACTCCACTCCATCCTCAGTTACTTCCTCTGATCGACGTGTACATAAATTCTATATTGACTCCTGCATCTAAATCTAATCCAGAAGCCACTAATCAGCCAGTCACAGAACAGGAGATACTCAATATTTTCCAAGGAGTCATTGGGGTAAAATAATGTCCTTCTACATTTATTGACTTATTTTTCTTCTATTTATTCTTCTGAGTTATTCTATTTTTTTTTTTTTTTTGTCTATCAAAACTTCAGGTTCTGATAAACTTGAGTTTAAAATGAGATTACATTTCCTCAGATCACTTGTGAAAATGGAAGAATGATACTAGTTTAAGTGATTTGTCAAAGGAACATTTTTTGAGGAATTATTTATTTAGTTATAAGAGATTTATTTATTTATTTGAAAGGCAGAGTTACAGAGATGGGGAGAGATTTTCCATTGGCCTGTTTACTCCCCCAAATGGTTGCAATGGCTGGGGTTGGGCCTGGCCAAAGCTTGGAGTCTAGAACTCTATCTGGGTTTCCCACGTGGCTGCAGGGGCCCAAGTACTAGGGTCATTCTGCTGCTGCTTTCCCAAGTGCTTTAGCAGGGAGCTGGATCTGAAGAACAGCTGGGACTCCAACTGGCACCCATTTAGGGTGCTGTGTCACTTGCTGCGCCACAATGCTGGCTCCTTGAAGAATGGTTGTTTTTAAAGAATTATTTTTATTTATTCGAAAGAGAGTTACAGAGAGGAGAGATCAGAGAAAGGAGAGTTATACACAGAGAGAGAGATCTTCCATCCACTGATTTATTGCCCAAATGGCTGCAATGACTGGGCTCAGCCAGGTTGAAGCCAGTATATTTTTCTGGGTCTCTCAAATGAGTGCAGGAACCCAAGGACTTGGGCCATCCTCGGCTGCTTGCCTAGGCATGTAAGCAGGGAGCTGGATTGAAGTGGAGCAGCTGGAACTTGAATCACCATCCATATGGGATGCTGGCGCTGCAGGCTGTGGCTTTAATCCTCTGTAACATAGCACTGGCCGCGGGAATTCTTTTGAAAGCTTTGTTTTAAAGTCTAAAAGGAGCCCTGGAGTTTGTGTGTATACATATAATTGTGATACATTTTTTTAAAAGATTTTTGTTTTATTTATTTGAAAGAGTTACAGAGAGGTAGAGACAGAGAGAGAAGTCTTTCATCCGCTGGTTCTCTCCCCAAACGGCTGCAACGGCCGGAGCTGTGCCGATCCGAAGCCAGGAGCCAGGAACTTCCTCTGGGTCTCCCAAGTGGGTGCAGGGGCCCAAGGACTTGGGCCAACTTCTACTGCTATCCCAGGTCATAACAGAGAGCTGGATCGGAACTGGAACAGCCGTGATTAGAACCGGCATCCATATGGGATGCTGGTGCTTCAGGCCAGGGCTTTAACCAGCTGTGCCACAGTGCTGGCCCCAGAATTGGGGTACATTTTAACACATTCAACAAAGCTTTGTGAAGCTTCCCAGGAATCTAAGGTATACCTAGGTTCATTTCTGGGAAATTTGATGAAAATGTTTTTTCCCTATTTAGTTAGAAAAGGAAAAAAAAAGGTACAGTTTTTCACATGTATATTAAATAATTAGAATTTAATATTACTGGGTATTTAATATAGTATCTTGTTTATGAAGTGCTTTCTTCATGATACTTTCAGATTGCACTTGAGACTGAGTAAGCCTGCCTATTATAGAAAATACTGTTGAGTGGTAGCTAAAGTCTCTTTTTGTCCTGTCTTAAAGACTGGTTAAGCACTTTGCCTTTCATCTCTATACCTTCACAATTTTCTTTTAACTGCAAGTTGTCTCTTTCATTTTAATGCAGACATTTCTCCCATTTTATCCAAGCTAAGAGCAGCATCACTGCTTAGTTTATTTTGATGCTTTTATTTTCAATAAAACCCAAAACCAAACCAAACAGCCCTCCTGGGATTTAAGGTGTTTTCAAGTGTTTACAATGCTCCCTGCAGGGGGACAACCTTCGCCTTCCTCAGCGTTTCAGTATCACAGCACAGCTTTTGGTGCTCTACTATATACTGTCTTACGAAGAGGCTCTTCTGGCAAACACGAAGACTTTAGGTAAGTTTTGCACTTAGGAGAGCTTCTGGTGGAAGTTCATTTTATTTTATTACAATTTGTTACTTTGCAAACTGTTATGTGATAAAATAAGGGCAGGTATTTTAATGCACTTCAGCATCATTTTATAATCCTTGCACTCTGGGCACTGTATACTTGATAGGTAAGTGCTGCTGTGTGGGCACATAACTACCCTTAACAGCTCAGTCTTCTTTTGGCAGGCTCAATTAATACATGAGTGAATTGTCTGTGTTGTGACAATTTTATTGATCTCATTCATTAAATAGAAGTTGACATAAAAGGAAGGAGCTGTAACTGAAATTTTTGCTTGATTTTAGTTGTTACCCTGTCTTCTTTCTGTTAATGTTAGCAATAATAACCTTATCAAAGCAATAGGAAAAAAAGAAGCAGTTAAAGATTTTCTTTATACCATTACAGTTATCACTGAGTTGGGTTTTTTCTTTTTTTTTTAATATTTGTTTATTTAAGAATCAGAGTTGTGGACATAGAGAGGGAGAGGCAGAGAGAGAGAGGGAGCGGTCTGCTTGTTCTCCCCAATGGCCACAATGGCCAGAGCTGTGCTGATCCAAAGCCAGGAGCCAGGAGCTTCTTCCAGGTTGCCCATGTAGGTGCAGGGGCCCAAGCACTTGGGCCGTCTTCTACTGTTTTCTTAGGCTATCAGCAGAGAACTGGATTGGAAATGGAACATCCAGGACTGGAAACGGCGCCCATATGGCATGCCAGTGCTGCAGGCGGAGGCTTTACCTACTATGCCATAGCACTGGCCCCCTGAATTGGGTTTTCACTACTTCATGTTTTATCAGAAAGTCAGATTTAGAATGTGACGTATCAGTATAAAGAAGCATGTTTTTCTGTATTTTTAAAAGCAAGTTTACCCGATCTTAGGCTTGTTAAATGTATGTAGTTTTAAACTTTTTTTTCATATTTTTTATAAAAGATTTTTTTTATGTGAAAGAGTGATAGAGAGGGAATGAGAAAGAGATATCTTCCTCCTGTCTGCTGATTGACTCCCCAAATGCTCACAGTAACCAAGTCTGGGCTAAGCCAAAGCCAGGAGCCAAGAATTACATCTGGGTCTCCCATATGGTTGGCAGGGGTCCAAATACTTGAGCCATGTTTTGCTGCTTTTCCAGGTACATTATCAGGAAGTGGAATTGGAAGTGGAGTACCTGGTACTTGAATCAGTACTCCAGAATGGGTTGCCAGTGTCATATGCAGTGGCTTAATGCTACATCATGACACAGGCCCCATTTTTCGTATTTGCAAGAAAAAAATATTAAACACTGTTGCCACTGAGTATATATTACAGGGAAAATTCTTGTAAAACTGATAATTTTGCCACAATTCAGTGATTTTATTTTTTAAAGATTTATTTATTTATTTGAGAGGCAGAGTTACAGACAGAAAAGGAGAGAGGTCTTCCATCCACTGGTTCACTCCCAAATGGCTTCAATAGCCAGAGCTGAGCTGATCTGAAACCAGGAGCTTCCTCTCGGTCTCTCATGTGGGTACAGGGGCCCAAGCACTTGGGTCATCCTCCACTGCTTTCCCAGGTCATAATCAGGGAGCTGCATTGGAAGAGAAGCAGTCAGGACATGAGCCAGCATCCATATGGGATGCTGGCAGCACAGGCGAAGCTTAACCTACTGTGCTATAGTGCTGGCCACACAGTGATTTTGTTTTTAAAACCTGTAAATTAAAATTAGTTTTCAGTATTTGGAAGATCAGTTTCTTTTTGTTCAAAGTATTGTATTTTAAATATATTGTAGGCCGGCGCCGCGGCTCACTAGGCTAATCCTCCGCCTGGCGGCGCCGGCACACCGGGTTCTAGTCCCGGTTGGGGCGCCGGATTCTGTCCCGGTTGCCCCTCTTCCAGGCCAGCCCTCTGCTGTGGCCAGGGAGTGCAGTGGAGGATGGCCCAGGTGCTTGGGCCCTGCACCCCATGGGAGACCAGGAAAAGCACCTGGCTCCTGGCTCCTGCCATCGGATCAGCGCGGTGCACCGGCCGCAGTGCGCCGGCTGCGGCGGCCATTGGAGGGTGAACCAACGGCAAAGGAAGACCTTTCTCTCTGTCTCTCTCTCTCACTGTCCACTCTGCCTGTCAAAAAAAAATATATATTGTAAATTCTCACTTGTGTTTTTTTTTTCCTGATTATAATTGTAAAGGTTATACAGATGTTACCCTGTAACTTTTATTATAGTCTTTGTCATAGTAGGGAAAAGATGGCTTAGTAATAAGTATTAGGTAATAGTCTCTCACTGCTATCCGCATATTGACAATGAATTCTCTGAGAATAATTTTTATTTAATAAATAGTTCCTAGAAGAATGACATACCAAGAGCTGTTCTAGGGGAGAATTCAGAATGCTAATACTGTTAGCAGGGAACCAAATACACCTTAGTTTTTATCTTAATGGGTCAAACTTGAGAGCAAGAAGTGAAGGTTGACTCAGAAGTTTTGGCCAGGCCGGCGCCGCGGCTCACTAGGCTAATTCTCCGCCTGTGGCGCCGGCATGCTGGCTTCTAGTCCCAGTCGGGGCGCTGGATTCTGTCCCGGTTGCCCCTCTTCCAGGCCAGCTCTCTGCTGTGGCATAGGAAGGCAGTGGAGGATGGCCCAAGTCTTTGGGCCCTGCACCCGCATGAGAGACCAGGAGAAGCACCTGGCTCCTGGCTTCGGATTGGCACAGTGCGACGGCCGTAGCAGCCATTTGGGTAGTGAACCAATGGAAAGGAAGACCTTTCTCTCTGTCTCTCTCTCTCACTGTCCACTCTGCCTGTAAAAAAAAAAAAAAAAAAAAAAGAAGAAGAAGAAGAAGAAGAAGTTTTGGCCTGAGCATAAACGAGAGGGGCTGGCATTGTGCCGCAGCGGATTGAGCTGTCACCTGGGGCACCAGCATTCCAAATTGGAGTGCCAGTTTGAGTCCTGGCTGCTCTGCTTCTGATCCAGCTTCCTGCTATTGCACCTGGGTGGGAAGGTAGCAGATGATGGCCCAAGTACCTGGGTCCCTATCACCTATGTGAGAGCTTTAGTTGGGGTTCCTGGCTCCTGGCTTTGGTCTGAGAGCCCTGGCTATTGTGGCCATTTGGGGAGTGAACTGGTAGGTAGAGGATCTCTTTCTCTCTCTGTCTCTGTCTCTGTCATTTTGCCTTTCAAATAAATAATATAAATCTTAAAAACAAAAAAAGAGCCTGCAGATGGACCAGGTTTGTAGGAGAACAGGAGCTGGGTTTGGACATGTTGAGGTGTCTGTTAGATGTCAGGTGAGTGTGTTGCATAGGCAGCTATATGTGTGGGCTAGAATTTAGGGGAGATATTTGTATCAAAGCTTTGAGACTGTTTGGAATACGTATGATATATAAAATCATCAACATTAAATGAGATCACCAAGGGATGGAGAATAGGAGGAAAACCAGGAGCACATGGGGTGTCCTGGATGCCAAGAGAAGAGTATTTGAGAGGGGAGCTCGTGATCACTAATGTCAAATGATCTTGATAGAGACGTTAGAACTAAGGCCTAGCTAATGGCTGCATATAGCTTGCTAGAGATCATTTCACCTTTACAGTTTCATTGGCAAAGTATCTAAACGAAAGCCTGATTGTAGTGGATTCAAAAGGGAATCAGAGGAGACATGCTGGAGACAGTGAGAAGAGATAGCTCTGGGACCGGCGCTATGGTGCCTTAGGCTAAGCCTCTGCCTGCAATGCTGGCATCCCATAAGGGTGCTGGTTCTAGTCCTGGCTGCACCAGCCCTCTGCTATGGCTTGGGAAAGTAGTGGAAGATGGCCCAAGTACTTGGGCCCCTGCACTCATGTGGGAGCCCAGGAAGAAGCTCCTAGCTCTTGGCTTTGGATCAGTCCAGGTCTGGCCATTGTGGCCATCTGGGGAGTGAACCAGCGAATGGAAGCCCTTTCTCTCTGTCTCTCTTTCTGTCTGTAACTGTACCTCTCAATAAATAAATAAAATCTTTAAAAAAAGAGAGAGACAGAGCCGGCACCATGTCTCACTTGACTAATCCTCTGCCTGTGGCACCGGCATCCCATATGGGTGCTGGGTTCTAGTCCCGGTTGCTCCTCTTCAGTCCAGCTGTCTGCTGTGGCCCATGAAGGCAGGGCCCCTGCACCAGTATGGGAGACCAGGAGGAAGCACCTGGCTCCTGGCTTTGGATGGGCGTAGTTCTGGCCATAGCGGCCATTTTAGGGGTGAACCAACGGAAGAAAGACCTTTCTCTCTGTGTCTCTCTCTCACTATCCAACTGTATCTGTCACTAAACATAAGGAAAGAAACAAGCGAGAGAGAGAGACCTTTTAATGAGTTGTAAAGAGGCAGAGAGAAGTGATGTGGTAATTGATAAGGAATATGAGGTCAGAAGAGAAGAGGAAGACGCCCTTTTTTTTTTTTTTAATGAAAGAGAGAAGAGAAAATTAGTATGCTGTTGAATAATCTATGGAGAAGGGTGGATTGATGAAACAGGAGAGGGAACAAATCCTGGAGTGATGTCTTTAATAGGTAGGAGGAGGTGGGGTGTAGAAGGCAAGTAGGATTGGCCTTTCCTTAGAGGACTTTTCCTCCTTGTTAGGAGATTTTTTTCCTAGTTTAGTTTCTCAAATCCAGGGAAACATATTCATGTAACTGTAGAATGTGTCACAACATGGGAGAGTTTTGCTCTTCTGGAGCCGTATCAATGATTATTTTTTCTCAGATGTATTCCTGCCTGTGACACTGTATTGGAGCTTTGACATCCCGCTCTCTCTTCTGTGACTGCGGGCCTTTAATAAATATTATTGGCAGCTTCCAGGTAGCTGCAGAAGCTCTAAAACAGAATTCTGAAATTTGAGTAGAGTCACGAAAATATCATAGCCATTTTGAAAAGTATGTTTAGATGTATACATTTTTGTTTGCTTTAGAATATTTTAAAGAGATTTCTTTTTATTTTTTTAAACAATTTATTTATTTGGGAGGTAGAGTTACAGACAGTGAGAGGTAGAGACACAGAGAGAGGTCTTCCATTCACTGGTTCACTCTCCAAATGGTCACAACGCCAGAGCTGCGCCAATCTGAAGCCATAAGCCAGGAGCTTCTTCTTGTTCTCCCATGCGGGTACAGGGGCCCAAGCACCTGGGCCATCCAATAGGATCCTAAAGACCACCTCACTCTTCAATAAGTAAAAGCCATTACTTGATTAACTCATCCTCATGCTTCACTTCATTTAGTAATAAAGTCCTTCTTGGTGACCAGCAGAAGACGACACTTTCTCCAGTACTAGGGAAGCCATTGTGTTCACTGGCTTTAAATTACTGAACTTGAGGTTTTCTTTTGTACTTGATAGTTTTCCTCTGACAAGAAAGTTACTTCATCTGCCCCTTTCAAGAGAAACCTTTCAGCAAGCATTGACAGACTTTGTTTCTTAGCAGCTTGAAGTCTTAGAGCTGTAAAGCTTAGAGTCAAATCAAATACTGACAAAAAATACGAAGCCGGCGCCGCGGCTCACTAGGCTAATCCTCCGCCTAGCGGCGCCGGCACACCGGGTTCTAGTCCCGGTTGGGGCGCCGGATTCTGTCCCGGTTGCCCCTCTTCCAGGCCAGCTCTCTGTGTGGCCAGGGAGTGCAGTGGAGGATGGCCCAGGTGCTTGGGCCCTGCACCCCATGGGAGACCAGGAGAAGCACCTGGCTCCTGCCATCGGATCAGCATGGTGCACCGGCCGCAGTGCGCCGGCCGCGGCGGCCATTGGAGGGTGAACCAACAGCAAAGGAAGACCTTTCTCTCTGTCTCTCTCTCTCACTGTCCACTCTGCCTGTCAAAAGAAAAAAAGAAAAAGAAAAAATACGGGAACTATGGCTGCAGGAGGAAGGCCTGATAAAGGTGTGAGAAGCTGAAGGCAGGGAAGTTGTCTTTAGTAGATATTCAACAAGGGATGAATAGGCACTGATGGAATTTAAAAAAAAAAAAGAATGGACTTGCTGGCTGAAGGTGTGAGTTGTAAGAGAATGAAGTTGAATTCATGTTGCCTAACTTCCTTTAGGAAGAGTCTGTTAACTCCTGCTGTATGTGATTAGATTAAGGACCTAGAAACAGCCTTCTGTTCATGATTGTGTTCATCAAATCTAATTTGATTTTCCAAGTAAAATCTTTAGATTTTATTTATTTATTTGAAAGACAAAGTTACAAAGAAGCAGAGACAGAGAGAGAGAGAGAGAGAGAGAGGTCTTCCATCCACTGGTTCACTCGCAGATGGCCACAATGGCTGCAGCTGCGCCGATCTGAAGCCAGGGGCCTGGAGCTTCTTCTGGGTGTCCCTTGTGGAGCAGCCGGCACAGCGGGTTAACGCCCTGGCCTGAAGTGCCGGCATCCCCTATGGGCGCCAGTTCTAGTCCCGGCTGCTCCTCTTCTGATCCAGCTCTCTGCTATGGCCTTGGAAAGCAGTAGAAGATGGCCCCTGCATCTACTTGGGAGACCCGGAAGAAAATCCTGGCTCCTGGCTTCAGATCGGCACAGCTCCGGCCATTGCAGCAATCTGGGGTGAACCAGCAGATGAAAGACCTCTCTCTACCTCTCTCTGTAACTCCTAATTAAATAAATAAAATAAATCTTTAAAAAAAGATAAGTGGAGCAGCTGGGATTCAAACCAGTACCCATATGGGATGCTGACACTGTAGGAGGTGGCTTTACTTGCTACAACACAGAGCGCCTGCCCCTGGGGAAATCTTGACTAACTTAATCATTCTTTTAATATGCTTTTGTACATGGCTTCTCTCACCTATTATGAGTTTTATTATCATTTGAATTCTAGCACATTTTTACCCTTTGCTATATTCTTGCTGTCTTGTGATCCACTGTTTTGGTAGTGATTTTGCAACCTTTATGTTCTGTATTCACAGATTAAATGAATTAAAAGCACCTTAAATTTGTTTTTTTTTTTTTTGTTGTTCCCTTTTGAGTTGAAGGTTAAGATTTCTATTTTTCCTGACACGTTATTCATGTCATACTTTTTATCTTTGATTGACAGCTGCCATGCAAAGGAAGCCCAAATCATATTCCTCTTCTTTGATGGATCAGATTCCTATCAAATTCCTTATTCGACAGGCTCAAGGGCTGCAGCAGGAGTTGGGAGGTATATTTGTTTTATTTGTTCTTTATGTTAAAGTTGATTTTTTAAAAAATACTGTATCATTTATAATGTTATAAAATGTAGTAATAGATGCTCAGGGTTAAAAATTTAAACAATTCATGTGTAAAATTCCTTTCTACTTCCCTCACTAAATCCATCCCTGCTAACTACCCTTCAACCCAGAAAAACCACAGCTGTTTTCAGTTTGGTACGTATGTTCATACATTTTCATCTTGTAGCATGTACCATATGAAATTGTAGGTATTTCAGCTTTTTTTTTATTAAGGAACAGGACTAGTAGTGTTTTTTTTTTTCTTTTTTAAGATTTATTTATCTTACTTGAAAGTCAGAGTTACAAGAGGCAGAGAGAAAGAGAGAGAGAGAGAGAGATTGATTGATTGATCTTCTATCCACTGATTCACTCCCCAAATGGTTGCAATGGCTGGAGCTGGGCCCATCTGAAGCAGGAGCCAGGAGCTCTTGGACCATCTTCTGCTGCTTTCTCAGGCCATAGCAGAGAGCTGGATCAGAAATGGAGCAGCCGGGACTTCAACCAGTGCCCATATGGGATGTCAGCACTGTAGGCAGCGGCTTTCCATGTTATGCCACAGCACTGGCCCAGGACTGGTAGTATTAATTGGTCCAGCTTTATGAATCCGATTATGTCTGAGATACCTTAAATATCACTTATCTCAATCTCTTTTTTTCTCTTAATTTTTATTTATTTTCATTTTATATGAAAGGCAGATGGGAGGGGTTCAGTAAGAGGAGGGAGGGAGGGGGAGAGAGAGAGAAAGAGACTTTCTGTATGCTGATTCACTCCCTAAATGCATGTAACAACTAGGGCTGGGCTAGGCTGAAGCCAGGAGCCCAGAACTCTATCTGGGTGTGTGAAACCCACATTGTTGGCAATTACCCAAGTACTTGAGCCATTGTCTACTGCCTTCTAGGGTACACATTAGCAGGAAGCTGAATCAAAGATGGAGAGACCACTGCTGGCCTCAGATACGGGATTTGGATGTACTAAGTGGCAACTTAACCACTGTACCAAATGCCCACTCATCACCTATTTTTGACCTATAAAAACAGTAGTTTTGGGGCCTGTGCTGTGGCGCATCAGGTTAAAGCTCTGGCCTGCAGCGCCAGCATCCCATGTGGGTGCTGGTTAGAGTCCCAGTTGCTCCACTTCCAATCCAGCTCTCTGCTAATGCACCTGGGAAGGGAGCGGAGAATGGCCCAAGTCCTTGGGCCCCTGCACCCATGTGGAAGACCCAGAAGAAGCTCCTGGCTCCTGGCTTCAGATCAGTGCAGCTCCAGCCGTTGTGGCCATTTGGGGAGTGAATCATTGGATGGAATACCTCTCTCTCTCTCTAACTCTTTCAAATAAAATAAATCTTAAAAAAAAATTTCATATGGTTAAACCTAAGAAATATGTATTAAAATAAAGAAAGGTTTTTAAACCATGAATAGTATTATGCTGTGACTCTTTTGAGTCATGCTTTTTTTTCGGACTCTTGGATATCTTTTCTTATCAGTACAAGTAGATCTATCTTACTGTTTTTAATTGACTGCTCTGTGTCTCTCCCTCTCTGTGTAACTACCTCATAAATAAATAAATAAAATCTTTTTTAAAAAAGGGAAATATAGTATTTCTTGAAAATGTTTTTTTTTTTTATTTTAAAGATTTATTTATTTGAAAAAGAAGGAGAGACATAGAGAAGAGAGAGATCCTTCATTCGCTGGTTCACTCTCCCCAGATGGCTGCAACCATCATGGCTGGTTCAGGACAAAGCCAGCAGCCAGGAGCTTCATCTGGGTCTCCCAACAGGGTACAGGGGCTGAAGCGCTTGGGCCATCTGCTGCTGCTTTCCCAAGCACAGTGGTAGTGAGCTGGATCTGAAATGGAATGGCCAGGACTTGAATCCGTGCCCAGATTGGTTGCTGGTACCTCAGATGGTAGCTTAACCTGCTGGCCCCAGATATTTTTTTCTAATTAAATATCTCTATAATGTTTGAGTGTGTATGTGTGTGTGTTTTAAAGAATTATTTTATTTTATTTGAAAGACAGAGTTTCAGAGCGAGGTAGAGCTAGAGAGAGAGAGAGAGAGAGAGAGAGAGAGAGATATCTTCCATTCCACTGGTTCACTCTCCAAATGACCACAATGGCCAGAACTGAGCTTATCTGAAGCCAGGAGCCAGGAGCTTCTTCCCAGTCTCCCACGTGGGTGCAGGGGCCAAAGGAGTTGGGTCATCTTCTACTGCTTTCCCAGGCTGTAGCAGAGAGCTGGATAGGAAGTGGAGCAGCTGGGACTTGAACCAGTGCCCATATGGGATGCTGGTGCTGCAGGCTGGAGCTTTAACCCACTGTGCCACAGCATTGGCCCCAAGTGCGTTTTTTTTAAATTCTTTGGAATTTTCTTTTTTTTTTTTCTTTTCCTTTTTACTTCTTATGGTTAATTTCAAAGAGAAACGTGAGCCTTCATTGATCATCTTTAACCAGATGTCTGTATTTATTTACTTGTATATTTGCGTAGTGTATTTCCAAAGAAATGATGTTGGATTTGGAGGTAACATGTTTTATTGAAAGCAGTCTGAATGTAGATTACTTCACACAGTTTTAAGAAGTTGTTTTTTGTGTGTGACTTTTGTGGATAGCTTTAACTGTACAAATATTCCTATGCATTTAGAGATTTAAGCTTTAAAATAGTACTACTTTTGATTGTTATATATTTTCAAATATATGCCAGTTTTAAGCAGTTGCTGTTAGAAAAGAAGCAGAATAAGCGGAATAACTTACAAATCATGTAAGTTATACAAAAAGTCATAAACAAAGTGTGCTGTAGGCAAAATGTTAGAAATAGAGCGTTGATGTAGTAAAAATGGTTTCCTGTTCTTTTTTATTTCCTTAACTATTCTTGCAGGGAGAAAAGCACCCCTGTTGTGGGTGTCATTAGTACTGCTTCTGTTGGCTAACACTTTGGCATCACTAATAAAGGAATTACACAGTGTTTATTACTTCAGGATGGAGGACATTGTTGTGTACTTTATGAGAAAATTGAGGTGAAGTGAAGAACAGTATAGAAAGTAACTAACCTTTTTGATACATGTGGTGGAAATTTAAGTTTTACCCATCTGTGGCATTGATTCTCATTAGGCTTAGAGGAAAGGGCGTGTTCTTTTTTTTTTTTTAAGGATTTACTTCATTTATTTGAAAGAGTTACAGAGGGAGAGGTAGAGACAGAGAGGGGTCTTCCATCTGCTGGTTCATTCCCCAGATGGCTGCAATGGCCAGAGCTGCGCCAATCCAGAGGCAGGAGCCAGGAGCCTCCTCCAGGTCTCCCACGTGGGTTGCTGGGGCCCAAGTACGTGGGCTATCTTCTACTGCTTTCCCAGGCCATAGCAGGGAGCTAGATTGGAAGTGGAGCAGCCAGGACTCAAACCGGCACCCATATGGGATGCTGGCGTTGTAGGCGGCGGCTTTACCCACTACGCCACAGCGCTGGCCCCTCCCTTCAACTCTTGAATCATTGATGCATCAAACAGCTTTTCCTGATGGGAGGCTGTTGTTTTATTGCAATGGCGTAGAAGAAAGCTTATGGCTGGCGCCGCAGCTCACTAGGCTAATCCTCCGCCTTGTGGCGCCGGCACACTGTGTTCTAGTCCTGGTCGGGGCGCTGGATTCTGTCCCGGTTGCCCCTCTTCCAGGCCAGCTCTCTGTGTGGCCAGGGAGTGCAGTGGAGGATGGCCCAAGTACTTGGGCCCTGCACCCCATGGGAGACCAGGAGAAGCACCTGGCTCCTGCCATCGGATCAGCATGGTACGCCGGCCGCAGCGCGCCAGCCGCGGCGGCCATTGGAGGGTGAACCAACGGCAAAGGAAGACCTTTCTCTCTGTCTCTCTCTCTCACTGTCCGCTCTGCCTGTCGAAAAAAAAAAAAAAAAAAAAAGAAAGCTTATGAATTTTTGTTGTAAGTAGTGATTTCAAACTCTCTGTGTATCAGATTACTTCAGAATTTTTATTCATTTATTTATTTAGATGTATTTGTTTAATGTGTTTGAAAGAGAGAGACAAAGAGATATCCCTTCCGTCTGCTGGTTCATTCCCCAAATACCAACAACAGCTGTGCAGGGCCAGGCTGAAGCCAGGAGCCAGGAAGTTAGTCTGAATCTCTCACATGGGTGCTAGAGATCCGACTGCTGCCTCCCAAGGTGTGCGTTGGTAGGAATCTGGAATGGGACTGGAGCTGGGACTTGAACTCTGGCATTCTGATATGGGATGTGGGCATCCCAAGAGGCATCTTAACAACTGTTCCAAATGCCTACCCTGGGGATCTTTATTTAAGTAGATTCCTTGGCTCCAGCTACTATACAGAAGTTCTTGGCCGGCGCCGCGGCTCACTAGGCTAATCCTCCGCCTAGCGGCGCCGGCACACCGGGTTCTAGTCCCAGTCGGGGCGCCGGATTCTGTCCCGGTTGCCCCTCTTCCAGGCCAGCTCTCTGCTGTGGCCAGGGAGTGCAGTGGAGGATGGCCCAAGTACTTGGGCCCTGCACCCCATGGGAGACCAGGATAAGTACCTGGCTCCTGCCTTTGGATCAGCGCGGTGCGCCGGCCGCAGCGCGCCGGCTGCGGCGGCCACTGGAGGGTGAACCAATGGCAAAGGAAGACCTTTCTCTCTGTCTCTCTCTCTCACTGTCCGCTCTGCCTGTCAAAAAAAAAAGAAGTTCTTGAACTGTGGTATGCCTGTATAAGAAGTACATTTTCCAAAGTTTGTTTATTTGAAAGCTAGAGTTACAGAGGGATAGATCTTCTATCCACTCCCTAAATGGCCAGAACATTCAGGACTGGGCCAGGCTGAAGGCAGGAGCCAGGAGCTTCATCTGGGTCTCCTACATGGGGACAGTGGCCCATGTGCTTGAGCCATCTTCTGCTGCTTTCCCAGGTGCATTAGCAGGGAGCTGGATCAAAAGTGGAGTGGCTGGGACTCAAACTGGCCATATTGGTGCCCACATGGGATGCTGATGTTGCTGGCAGCAGCTTAACCCTCTGTACCACAATACCTGCCCAAAATAAATAAATCTTTTTTTTAAAAGATGAAGTGCATATTCTTAGGGCTGTATAAAGAAAGAGGTAGTGTGGGCCAGCACTGCGGCTCAATAGGCTAATCCTCCGCCTTGTGGCGCCGGCACACTGGGTTCTAGTCCTGGTTGGGGCGTCGGATTCTGTCCCAGTTGCCCCTCTTCCAGGCCAGCTCTCTGCTATGGCCAGGGAGTACAGTGAAGGGTGGCCCAAGTGTTTGGGCCCTGCACCCCATAGGAGACCAGGAGAGCACCTGGCTCCTGGCTTCGGATCAGCATGGTGTGCCGGCTGCAGCGCGCCGGCCGCGGCGGCCATTGGAGGGTGAACCAACGGCAAAGGAAGACCTTTCTCTCTGTCTCTCTCTCTCACTGTCCACTCTGCTTGTCAAAAAAAAAAAAAAAAAAAAAGAGGTAGGGGAGATTTTTGTGTTTGAGAATAGACTGTCTAATTGACTTGCTGTACATTTTCAAGGATTGCATTCAGCTTTACTACGTCTTCTTGCAACTAACTACCCACATTTATGTATTGTGGATGACTGGATCTGTGAAGAAGAAATCACAGGGACTGACGCTTTGTTAAGACGAATGCTCCTGACTAATAATGCCAAAAACCACTCTCCTAAACAGCTCCAAGAAGGTAAAGTAAATTGACACGATTTTGACCTGTTTAATAGTACGAAGAGATGCTGGGCTAATAAAAAAATCTTCTAACCATATAGTTTTCCTGAACATATTGTGAATTACTCTTATTAATTACCTTAAATACTTCTCTGAGTTTAAGGTATCTTAACCATTTTTTTTCACATACATTTGAATCTTTTCCCTCATGGGTCTGGTGTTATACCCCTGCAAAGCTGGTATAGGTATTAGGAATATCAGAAACTAGTTAGAAATAAATGGACTAGAATAGAGCAGTATACTTAACTGTTAAAGGATAATGCTGTAGTTTAGTACTTTTGACTAGAAATATGTGAACCACATTATAAACCTTCTAGTAGCTACATAAAAAAGAAAAAGGCCAAATAAATAATTATTTAACCAATTATATCTAATGTATTTTTTGAAAGAATATTTATTTGAAAGGCAGAGTTATAGAGAGAGAGGCAGAGACAGAGAGAGAGAGAGAAAGAGAGAGATCTTCCACCCACTCTTTCATTCCCCAGATGGCTACAATGGCAGTAGCTGGGCGACCCGAAGCTAGGAGCCTGGAGCTTCTTCCAGGTCTCCCATGTAGGTGCAGAGGCCCAAGAACTTGGGCCATCTTCTACTGCTTTCCCAGGCCATAGCAGAGAGCTGGATGGGAAGTAGAGCAGCTGGGATGTTGGCACTGCAGGAGGTGGCTTTACCTGCTGTGCCACAGTGCCGACCCCTCCATTGTTAATTTATCATGTAGTCAATATGAAAATTGAGATTTCTGCTTTTCCCCCTACATAAGTCTTTGTGATTTGGTATATATTTTATGCTTATTATACCTTAGCTTGGTCTAGCTACATTTCAGGTACTCAGTAGCCACATGGGTTAGTAACTGCTCTATTGGAGAGCATAGATCTAGATATTTTTTAGTAATACCAATCTACCGGATGCCTACATTCTGAGAAGGGCACCACCTGGAGGAAAATATAAAAAGTTTGAACATTTCAAATGAGTTTTAACTACCAAAAGCAATGCTTTGATGTATTTTCCTGTTTCAGTCTTCTTTTTTTAATTTATTTTATTTTAGTTATTTGAAAGGCAGAGTGACAGAGATGAGTGATAGATGGAGAAAAATCTTCCATCCACTGGTTCACTTCCCAAATGGCCACAATGGCTAGAGCTGGGCCAAGTGCAAGCCAGGGATCTTGGAGTTTCACCTGGATCTCCCATGTTGGTGGCTGGGGCCCAAACACTTGGGCCCTTCTCCTCTGCTTTCTCGGGGAAGCCGGGTCAGCACTGACCCCACCATCCTCTTTTTTTTTTTTTTTTTTTGAAGATTTAGTTATTTATTTGAAAGTCAAAGTTACAGAGAGAGAGAGAGAGAGAGGGAGGTCTGCATCTGCTGGTTCACTCTCCAGTTGGCTGCATTGGCTGGAACTGCACCAATCTGAACAAAGCCAGGAGCCTTGAGCCTCCTCTGGGTCTCCTACATTGGCACAGGGGCCCAAGGACTTGGGCCATCCTCCGCTGCTTTCCCAGGCCATAGCAGAGAGCTGGATCAGAAGTGGAGCAGCTGGGACTTGAACCAGTGCCCATATGGGATGCCAGCACTGCAGGCTGCAACTTTATCCACTACTCCATAGTGCCGGCCCCCTCCCACCATTCTCTCTTTAAAGTTAGCCTGAATCACCAAGAAAATAACATTGATCTTCAGGTCACTGATGGGATTTAAAAAATATTTTTGTTTGGGGCTGGTGGTGTGGTATAGCAGGTACAGCCATTGCCTGCAGCACTGGCATCCTGTATGAGCACCAGTTCGAGTCCTAGCTACTCCACTTCCAATCCAGCTCCCTGCTAGTGGCCTGAGAAAGCAGTAAAAGGTGGCCCATGTCCTTGGGCCTCTGCATACACATGGGAGACCAGATTAAGCTCCTGGCTCCTGGCTTCTGGCTTTGGCCTGGCCCAGCCTTGGCTGTTGTGGCCATTTTGGGAGTGAACTGGTGGATAGTGGGTCTGTCTCTCCTTCTCTTTCTGTAACTGTTTTTCAAATAAATAAATAAATATCTCTTACAAATTTTTGTCCTTTACTAAATAACAACTGTTCTTCCATAAGTTTTTCTTACAGCCCTTATTTTAAGTTGAGTCACAACTATAGCTAGGATTGAAAGTTTTGCTTTTTAGCCGTTTTCTTGATTTATTTTGCCTTTGGTCTGAGAGAGCAATATTACTTCCTCCTTGGTAAAGTTTATGGAATTTAGATTGATTGTTAAATTTGTTCTCTTTTTTAGCATTTTCAGCTGTTCCAGTAAGTCACACACAAGTGATGCAGATTATAGAACATTTGACTCTACTGTCTGCTAGTGAACTTATACCATATGCGGAAGTATTAACATCCAACATGAATCAGCTATTGAATTCAGGAGTCCCGCGGAGAATTCTCCAAACAGTCAATAAATTATGGATGGTTCTTAATACTGTGATGCCTAGAAGGTAAGTTCAGTCCATTGTTACATGTGGTAGATAAATGTGTAGCAGTGATAATATGCAAAAATATAAACTTAATTGTTGGAAGAAAATTTTCATGAGACTGCTTATGTTAACGTATCTCCTTTTTAAAGACTACTGGTAAAAGAGTTGTTATAACAGTAAAGAAAAGAGTAAACATTTTTTACTTTTTAAATTTTTAATTGGTTTTTAATAGATTCAGTGTGATTTATAGGCACAATTCTAAGAGCATAATATAACGAAAAACATTAATTTCATCTTACGAAATAGAAGAAACCTTAAAGTATTTCCAAGTTTTTTAATAGGGCTTTCTTTCTTTCTTTTTTTTTTTTTTTAAACTTGCTCCATCCATGGTCAAGCTCTGGTTTTCTTTCTTCCTTTTTTTTTTTTTTTATTTTAAGATATATTTATTTGAAAGTTACACAGAGAAGGAAAGGCAGAGAGAGAGCGGACTTCCATCTTCTGGTTTACTCCCCAAATGGCCGCAATGGCCAGAGCTGTGCCAGTCTGAAGCCAGGAGCCAAGAACTTCCTCCAGGTCTCCCACACAGGTGCAGGGGCCCAAGGACTTGGGCCAACTTCTACTGCTTTCCTAGGCCATTGCAGACAGCTGGATCAGAAGTAGAGCAGCTGGCCCCAGGGCATTCTTATGTATAGTCATTTGTAGCTAATTATGATTTCAGTCACCATTGTGTGTATGTGTGTGTGTGTTTAAGATTTACTTTTTATTTATTTGAAAGGCAAAGTTAGAGGGAAAGACAGTGTTTTAGAGATCTTCCATCTACTGGTTCACTGACCAAATGGCCACAGTGGCCTGGGCTGGGCCATGCCTAAGCCCGGAACCTAGAGCTTCATCTGGGTCTCTTATGTGGGTACAGGCACCCAAGCACTTGGGCTATCTTCCTCTGCTTCCCAGGTGCATTAGCAGGAAGTTGGATCAGAAGTAGAGCAGCCACGTCTTGAACCAGTACCCATATAGGATGCCAGTATCACAGGTGGAGGCTTAACCTGCCATAACACTAGCTCCCACCATTGTGTCTTACATCAAATCAGTGGTTCCAATTTTTGATGCATATAAAATTACCTGGGGATTAGAAGTTTTGACAATTAAATCAGAATTTCTGTGTATGGGAGTGATGCATCAGTATTCTTCTTCTTTTTTTTTTTTTTTTAAGATTTATTTTATTTATTTGAAAGAGGTACAGAGAGAGGAAGAGACAGAGAGAGGTCTTCCATCTGCTGGTTCACTCCCCAAATGGCTGGAACTGATCCTATCTGAAGCCAGGAGCCAGGAGCTTCCTGTGGGTCTCCCATGTGGGTGCAAGGACCCAAGGACTTGGCCCATTCTCCACTGCTCTCCCAGGCACATTAGCAGGGGGCTGTGTTGGAAGTGGAAAAGCCCACATGGGATGCTGGTGCTGCAGGCTGGGGCTTTAACCTACTGTGCCACAGCGCCAACCCCATCAGTATTCTTGAAAATATTCTCTAGGCGGTTCCAATATCCAGCAATATTTGGAGAACTTGTTTGGTCATTGGGTCTCTGCTGAATGCATCATTGACACCTGTTCATATCTAAAAATTTGGAATACTGGATTTGATTTACAAAAAAATGTTATTTGAAATTCAGTGATTGAGAGTGAGGATGAGGCAGAGAATTGAACCAGCACTTTAATATGGGATATGGGTATCCAAAGTGGTGGCTTAGCCCACTGTGCCGTGATGCCTGCCCCTGTTTATTTCTTTTAAAGATTTATTTATGTATTTATTTGAAGGGAAGAGAGAGAGAGAGAGCGAGAGAGAGAGAATTTTCCATTGCTGGTTCACTCCCTCAATGGCTGCAACAGCTGGGATTGGCCCAGGCTGAAATCAGGAGCCAGGAACTCCACTGGGGTCTGCCATTTAATTGGCAGGGTCCCAAGTACTTGAGTCATCATCTTGCTGTCTCCGTACATTAGCATCAGAAACAGAGCATCTGGGACTCCAAGAGGTACCCTGATAAAGGGTGTGGGTATCAAAAGGGATCTTAAATCTTAACTGTGCAACAATGTCTGTTCCATCTAAATCTCCATGTGAGTGGCAGTGACCCAAGTACTTGGGCTATTTTCTTTGCAGGCACATTAGCAGGGAGTTGGGTTGGAAGCAGAGTAGTGGAGACTCCAAGCGGTGCTCTGATCTGAATATTGATGTTGCAATGCTGGACCCCCCATTTTTTTAAATTAATTAATTAATTTGAAAGAGTTACAGAGAGAAAGGGGCAGAGACAGAGAGAGATCTTCTGTCCATTGGTTCACTTCCCGAATAGCCACAATGGCAACAGCTGGGCCAAATGCAAGCCAGGAGCTTCTTCTGGGTCTTCCATGTGAGTGGCAGGGGCTCAAACACTTGGGCAATCCTCCACTGCTTTTCCCAGGCCATTGGCAGGGAGCTGGGTTGGAAGTGGAGCTGCTGGGGCACAAACTGGAGCCCATATGGAATGCTGGTGTTGCAGGTGGCGGCTTGACCCACCATCCACAACGCCATTTCCCCTGAATAGTTTTAACTACCTCTTGTTTTATTTATGAATTGTTCTGTTGTTTAAGGATATTAATAATAGCTGTTTTTTTTTTTTGATTTTTTCTTCTGATCCTTTCGTTTTCCGTTTCTTTGGAGTTTTTGTTTTTTCAGTTTGTATATTTTAAGCTGTGTCAAAGCAAAGCATTCTTTGAATGTCTGCTGATTCTTGGCTGTTCATTGATATTTATGAGTGAGTTTTATGTGTGAGGTAAGACTGGTGGGCTCTTGGACTTCACTGTGATAGATCAGGTAACCTCCATATTGATAGTTTGCTTAGTTATTCTGTTGTGTATCAGTTTAGTAACAACTTTTATTATTTATTATTATCTAATTTCAAAGTAGTATTTCATATTGAGACTGTGATGATAAATATAAAATAATGGCTTACATTCTGAGGGCAGATGCTGTTTCCATTGTTTGGATAAGTATTATTTCATTTGCAGATGTTACATTCATACTTTGCAGATGAACAGTTCAGACAGGTTTAATGATTTACAGAGTCATAGAGCAAATGTTTTGTAGCTGAGGTATTAATTTTAATTTTCTGTGTTATGATTATTCCATTACAGCAGTGAATTTTTTTTAAAGATTTATTTATTTATTTGAAAAGCAGAGTTAGAAAGAGGCAGAGGCAAAGAAAAAGAAGTCTTTTATTTTCTTTTTTTTTAAATTTTATTTATTTATTTGAGAGAGAGAGTTACAAAAAGTGAGAGGGAGAGACAGAGAGAAAGGTCTTCCTTCTGTTGGTTCACTCCCCAAATGGCTGCTACGGCCTGCGCGCTGTACAATCCGAAGCCAGGAGCCAGGTGCTTCTTCCTGGTCTCCCAGGCGGGTGCAGGGGCCCAAGCACTTGGGCCATCTTCTACTGCTTTCCCAGGACACAGCAGAGAACTGGATTGGAAGAAGAACAGCCGAGACTAGAACCCGCAGCACCCATATGGGATGCTGGCGCTGCAGGTGGAGGATTAACCTATGGTGCCAGCCCTGAGAGAGAGAAGTCTTCCATCCGCTGGTTTTACTCTCCAAATGGTCTCAGTGGCCGGAGCTGTGCCAATCTGAAGCCAGGATCCAGAGCTTCTTCTGGGTCTCCCAGGCGGGTACAGGATCCCAAGGACTTGGGCCATCTTCTGCTTGTTTCTCAGGCCACAGCAGAGAGCTGGATTTGAAGTACAGCAGCTGGGACTCGAACATCCACCCATACAGGATATTGGCTTTGCAGGCAGCGTCTTTACCCACTATGCCACAGTGCCGGCTCCAACAATGAATATTTTTGAGACTACTGTGTGTTTACTGTTTTGTCTTCACTTGTTTCAGAGATGCAATAATAAATTAGATAGCTATAATTTTTCACTTTTCCCAGTTTATTCATACTGTTTTCTAATTTTTTACCTGAATATTAAGTTGCTAAAATAGAAACAACTGGATGGCTACAAATTTCAATTGTAGTATAGCTGTTTTGAATATGCAATCTTTTTTTTTCATCAGGTTGTGGGTAATGACAGTTAATGCACTTCAGCCTTCGATAAAGTTTGTACGACAGCAAAAGTATACTCAGAATGACCTGATGATCGATCCTCTCATTGTCCTACGGTGTGATCAGAGGGTTCATAGGTATGTGCCATATGAGTTGCAATTTTACTATGGAGCTATACTTTGGAGAGTGGAAAAAAATGTAAGAAATTCAGTTTAAACTTGTGTCTTAATGTCTTTGCAGATAACTAGGTAACATGACCTGTGTGACTTTTTGTCTTTTATTTTTTTTGAGTATATTCATGAACTACTTCAAAAAGTTCATGAAAAAAGGAATTAAATGATAAATTTATTGTGGTATAAGACAATTTTGAAATCCTACATGGTTTTTCCATAGTATTTTTCGTGAATTCAAAAAAAATTATTTATTTATTTATTTGAAAGGCAGAATGACAGAGAGAGAGACTGAGAAAGAAACAGAAACAGAGACAGATCTTCCATCACTGACTCACTCCCCAAATGCTTATAAGAGCTGAGGCTGGGCCAGGCTGAGGCCATCAGCATAGAATTCTAACCAGGTCTCCCATATGGTGAAAGGAACTTAAGTATCTGAGCCATTACCTGCCACCTCCCAAGAAGCTGGATCAGAATCAGAGCAGAGACTTGAACTCAGCCCTACTATGTGGGATGCAGGTGTCTCAAGCAACGTATTTTAAAATCAGAGTTAACACAGAGAGAGAAGGAGAAGCAGAGAGAGAGAGAGAGAGAGAGATCTTTCTTCCTCTGGTTGACTCCCCAGTTGACTGCAACAGCTGGAACTGCGCTGATCTGAAGCCAGGAGCTTCTTCCAGGTCTCCCACACGGGTGTAGGGGCCCAAGGACTTAGGCCATCTTCTGCTGCTTTCCCAGGCCATAGTAGGGAGCTAGATCGGAAGTGAAACAGCCAGGACACGAAGCAGCGCCCATATGGGATGCCAGCACTGCAGGCGATGGCTTTTACCCGCTACGCCATGGTGCTGGCCCCTCAAGCAACATCTTGAATACTGTGTCACAACACTTGCCTCCTTTTCGTGAGATTTTTGAATTCCCCTTATTTGCATGAATTTCAAAAAATTGCACTAAAATAAATGTCTTAATTCCATGTAGCATGCACTTTCAGAAGTAATCCTCTATGTTAATAAGTAAATATTTCATAATGTCTAAGGAGATGAACAAAAAGAGGAGATGTTCAGTAAAGTCTTCTTCTTATATCTCATGCTGACACTGCTAAAACAAAATTCCTCCTTGGCCTTTTGACCCAATCCCAGTCCCATCTCCAAAAGAAACTTTGTTATAGTGGTTAATACATAGCTTTGCTTTTGTATGTACTTATGTTAGACCCTCTGTGTGAGGATGCTAACACATCGAGAGGCACACCCCAAAGACTCAGAGTCCAGACCGGCTGATGCAAAAGCAAGAGGATTTATTCGGCGTCTGCGCAGACGGGCCTCCTGAACTCGGGAGTTCAGAGAGCGCCCTCAGCACAGAGCCACACGGTTTATATACCCGCAGCGACCAATCAAAAGCACTATAGAGTCCATGCACACAGCTGTCCAATCTGTGAGCTGATCATGTGAAAGGCATGCGTCTTCTGTCCAATCAGCTACGGGATCACATGGGAGGCATGCACACAGCAGTCCAATCCGTGAGCTGATCATGTGAAAGGCATGCGTCCTCTATCCAATCAGCTACGGGATCACATGGGAGGCATGCACCTCGTCGCCATTTTGTTGTTTATTTCTTCAGCAGTTCCTTTCCCTGTCAGCGTCATCTTGTTCACCCTGAGGGGGATGACGTCTCGCTCCCTTCGTTCCCCTGGAGGGAGAGCAGCGTCCCGCTTCCCACACCGTTATCTGAGTATTAGGAGGCATACAAACTGGGTTAGGTCTTAGCACAGCCAGGCGCAAGTGTCTCAGCTAGCTAAGAATAGGGTCCCTTATTTTTATAGCTGCACCTAATTTTAGCTCTGGGGGAAAAAGTTTAGGGCTATAATTTTTAAACTTTAATTTTATTTGGGGCAAAGGTGACTTCTTGTTTTTAATAGTGTTAGCTTAAGTCACTCCATCGTGGTTTGATTTTTAAGGTTCTTCACTTAGAAATTTATAAATAGAAATTTCAACTTTTTTTGGTTTGGGTGGTTTAAAAAATTTTAGTAGTACTGTAGTGTAGGCATTGTTATTATTTTAAGATTTATTTATTTAAAAGACAGAGTTAGAGAGAGATGGAGAGACAGAGAGAGAGAGACGATTTCCATCTGCTAGTTTACTCCTCTAATGGCTGCAGTGGCCAGAGCTGGGTTTGTTTGAAGCCAGTAGCTCAGAGCTTCTTCTTTGTCCCACCCATGGGTGCAGAGGCTCAAGCACTTGGGCCATCCTCCCTTGCTTTCCCAGTGGAGCTTGGGCCGGCGTTGTGGTACAGCAGGTAAAGCCGCCGCCTGCAATGCCGGCATCCCATATGGGCACTGGTTTGCGTCCCGGGTGCTCCACTGATCCAACTCCCTGCTATGGCCTGGGAAAGCAGTAGAAGATGGCCTAAGGGCTTGGGCCCCTGCACTCATATGGGAGAGCAGGAAGAAGTTCCTGGTTCCTGGCTTCAGACTGGTCCAGCTTTGGCCATTGAGGTCATTTGAGGAGTGAACCAATGAATGGAAGACCTTTCTGTCTCTCCCTCTGCCTTTCCCTCTGTAACTCTGCCTTCCAAATAAATAAATGTTAACAAAAAAAAAATGTGGAGTAGCCAGGACTCGAACCAGTGCCCATATAGGATGCTGGTACTATTATTACTATTATTATTATTATTATTATTATTTATACTTACTATGCTTAATATGTTTTTCATATCAGTATGCATAGTTCTGCATGCTGCTATTCCATGTACTTGTATTGTGTGCCAGGCCTGTCCTTTGGAGACTGATTCAGATTGGTTAAATTTGAGAATAATTTTTAAATAAGCACTCTAGGTGATTCTTGAGTTTTGGGAAGCATTGCCATAGTTTATTTAACCATTGACATATTAATGGCCATTTAGATGATTTCCAGTATGTCAGTTATTAACATAGCTGTAATGCTATTAATGCATACATTGTGGTTCTCTCTGTGATAAGAAGTGGAATTTCTAGATTTACCTAAGAGCATGACATTTAAAATTCTAATTATTACTAATTTATCTTTTTTGTTTCTTTTTTTATAGTTAATGCATATCTGTTTTTATCTCATCTGAATTTTGTCTCAAAGTCTTCCTCAAAGATTCTTACAGATTAAATTTAGATGAAATAAAAATAGAAGAGTCCTTGAGGAATGAATAACTGTGTACCTGTTTTATAGATGAGAAAACAGAAGCTTAGTGACATGCTTATGTTAAGTGGATGAATCACTCATGGAATACATTGTTGTTTTACTCCAAAGAAGAAACAGGAATAGAAAGAATATTTATTCTAGTTTCCATCTTATCAGTAATAGAATATACCTCTTTTTTTTTTTTAATAAAAAAGATTTATTTATTCATATGAAAGGCAGAGCGAGAGAGAGGGAGAGACAGAGTAAGAATGATCTTCCATTTGCTGGTTTACACCTCAGATGGCTGCAACAGCTGAGACTAGGCCAGACTAAAGCCAGAAGCCAGGAGCTTCTTCTAGGTCTCCCATCATCTGCTGCTTTCCTAGGTGCATTACCAGGAAGCTGGATCAGAAGTGGAGCAGCTGGGACACAAACTGACACCCATGTGGGATGCTGGAGTTGTGGGCTGTGGCTTAACTTGCTATGCTACAACACTGGCTCCAGAATATACCTCTTTAAAAAAAAAAAATTATTTGAGAGGTGAAAGAGAGAGAGATGGAGACAGAGATAGAGAGACAGCACTAGTATCCAGTAGTTTGCAATTCAAATGCCATATATTGAACCTGGAGTCCAATCTAGGTTTCCGTGTGTGTGACGGAATCTCAGCTACTGAACCATCACTGCTGCCTTCCCAGGTTAGCATGAAGCTGGAGTCAGGATCCAAAGCGTGGTATCAGACCCAGTCACTCCAATGTGGGACATGGGTGCTTTAATCAGTGGTGTGGATTCCTGTCCTGAGTATGACTCCTTGAGGACTGCTTTATGGGCTCATTTCTGAGAGTTTTGCTGGAAACAAAACTTTTTTTTTCTACAGAAAAAAAGGGAATGACTTTCTCTAAAGCTTACAGATAATTTGATTTTAACTGATAAGGTGAGATGGGTAAGACTATGTAATCTTCACATATACAGAATGAGAAATAATAGCAAATGTTACTTTAGAGAATGAATTTTTCCGTGAGAAAACTTATTATGATGTGCTGTTCAAGGTTTTAATAATTTACATCGGATTTGTCATATTTTGGTTAATTTGCAAATTTATATTCTTTATCATACATTTTTCTTCTTGTTTAGATGCCCCCCACTGATGGATATTACTCTGCACATGTTGAATGGATATCTTCTTGCATCTAAAGCCTACCTTAGTGCTCATCTGAAGGAAACAGCAGAGCAAGATAGGCCGTCCCCGAATAATACAATAGGTTTAGTTGGACAGGCTGATGCCCCAGAAGTTACCAGGGAAGAATTGAAAAATGCATTATTGGCTGCTCAGGTAAGTTTTACTAAAGTAAAATTAATTATGAATAAGAATATAACTTCCTTCCTTTCTTCTTTCTTCCCCTCGCCTCCCCTCCCTTCGCCTCCCCTCCCCTCCCCTCTCCTCTGCCTTGCCCTCCTCTCTACCTTCTCCTCCCCTCCTCTCCCCTCCCCTCATCTCGTCTCCTCTCCCCCTAGACAGAGGCACAGAGAGAGGTAGCAAGAGACAGATAGAAGCCGGCGCCGCGGCTCACTAGGCTAATCCTCTGCCTTGCGGCACCGGCACACCGGGTTCTCGTCCCGGTCGGGGCGCCGGATTCTGTCCCAGTTGCCCCTCTTCCAGGCCAACTCTCTGCTGTGGCCAGGGAGTGCAGTGGAGGATGGCCCAAGTGCTTGGGCCCTGCACCCCATGGGAGACCAGGATAAGTACCTGGCTCCTGCCATCGGATCAGCGCGGTGTGCTGGCCGCAGCGCGCCGACCGCGGCGGCCATTGGAGGGTGAACCAACGGCAAAGGAAGACCTTTCTCTCTGTCTCTCTCTCACTGTCCACTCTGCCTGTTAAATTAAAAAAAAAAAAAAAAGAGACAGATGAGACAGAGAATACCCCATCCACTGACTTAGTCTAGTCAGGTTTCCCATGTGAGTGGTAGAAACCCAACTAAAATTCAGTCAAAAAGAGTAAAGGGCTTCCTGTTAGTGAAAACAGTTAAATAGGAGGCATATTATCTCTTCCATGTACATCAGTAACATATTGCGCATTCCTTTTATTACAGAATCTGTGATAGAATAATCCTATTACCTTGCTTCTGAATACCCCATGGACTAATCTTCATGATACTCTTTTTTAACATTTTAAGCAGGAATAATCATCATGATAAAAATGTAATAGCCACTTAGATGAGATTTATATTTTAACAAAATGCGAGGGGGCTGGTGTTGTGGTACCAGAGGATAGACGATCATTCTCTGTTTCTCCTTCTCTTGCTGTCATTCTGCCTTTCAAATTAATAATAAATAAATCTTTTTAAAAATGTGAACACATTTAAACCAGCAGAGGGGGCTCTGCCTGCGGTACCAGCATCCCATATGGGTACCAGTTCAAGTTCCAGCTGCTCTACTCCTTTAAAAAAAAAAAAAAAGATTTATTTGTTTGAAAGAGTTACAGAAAGGTAGAGAGAGAGAGAGAGGTCTTTCTGCTGGTTCACGCCCCAGATGCTGGTGTTGTTGGTGGTGGCTTAATCCACTACACCACTATGCTGGCCCCAAAATAGTTTTGTTTTTTTTTTAATATTTTATTTACTTACTTGAAAGAATTACTGAGAGAGAGCTCTTCCATCCAATGGTTCACTCCCCAAATGGCCAAAACAGCCAGAGCTCAGCTGATCCAAAGCTAAGAGCCACAGGGTCTTCCCTGTGGGTGTAGGGGCCCAAGGACTTGGGCCATCTTCCACTGCTTTCCCAGGCTGTGGCAGAGAGTTGAATCTGAAGTGGAGCAGCCAGGACTTGAACTGGTGTCCATATGGGATGCCGACACTGCAGGCCGTGGCTTTAGCTTCTATGCTACAGTGCCGGCCCCACCCATAATAGTTTTTTTATGTGTGCTGATTTTCATGAGGACAGAGTGAATAATTTTCTTCAGATTCTTGAGGAGTTCTTGACCCATCAAAGACCCATGCTCTGTAAATTGCTCAGTTCTGCTCTTAGAACTACCTCTTTATATGTCTGCTTAAGCAACTAGTTATTTTATCATTTCTGTTCATGTGAAAACAAAATCAGATTTGTTTTTAAACAGCTTCTCAAAATGTTTTCTATTCATTGTGTTTTATTTCCTTGTAGGATAGTGCAGCTGTCCAGATTCTCTTAGAGATTTGTTTACCTACTGAAGAAGAGAAAGCAAAGGGTGTGAATCCAGACAGTTTGCTAAGGAATGTTCAAAGTGTTATTACCACCAACACTCCAAGTAAAGGAACTGAAGAAGGAGAAGACAATTTGCTCTGTAACCTTCGAGAAGTTCAGTGCCTTATCTGTTGTCTGTTGCACCAAATGTACATTGCAGATCCTAACATTGCTAAGCTTGTTCACTTTCAGGTCTGTTTTCAAAGGGTGATGCCTGGTGGTTGAGATTTATTTTTCTTGAGGGCTATGAATTGCAGAATTTACAGGGATACTTTAGAGATAATACAGTGATCACGATCTACTGAAATATGAGAAAAATTCTAGACTTTTAGAGATTTTTTTCAACCTAAAACTTATTCAAATAATTTATCTCTGTGTAGGACATTGTGTATTCTGAGAGTAAGGAAGTGAAATCTTTGTTTGTATTTTGTCTGTAATTACCTTATATTTTGTTTCTGATTTCTTCTCTTTCTTGTTGAGATAGGGTTATCCATGTGAACTTTTGCCTCTGACAGTCGCAGGTATTCCATCTATGCATATCTGTCTGGATTTTATTCCTGAGCTTATTGCACAGCCAGAACTTGAAAAACAGGTAATGAGCATTTTGGTACTTTTGGAAAATTTTTATCTGTTAATAAAACATTTTAGAATTTGTATTATTTTAAGATATAAAAAACATAACATTTGTATTTTTTATTACAGATATTTGCCATCCAGTTACTTTCTCATTTATGTATCCAGTATGCATTACCAAAGTCACTTAGTGTGGCTCGTTTAGCTGTCAATGTCATGGGAACTTTGCTAACAGGTTTGTAACCAATCATAATCAATAAAAAAATCTTCTAAAATAGATTTATACATATATTTTTGTTTGTTTGTTTGTTTTTTACTTTTGTTTAAAGATTTATTTGTTTGGAGAGAAGAAAAAGAGAGACAGAGAGGGATCTTTATCTGCTGGTTGCAATGCTGGGCTAATCCACATGGAAGTGAAGACTCTGGGGTTCTATTGGGTCTCCTACTTGGGTGGCAGCGGTCAAGCACTTGGGCTATTCTCTGCTGCTTTCCCAGGTACATTAGCAGGGAGCTGGATCGGAAGTGGGACAGCTGGGACTTGAACCAGTGCTGATATATGATGCTGGCACTGCAGGCAGCAGCTAAGCTTGCTGTGTCACAATGCTGGCCCCTAAATTAATGCATATATTTTCTGAGGGTACTGGCGACTGGGGGCTGGGCCAGGCTGAAGCTAGCAGCCAGGAGCCTCTATCCTCATTTGGCTCTTCCTTTTGGGTGGCAGGGGCCCAAGCACTTGGACCATCCTCTGCTGCCCTCCCAGGTGCATTAGCATGGTGCTAGTTCAGAAGTGGAGCAGCTGGGAGTTGTACTGTTGCCTATATGGGATACAGGTGTCAAAGGTGGCAGCTTAACGCGCTGTGCCACAATGCCAGCCCCATCATTCATAACATGTTTCTATTTATTTATTTATTTTTTGACAGGCAGAGTGGACAGTGAGAGAGAGACAGAGAGAAAGGTCTTCCTTTGCCGTTGGTTCACCCTCCAATGGCCGCCGCGGTGGGCCATCCTCCACTGCACTCCCGGGCCACAGCAGAGAGCTGGCCTGGAAGAGGGGCAACCGGGACAGAATCCGGTGCCCCGACTGGGACTAGAACCCGGTGTGCCGGCGCCGCAAGGCGGAGGATTAGCCTAGTGAGCCACGGCGCCGGCTCATAACATGTTTTGAATTATTCTTCATTTGAAAATATATATATTTCAAAATGTGAGTTGTAGTATAGAAGAGGTGGATAGACAACTTTTCTTTGATTTTGTTGATGAATATATATATATATATAGAAAAATAAATCTCCTTTCTCAGTATGTCAGTAGAAAACAAGTTATGATTTATTGCAAATGCTCAGAGTTCTAGAAAAATATAATCATATATATGTACATCTGTAAGATAAATATATTTGTTGTTTCCTGAAGTTCTAAAACATATCCTAAGATTTTAATCACCTTCTGGTTTATAGAGTAAAATGGTATGAAAATAAACTACTTTAAACTATGTGAACTATAATTCATTCCTTTAAAGTTATGACTTATAACTTACTATTCTTTCTCAGTGTTCCCATAATACTCTGTTGATTTTCTTTCCTTTGTATATGCTTCATATTGTAATAATTTGTAGTGGTTAAGAGTTTATGGCCGGCGCTGTGGCTCAATAGGCTAATCCTCTGCCTGCGGCACCCGCACACCAGGTTCTAGTCCTGGTCGGGGCACTGGATTCTGTCCCGGTTGCCCCTCTTCCAGTCCAGCTCTCTGCTGTGGCCTGGGAGTGCAGTGGAAGATGGCCCAAGTGCTTGGGCCCTGCACCCGCATGCGAGACCAGGAGAAGCACCTGGCTCCTGGCTTTGGATCAGCACAGTGCACTGGCCTCAGCACGCTGGCCACAGTGGCCATTGGGGGTGAACCAACAGTAAAGGAAGACCTTTCTCTCTGTCTGTCTCACTCTCTCTCACTGTCCACTCTGCCTGTAAAAAAAAAAAAAAAAAAGAGTTTATACTAGCTGCATGTAATCCTACCTCTACCACTAACTGGCTGTGTGACCTTAAACAATTTTCTTAATCTCTCTAGGCTTTTAAGAGTTTTCTCATGTAAAATGGGTATCTTATAAGAAAATTAAATGAAAGTATGCATGTTATGCACCTATGATAGTGTTTGGGCAAAGTAGGAATTGATTTCTAGGATGTTGCTGCTAGATTGTCAGCTTTTGGGAAGGCAGGGTCTGGCTGAGCCATAGAAAACTTAGTGATTCTAGCATGGACTTAGTATTTAAGTAGGCCATTTGCATTGAATATCTAAAATAAAAAATTCTGTTTTGTTTTTTTCCAACAGTTTTAACACAGGCTAAGCGGTATGCTTTTTTCATGCCAACTCTGCCAAGTTTGGTCTCTTTTTGTAGAGCATTTCCTCCACTTTATGAGGACATAATGTCTTTGCTCATCCAAATAGGGCAAGTTTGTGCCTCTGATGTTGCCACTCAGACAAGAGACATCGATCCAATTATTACACGTAAGCTATCTCATTTTCAAGATTTATCTTAATATCTCAAACAAGAAAACCAAATTCCCTTGTAGTTTTCATGTCTTAATTTGTTTTTCATTCCTAATGTTTTTAGGTCTTCAACAAATAAAGGAGAAGCCAAGTGGATGGTCTCGAATCTGTAAAGATCCATCTTATAAAAATGGATCCAGGGACACTGGAAGCATGGATCCTGATGTACAGCTCTGTCATTGTATTGAAAGCACAATAATCGAAATAATAAACATGAGTGTTAGTGGAATTTAGAAAAAAATTAAACAAAAAATTGAAGCCGTTTGCTGCATATACCCAATATGAATCTGCATCTTATACAACTTTAAACTGAATGGAAACAGTAATGTCTTGGAATCACTAAAATGATTCAATTCCACATGCATACAATTTAAGAGAATTATGCTTGCTTGTATTTGATTGGCACGTCTTTGGATCTCCTTTGCTGGTATGTTTGTATTGTAGCAGCTGGGCTTTTTTCCATTGGGAGCACACTTGAAATGGAATTTGGCCTTGTATTTAGCTTTTGAAGTGAAGAAAGACTGCCATGCCTTTAATTTAATTTCTTATAAAAATGAGTCTATTGGGTAGCCCTACTGTTTTATTTTAACTGTGAGTTTGTAACACATGATGTCAAAGGTGGAATGATGGGAGGGAGAAAATGGGATCAAGGGAAAGGAGAATTCAGGAAAAATTAGTAGGAGTTAACTACTCAGAAATCTCAGAGACTTGCAACGCAGGTAATAGTGATAGTAATGGAACTCTAGCTCTTAAGAAACAGTATTGTGAAGGCTTTAAAAAAGGCAAGTAGCTTTTGTAAATGATTTCATAGAATTACGGATGGGGATTTAAAGATTTTACATATTTGCTTCAGTTTTTACTAATATATGAAGCCATAAGTTTAAAGAGATACTTGAATAATTTGGAATTTTAAAAAACTGGTTTAAAAGTGTTTACAGAAACACCTGTGCAAAGAAGAGCCTGAAAGGAGGTCTCATTTAGTTTTTTTTTAATTTATTTTTGTAATGCTTTATTAACTTATCTAATGCTCAGAGGACAGAAATATATATCAAATTACATGAGATTTAGAGCAATAAGACTCACTGGATTAAAGAGCTTTTGGCTTGTCATCATGACTATAATTCACATTTACTTTAAGAACATCTTTGAGAAAACATACACAGTGTTGGAACCTCAGGAAAAATTGAAATGTGGAAAATACTGTTTTGCTGAAGAATTTTGCAGTCCTCTGTTAGTAACTTCCATTGGTTAGATAGATGTATTCAGGTAACCCATCATCCTCATTACAAAAAAATTAAATATCCGGCATAGATGGTACTTCCCTTTGCTCTCTGAGATATACCTCAATTACACACTCTTTTTCCCCCCCAGCACTCAAAATAGACCTTTTCACTTGTAAAAGAAGTCAGGCAGGCGGATAAGAAGGTGTTTTTTTAAGGGAAAAAAATTAAATTTAACTTCAGCCACTTCACTAGCAAATCATCACATCTCATTTTCCTCTTTTGTAAAATCGGTTTAACGACTGGCCCTACCTCACAAGGGTATTCTCTAAGAACGAGTTTGTAGCTGTTTCAAATCATGAAGTGCATAATATCATATGTGGTAGGGATATTTATAACTTTTTATTAGATGCTTAATGTTCAATTAAGTAATTTTGATGTGAAAAACATACATGCTAAAAAAATCCCACAAGGATTTTCATATTTTTGAACAAGGCAGTTTTGTAGTCCCTAAAGAGTAAACGCAGCTGCTCCTGTTTTGTTCTGTTTTTAAAATGAGGCCTTGCAGTACTTTATGTGAATAGGTACCCCCAGGAGTTCTGAAGAGGCTCAAGTATGTTTTCTAACTAAATGCAGTACAAATTTCATGGACCAATTTTTAAAGACTGGTCAAAACCTGCTGTGTGAAAATAATATGCTGTTTTTCATCAGATTTGTTGATGATGTAAATAAAATATGTAAATACATTAGTAAATGTTAATATTCCTGTATTTTAAGTTAAGGTTATAAAATTTGTCACAATGTGATTTTTTTATTCAAGTGAAAACAGATGTGTGCAGCTATTTTGCATATTGACTTATAAACATTCATATTCTTTATTAAGTGAACTTGTAGTTTTTTGTGTTTCATTCCACTACTGTTGACCTGAAAGGAACAGTTAAAGGGACTGGAATTTCTGACTGGCTCCAAGGTCTACCGTGTATCCCTTTTTGTTATGCCACATACACTGTGTTTAATGAAATTAGAGCTGACTGAAAGCCTTAGGAAGTTAGGAGAGGGAAATGAGAAAAGTTACCCTGGAGCAATTATTTTAAAGTTTTGATGGTTTAAAATGACTTTTTTTTTCTAAAAAAGATTTTTTAAAATTTATTTGAAAGGCAGAGTTACGGAGAGGCAGGGCGGGGGGTGGGGAGGAATCTTCCATCTGCTGGCTCATAACCCAAATGACTGCAATGGCCAGAGTGGGACCAATCCAAAGCCAGGAGCCAGGAGATTTCTCTGAGTCTCCCACGCAGGTGCAGGGGGCCCAGGGACATGGGCCATCTTCCACTGCTTTTCCAGGCCACAGCAGAGAGCTGGATGGGAAGTGGAGCAGCCCAGACTTGAACCAGGGCCCATATGGGATGCTGGCACCTCAGGCGGTGACTTTACCTGCTCTGTCACAGTGCCAGCCCTTTAAAAATTTCTATAAGCAAAACAACAATTTGAAAGTATTTTTAAAGATTCAATAAACATACTTTATCCCACTGTCTTAATAAATTTCTCCTTCAGCTCTGCCTATATTTTTTCATGTTATTAAATTTGTAACACTCAGAGTCTGCTTTTTTCACTTTAACATTTTTGCAAATTGTTTAATTTTTATAATATTTTGGGTTTTATAACCTATGGTATTGATATATCCTAACCACCTCCCTTTGAGTGAACCATAATATTTTTATTATTAAATAATATCCAAATTGTTTTATTTTTTAAGATTATTTATTTGAAAGGCAGAGTTAGGCCGGCGCCGCGGCTCAACGGGCTAATCCTCCACCTAGCGGCGCCGGCACACCGGGTTCTAGTCCCGGTCGGGGCGCCAGATTCTGTCCCGGTTGCCCCTCTTCCAGGCCAGCTCTCTGCTGTGGCCAGGGAATGCAGTGGAGGATGGCCCAAGTGCTTGGGCCCTGCACCCCATGGGAGACCAGGATAAGTACCTGGCTCCTGCCATCGGGATCAGCGTGGTGCGCTGGCCGTAGCGCGCCAGCCACGGCGGCCATTGGAGGGTGAACCAATGGCAAAGGAAGACCTTTCTCTCTGTCTCTCTCTCTCTCACTGTCCACTCTGCCTGTCAAAAAATAAATAAATAAATAAATAAATAAAAGGCAGAGTTAGAGAGAGAAGGGAGAAGGGGAGAGGGAGAGAATCTTCCACATGCTGGTTTACTCCCCAAATGACCATAACGACAGGGGCTGGCCCAGGCCAAAGCCAGGGGCCTAACTACTTGGGCCACCTGCTGCTTTCCCAGGCACATTAGCAGGGAGCTGGATGGGAAGTGGAGCAGCTGGCACTCCAATGGCGCCCATGTGGGATGCCGGAGTTGCAGGCAGACTGCTTAATCCACTGTACCACATCGCAGGCTGCATGTTAATATTTAAGTATTACAAAAAGGCACTGTTGTCAATTGGGGTATTATCAGTTTTTATTTTAGGTTTCATCTGGGATTGAGATTCTTACGACAAGTTTTGCCATTTTGGGAAGATGTAATAAAACTGAAAGTGAGGCAAACAAATCAAGTAGCCCCCTGCCCCCTCCTCCCAGCAAACCTTCCTCCCCTAACTAAGTTACCCGAATTTCAGAGGTCATCTCAGGGTTTTATTCTGGGGACACTAGTATCTGAGCTTAGTTCAGGCTAACCAAAATGAAACAACAAAAACCACCACAGCTTGGCGAAATCTCTCGGTCTTTAAGAAAACAAGAAAATTGTTCTTGACTAATAATAATTTCATGAGGGATGGAAGGCAGACAAGCTTTAATGAGGTGGAAGCTTTAAGAGCATCCGCCTGGCTGATTTTATCATTTGGGAGCGACTTGAATATTCGGAAACCTTGCAGCCAGCTGTCACCAAACCTTATCTTCCAGTTTGGCTCAGTGTGGCCCATTCCTGCCTTGTTTGTTTTTTCCCCTTATACCGTGGCTACTTATACTCGGGCAAGACAGGGCGCTGATGGAAGCTCAGAGGAAACCTAGGCAAAGTTTAAAGATGTGTTTTCTCCGTTGGTCTCCCGACTTTAAGAATGAGAGAATTCGAGTTTCTAGGGAATATGTGGCGCGGCTTAAATTACCGATTTCAAAAATCAAGAGGAGGTGCTTTTTCTTCAAACGAGCCTCTGGGGACTGCCCCAGGGTTTCGCTTCCCGCGTGACCGCCTTCCGCTGCCGCCAAGTACCTTCCGTCGGTCTTTGCTTCTGAGGCTCCCATTGGGTGCCAGAGTGGTCGCCCTCTAACCTCGCGCCAGGATTGGTTGCCTGGTCTCCGGTCTTTGCGGGTGATTGGTTGTCTGATCTCGCTCGGCGATTGGGTGCTGGGAACCGAGGGGGTGGGAGGCGGGAATTTGTCTTGGGCTGTGCTGTGGAGGGAGGGAACTGAGCTTGGGGAAGAAAAAGGGCTGCGGAGCCCGGGGAGAGGCGGCCCGGAGAGGAAAGGAGAGGATTAAGGCGCGTGCCCTTCCTTCTCTGCCAGGGGCCCCCTTTATCTGCTTTCTGAGACTTTTCCTTTTCTCTGGTGAATCGGAGCCGAGTGGGCGTTGCTTCGGCTTTCCCGGGTCAGGCAAGTCTGAGGGAGCTTGGGGCGGAGCGGGGGCGCGAAGCCTGGCTCGGCGGTGGCCGGGCGCCCCTGCCGGCTCCGGGCGGAGGGGAGCCCTCGCACAGGCGAGTTCGGCGGGGCTGAGGTGTTGGATGATGGGTTTCACGTGTCTGGGCCCGCGTGGGCTTGTTGGTCGCAGGGGAAGCGAGTAGGTTTCCGCCAGGCTTCCTTCTCAGAGCTCTACGGAGAGAATCAGCAGATGCTGGAACGCAGACATGCAGTCGTGATGCTTTAAGGAACACACAGAGAGGTTAAGGTTATTGTTGGCCTCGGCTGAGTTGCTGTTTTTACCATCTCTCCACCTTCGCACGGGGAATTTATTTATTGCCTTTTCACCGTTGCAAATAGTTCCATTTTTGATAACAGTGTATATCACCGCCCCCCCCGCCCCCCCGCCGGCATTGATTTTAATTTCCTTGGGAGATAGTTACCGGAAGAGAGGTCTGTGGACTTCTCATCACAGAAGTGCAGTCGTGCCCCGAAATTGCTGGCAGTTCCCAGAGGCACCTTCTGTGCCGTGTGTGTGGATCCGAGGTCCAGGCCGGTGGTCTGGGGCAGGTGGGGCTTGCAGCGGCTGCCCTCTTCTGCGTCAGACACTGGCGAGGTACACCCAGCCCTGGCCGATTGTCATAGAGACCCTTCCAGGCAGGTAGGGTTGCCTCAGCCCCGCAGATGAAGGAACAGACTTCGGACATGTAAACAGGAGTTAGTGCGCGCCTCCCTTTGTGCCAGGGTCCTTTTCTCCCTTTAAGGTCGGGATACTTGCAGAGGAAGATTTTAGACTAGGGAAGTAACACCTGTCAGTGATGGGGAACCTGTCTGTGCTACCCCACACCGGGCGCAGGTTTTTCTTTCTACTGGAGGACCACACAAAAGTGCAGAATAGGAGGAGAAAGAGCTGGGCCGTGGAGTTGGAGAGCTGCCTGCAGAATTGATTTCCATCGGTTGAGTACAGTGATGTAATCGTGCCAGAGGCCCTAGTTTCACCAGGGCATGTGTGCTGTCATTTTGGCACATTCATGTGTTTGATCTTTACGATGGTTCTACGGCGTCGGTGTTCTTCCTGTCCTTACTTCACTCATGAGGGCACGGAGGCCTAGAGCACGCGGGTAGCTTGTCAGAAGCCTTACCAGCCATTTCCTGGCTAAGTAGGGATGCAAAGCTGGCTTTCCCCGACGAGATAAACTCAGCCACTGTGATTCATAAGACAAGGACATTGTTTTGCTTGCATTTGCTTTCATATCGGTACTTCGTTAATAGGGAATGCAAATTATGCAAAAAACTGTATGGATTTCAGAAACCTCGAAACCAAAATAAAGTTTCCACAAACTTTTTGAAGGACCTTTGTGGGCTTATTACTTCCGGTTTATTTCAAGGTTTCTGTCCTAATGTTAGATTGCTGGTTTTCTTTGGCACTGTCTCAGTATTCATTTCCATTTCTGTTGCAGTCCAAGAAGCTGAGGTAAACATGAGTACTATGTCTTCAGTGGGGTCTGAGTATACAATTGGTGGAGTGAAGATTAACTTTCCTTGTAAAGCTTACCCCTCGCAGCTTGCTATGATGAATTCTGTAAGTATTTTTCAGTAGTCAAGCCTTCATTAAAAAGAACTGACGGTGTGACTGCATTTGTATTCTCAGTTAATGGATTGAGAATATTCCTTGGGTTCATTTGGAAGAACATCTAGCCTTTAGGAAGATATATACACAGTATTGTATATATCCACAGTTGCAGGGCAAGAAAGAATACTCCAAAAATGTCGTCACTTTATTTGGAACTTCTGTTTACTTTATTGACTGATTGCTTTCTACTAAGTATTTACCATGTTTTGCACAGAATAATGGATTTATCAACTAGTTGTTTTGAAGTGCAGAAGTCCCTCTGTATCGATGGTGGACGGATTCTAGAACCCATCTGCCCCACCACCCAAAACAAAATCTGCAGATTTGTATGTTTCTTTTTTTTTCTTTTTTTTTTTTTTTTTTGACAGGCAGAGTGGACAGTGAGAGAGACAGAGAGAAAGATCTTCCTTTGCCGTTGGTTCACCCTCCAATGGCCGCCGCGGCCGGCGCGCTGCGGCTGGCGCACCGCGCTGATCCTGATCCGATGGCAGGAGCCAGGTGCTTTTCCTGGTCTCCCATGGGGTGCAGGGCCCAAGCACCTGGGCCATCCTCCACTGCACTCACTCCCTGGCCACAGCAGAGAGCTGGCCTGGAAGAGGGGCAACCGGGACAGAATCTGGCGCCCCGACTGGGACTAGAACCCGGTGTGCCGGCGCCGCTAGGCGGAGGATTAGCCTAGTGAGCCGCGGCGCCGGATTTGTACGTTTCTTGAATAAAAGGACATTATACTTACATACTCTGTGCATATCTACCCATATACTTTAAATCATCTCTAGGTTACTCACTGAAAACAATGTAAATGCTATGGAAACAGATATATTGTGTAATAATGACATGAAGCAATCTGTAGATACTCAATCCAAATGTGTTTTCTGCCCTTCCCACCATGACAGCTGCTGCAGAATAGTTTTCCATCTGGTTGGTTGAATCCATGGATATGGACATCTATTTCATTCCTATAGAAAATTTATATACAGGGGCTGGCGCTGTGGTGTAGTGGACTAAGGCTCTGCCTGCGATGCTGGCATCCCATATGGGTGCTGGTTCATGTCCTGGCTTCTCCTCTTCCGATCCAACTGTCTGCTATGACTTTGGAAAGCAGTAGAAGATGGGCCCTTGCACCAGCGTGGGAGACACGGAAGAAGCTGGCTTCAGATCAGCTCCACTGGTGCCACTGTGGTCATTTGGAGCGTAAACCAGCAGATGGAAGACCTTTCTCTCTGTCTCCCTCACTGTCCACTCAAAATAAAGAAAGAAAAAGTTTAGAAAAAGACACTTAGCACAACACCTGGCTGTGCCAAGCCCTCAATAAACTTGAGTTATTGTTTTTATTCTTAAAACAGCTGAGAAAGGAAAACAACTAACTCAGGCACAGTAATCATGTTGTTACCAGTAAATAAAATAGGAAGTAAAATGACAAGATTTTGCAAGCTGTAAAGTTGTTTGACTCAAATTTGTACATTAATTTTTTCTTAAATTCAGAGGTAGAGTTACAGACAGAGGGAGAGACACTTCCCCTGCAATGGCTGCCGCGGCTGGCACACTGCGCTGATCTGAAGCCAGGAGCCAGGTGCTTCTCCTGGTCTCCCATGGGGTGCAGGACCCAAGCACTTGGGCCATCCTCCACTGCACTCACTCCCTGGCCACAGCAGAGAGCTGGCCTGGAAGAGGGGCAATTGGGACAGAATCTGGCACCCTCACCGGGACTAGAACCTGGTGTGCCGGCACCGCAGGCGGAGAATTAGCCTATTGAGCCGCGGTGCTGGCCTCTTTTTTTTAACTTTTCAACAAGATTTCAAAATATTTTGACTGTTGGAGAATATGTGTAACATAAAGTTTCCCTTTTTAACCATTTTTATGTGTAGTTAAGTGGGCTTATGTGTATTTCCATAGTTGCGTAGTCATCACCACTATCCTTTCTTCAACTTTTTTAGCACCCTTAACTGAAACTGCACCCATTAAACAGTAACTTTTTGAAATAGATTTGTTACTTTTATTAGAATCTGAATCACTATGGAAGTCATTTACATATGGAAGTTTTTACATTTAATGACTTCAAGCTTTTTTATTATTTGGAAGGCAGGGTTATAGAGAAAGGGAGAGAAAGAGATGTTGTATGTACTGGTTCATGCCCCACATAAGTGCAAGTGCAATAGCCGGGGCTGGGCCATGCCAAAGCTAGGAGCCCAGCTCCTGGAACTCTAGCCAAGTGCCTATATGGATGACGGGAGTGCATGAACATTAACAGGGAACTGGATCAAAAATAGACCAGCCAGGACTTGAACCAGTGCTCTGATATTGGATGCCTGCATTGCAGGTGGTGGCTTAACCCGATGTGCCACAGCACTGCCTCTTGATTACCATTTACTTTTTTTTTTTTTTTTTTTTCATTTTTTGACAGGCAGAGTTAGAGAGAGAGAGACAGAGAGAAAGGTTGTGGGGAGCAACTGGGAGCAACTCGCACTAGACTAAGTTACTGGAATTAAGACTTATTCTATGCATCTGCTCTCCCACAATATGGCGCTGGGAGAGGAGGCAACAGCTTCTACCCAGCTGCCTCTCACCAACTTGACAAGCTGCAGGACCTGCTCCTGATTGGAGGAGAGCAGCGTACTCGGCGTGTGGGCAGCCGAGTTAGGATTGGCGGAGGAGGACTATAAAGGAGGAGAGAGACGGCATGCACCAGGAACATCTAAGGGGAACACCTGTGCAGCCCCCGAGAGAGCCGGCCGGCGGTGTGCCGCTCCCCCGCGGAAGTGGGGAATGTGGCAGGGGGAACCGCCCTTCCACGGAGGTGGAAGGACCAGCAGCCAACCCGGGAAGGACCAGCAGCAAACCCGGGGAGGGCCGAGCAGACAGAAGAACAGCGCAGGGTCCTGTGTCGTTCCTCCACGAAGACGGGGAGCGACAAAGGTCTTCCTTCCGTTGGTTCACCCCCCAAATGGCTGCTACAGCTGGCGCACTGTGCCGATCCGAAGCCAGGAGCCCGGAGCTTCCTCCTGGTCTCCCATGCGGGTGCAGAGCCCTAGCACTTGGGCCATCCTCCACTGCCTTCCCGGGCCACAGCAGAGAGCTGGCCTGGAAGAGGAGCAACCGGGACAGAATCCAGCGCCCCAACAGGGACTAGAACCCGGGGTGCTGGTGCCGCAGGTGGAGGATTAGCCTAGTGAGCCGTGGCGCCGGCCCGATTACCATTTACTTTAAATTTGTATGTATTTGAAAAGCACAGAGAGATCTTCAGTTGCTGGTTCACTCCTTAAACGTCCACAACTTGGGCTGAGTCATTCCAAAGGTGGGAGCCTGAGTCTGAATCTGGTCTCCCACTGGGTGGCAGAGACCCAAGTGTTTGAGCCATCCTAGCATGCCCACTGGCAGGAAGCTTGAATCTTGGAAGTGGATCCAGGACTGGAAACAAGGGATGTGAGTGTCCCAAGCAGCTAAATAATAACTTTGTATTTCCCTCTCCGATTGGCCCCTTGCAACCTCCATTTTATTTCATGTTGTATGAATTTGATCTACAGTATTGTAGAAACAGACAATATTTGTCCTATTATGTCAACCTTTTAAAACTTAGAACAGTATCCTTAAGATCCCAGCCATGTTTTTATACTTCTATTATATATGTATAAATTCATAAATAATATGGAGTAATTTTACATATTAAACCTTGTGCAGTCATGTAATACTATACCTGTCTCTCTAGAATTATTTTTTGCTCAATATTATTTTAAAGATATAGTCCTATTGATAATTCATTTTAATTATGGTATAATATTTTATTGTATAACTGTGCCAGAAATGATGTTTTCTTGTTGGTGGACATTTAGGTGGTTCATATTCTTTTGCAGTCAGAAATACTGCTATGAATACTGTTACCCAGGTTTCCTTGTGTTTATGTGGGAAAGGCTTTGATTCCTTGACTTGGGTATCTTCAACTTTATTAGAAATTGTTAATTTCTGAACAAAGTTTTTGATAGTTTCTAATTTCAGTAATATTGTCCCCAATTAGTTTTTTTTTTTTTTTTGACAGGCAGAGTTAGAGAGTGAGAGAGAGAGACAGAGAGAAAGGTCTTCTTTCTGTTGGTTCACTCCCCAAATGGCCACAATGGCCAGAGCTACACAGATCTGAAGCCAGGAGCCAGGTGCTTCCTCCTGGTCTCCCATGCGGGTGCAGGGCCATCCTCCACTGCCCTCCCGGGCCACAGCAGAGAGCTGGACTGGAAGAGGAGCAACCAGGACTAGAACTTGGGGTGCCAGCGCTGCAGGCAGAGTATTAGCCAAGTGAGCTGTGGCGCCGACCCCCAATTAGTTTTTATGAAAGGTATCATAGATATTAGTATATTACAGTTTCACAGAAATGATTGCTGTTTTGACAATTTGCCACAGATTGCTTTCTTCTGTGTCTTCTCTTGGGTTTCATGTGCTTGTAAATACAACATAAGCTTGGAGAGGTATGAAGGAATAAAGTTTATACCAAATACTGGTTCTTTTTGGAATTGTGTTCCCTGGAGTGCAGCCTCACTTCTCCTTGTTCTGTTTGTACTCCCCATGGAAAGAAACCCTAATAAGGTAAAATTTTTATTGATTTTTTTTTTAAATTTGTTTGTGTGTTCATAGATTGTCAGAGGTTTAAACAGTAAACAACATTGTTTGTTGGAGAGCCCCACAGGAAGTGGAAAAAGTTTGGCCTTACTTTGTTCTGCTTTAGCGTGGCAACAATCTCTTCTTAATGGTAAGTAGTTGCTTGATAACATCAGATTGTTTATTGGAACCTGAAAACAATATAGTTGAGTACCTTTATCCAGACTGGTTAAACATGTGCTAGCTAATTAAATACTCTTTTGGAATGGTGGTTATGACGCTGCTTGGGATGCCTATGTCCCTTATCAAGGTGGGCCCAGCTGAGTCCAGGCTCTGTTCCTGATGCCAGCTTCCTGATAACATGCACCCTGCCAATCAACAGCAGAGAGCTGGACTGGAAGAGGAGCAACTGGGACTAGAACCCGGCACCCATATGGGATGCCAGCGTGCAGGTGGAGGATTAACCAAGTGAGCCACAGTGCCGGCCCCCATAGTGTTTTCATTATATACGTTTTTTGGTGATCTGTTCAAAGATCCCTCATATGTATGGATTTCAAAATTTTTTTCACTAAAATAACCGTCATTTTTTTATGTAAGAACTTAGTTTTTATTTTAAGCATGTTTATTTTATTTGAAAGATGAAAGAGAGAGAGAGAGATATCTCATATCTGCTGGTTCAGTTCCCAAATGAGGTAGGGCTAGGCCCAAACCCACAGCATGGAACTCAATCCCAGTTTCCCATGTGGGTGGCAGGGACCCAACTGCTTGAGCCATTAGTTATTGCCTTTCAGGGTGTGTGTTAGCAGGAAGCTAGAATTAGGAGCGGAGCTGGAACTGGAGCCCAGGCACTCCGATGTGGGGTGCAAGCATGTGAAGCAGTATGCCAAAGCACTATGCCAACACCTGCCTCTAAAGTTACCTTTTAATTAGATTTCCTTGAATTTTTGAAGTATTCTTGTACATTAGAAATAGAGATTTTTTTTTTCATTCTTAGGGAAGCCAGTAGATGAGGGCTCACACAAAAAAGCTGAAGAACCATTGTCATGTTGTTGTACATGCCACTCGAAGACTTTTACAAACAATGACATGAACCAACGAACTTCACGTCATTTCAACAGTCCAAGCAAACTACCTTCTGAAAGAAGTGGAGCTTCATCAACTTGTCAAGGTAATTTACATTTTGTGGGGGTCTGTGTATCTAATAGGGGCCTTAATTCTTACTGTTAGGAGACCTAATTTAGATAAATTTAGTTAGCATGTTAATCATTTTGTGTCTCTAATTTTTCTGGAATTATTTTAAGATAATATACACAGTAGTCAAAAATCCTTGAAGTTTTTTTCTGTTGTTAATTTATTAAGACAATTTTTTAAATAATTTTTTGACTTGTTAAGATTTATTTGTTTATTTGAAAGTTAGAATCACAGAGACAGAGGGGGACAGAAAAGGAGAGATCTTCCATCCTCTGGTTCACTCCCCAAATGGCCACAGTGGACAGGCTGGGCCAGGCTGAAGCCAGGAATCAGGAGCTTCATCTCAGTCTCCCATGTGGATTCAGGGGCTCAAGCACTTGGCTTGGATCATCTGCTTTGCCTTCGTGTTGTGGGCCCTTAATCCACATGAGAGACCCGGAAGAAGCTGCTGGCTTCTGGCTTCTGGCTTTGGTGTGACTTTGCTTTTCAAATAAAATAAATAAATATATATATATATATATTTTATTATTATTTTTTGACAGGCAGAGTGGACAGTGAGAGAGAGAGGGACAGAGAGAAAGGTCTTCCTTTACCGTTGGTTCACCCTCCAATGGCCCTGTGGCCGGCGTGCTGCGGCCGGTGCATCGCACCGATCCGAAGCCAGGAGCCAGGTGCTTCTCCTGGTCTCCCATGAAGGTGCAGGGCCCAAGGACTTGGGCCATCCTCCACTGCACTCTCGGGCCATAGCAGAGAGCTGGCCTGGAAGAGGGGCAACCGGGACAGAATCCTGCGCCCCGACTGGGACTAGAACCCTGGGTGTTGGCACTGCAGGCAGAGGATTAGCCTATTGAGCCGCGTTGCTGGCCAATAAAATAAATATTTTTTTAAAAGTCTGTTTAGGGGCCGGTGCTGTGGCACAGTGGGTTAACGCCCTAGCCTGAAGTGCCAGCATCCCATATGGGCGCTGGTTCGAGACCTGGCTGCTCCACTTCCAATCCAGCTCTCTGCTATGGCCTGGGAAAGCAGTAGAAGATGGTCCAAGTCCTTGGGACCCTGCACCGGTGCAGGAGACCTGGAAGAAGCTTCTGGCTCCTGGCTCCTGGCTTCGGATTGGCACAGCTCCAGCTGTTGTGGCCAATTGCAGAATGAGCCATCGATGGAAGACCTCTGTGTGTGTGTGTGTGTGTGTGTGTGTGTAACTCTGACTTTCAAATAAATAACTATATCTTTAAAAAAAGTCTGTTTAAATAATTTTTCTGTTATTAGATTATTTTCCTATTGTTAAATTTTTTATTGCTACTGTTTCAGATTTAACATTTATGACCCATTTTTCAAAAAAAAAATTGCGTCTATTTGAAAAGCAAAGATAGACAGGTAGACATATTTTCTATCCTCTGGTTCACTTCTCAAAGGCTTGCAATAGGCAGTCTGGGCCAGGCCAAAGCCAGGATTGCAGAACTCAATCTGGGTCTCTCACCTGGGTGACAGGAACCCAGGTACTCGAGCCATCTCCTGCTGCCTCTCCGCATATGCATTAGCAGGAAGCTGGAATTGAGAGCACAGCTGGATCTTGAACCCAGGCACTCTCCGATGGGATACGCGTGTCCCAAGCAGCACCCTAACAACTCTACCAAATGTCCACCTCTGATTTTTGTTTTGGTAAATTGGGATTACTCTTCTGTGTTACATGGCAATTAAGCTTTTCTAAAACTAAATTAAGACTTAGTAAACATTTCCAACATCTTTAATGGGTCTGTGCATTAAGTCCATACAAGTCCACTGACTTATTTGGAACAGGGTTTCTCAACTGTTTATATTAACAGTTGGAATAATTCTTTGTTTTGGGAGCTGTCCTGTGTATCATGAGATGCTTGAAGGGACCCCTGGCCTCTAACACTAGACACCGGTAGTACTACCTCTTTTTGAACAACCAAAAGTGTCTCCAGGCCTTGGTCCATTTCCCTAGGTAAGGAGTAGTAGTGTTAACCTGTGCCCTGATTGAGAATCACTGAACTAGATTGTTTTGTTGTTATTGTATTGGCTTTTCTGGATATTGCAGAGCTCAGAATTAAATACCTTGCCTAAAATCTGTATGAAAATCCAAAGAATAGCCAAGATATTTTTAAAGCAGCAGATCTGAGTGAGCAACTTGATTTACCAGATGTCATGATTGATTTTACAGGACATAAAGCTGCAATCATTAATAAAGTCTGATGATAGCACAGTGATAGGCCAGTGTTTTTTTTTAAGAGTTATTTATTTTACTTGAAAGTCAGAGTTACACAGGGAGAGGAGAGGCGCAGAGAGAGAGAAGTCTTCTATCGGCTGGCTCAACCCCCAATTGGCCACAACAGCCGGTGCTGCGCTGATCAGGAGCCAGGAGCTTCCTCCAGGTCTCCCATGTGGGTGCATGGGCCCAAGGACTTGGGCCTTCTTCCACTGCCTTCCCCGGGCCATAGCAGAGAGCTGGAAGTGGAGCAGCAGCTGAGACTCGAACCGGCACCCACATGGGATGCTGGCTCTGCATGCGGCGGGTTTACCTGCTACGCCACAGCACTGGCCCCAGACTAATGTCAATGTATAAAGAACCAAACTCAAGTTCCACATATATCTAGAAACTTTTTATTTTTATAGAAGTTCTCATGCAGAGCGTAGGGGAAAGGAGGGACTTTTCCATATGTAGTATTGGGACTGTTAGGTACCCATATGGTGAAAATTGACATTGGAAGCCTACTTTACACCAGGCACAAAAATCCATTCTAGGTAGATTAAAGATCTGCGTATTGAAGGCAAGGCTGTTAGGATTTTAGAATATAGTGCTTTTCAAACTACTTGTGTTCTTAAGACACCTAGGAAGAAACATAACTTGCAAATGGAACGGGATAGTGGATCAAGGAAGTTCTGGGTCTTTCATCCCTATTTTAGAAATTTGAAGCAGTATATATTTTTTTTAAAGTCCTCTGAAAAACTTTAAAAGCAATAGTGTGTGGCATAGATTCACTTCTGTGTTTGTGTAGGCCTAAACTTGCTTTTTGAAAAGTGTGTTGAGCTTGCTTATGTAGATTTTTCACCTTGTAAATAATATGTAGATCCTTTAAGATCAAGGACTGTTTGTTTTTCATGGAATCTGGCTATTGTATGAACTCAGTATAATAGATGAACTGTAAAATTAGTTCAAGCCGAGGATGTGCAAGGAACTTACAGTGAGGAGCAAAGGCGATGCTGCCTTTCCGAATTCTCACATAGGAAAAGGGAAAAACCAGTATATAGAAATAGTTAAGAACAGGGTTATAAACATTAAGGAAAAAGGAAATGTGTTTGCTGTGTTCCCGGGGTGTTGGGTTTGGCTGTGTGCCTAGGGGTTACACTCATAGACCTTAGAGTCAGCAGGACTCGGTCACATCCAGCTCTGCCACTTGAGCAGTCATGTGATGTTGGGCAAGTTAGTGACTTCTCATTTAGTGGTCAGATTGTCAAGTGGGGATAATTAACATTATCGGGTGATTAAAAAGTCACTGATGACTTTGACGATTAGCTTTCAGGATTGTAGTATTAAAAGATAGATTATATGAGTTTGACTCTAATCAATATTTTTAAGCCTAACGAAGATGAAGAAGCTTAATAGAAAAAAAGAAACAATTGAGACGACCTGTAAGAAAAGATTTCTTTTTTAATACAGAAGATGAGATGCCCGGTGTTTATTATATTGGCTTGGAAGTCGGGGGTAGGCACAGGAGACCCGGAAGGGGAGCTCAAGAGCCTGCAAAGAGAGAGAGGAAGAAATGAGAGGAGACTTTTAAAATGGGTCTTACCAAGTGATAATGAGAGATCGTGTTCACTCCCCAGATGGCTGCAACGGCCGGAGCTGCACCAATCTGAAGCCAGGAGCCAGGAGCTTCTTCTTGGTCTCCCATGCTGGTGCAGGGACCCAAGGACGTGGGCCATCTTCTACTGCTTTCCTGGGCCATAGCAGAGAGCTGGATCAGAAGTGGAGCAGCCGGGACTAGAACCGGCGCCAATATGGGATGCTGGTGCTTCAGGCCAGGGCGTTAACCCGCTGTGCCACAGCGCCAGCCCCGAAATATTTTTATTGAAATGAAATACAGTTTCCTGAGAGGATCTTAGAATTATATTTCTCAGACCTTGTTTTTGAAAGTAGGCTACAAAAACTAAATCTATTTAAAAAATCAATATTGGACTTCTCCTGTAAGAGGCATGTTCATCAAAAAGTTTGTTGTATCTGGTAAATTGGTAAAAAAGTCTTTTTGAAACATGTTCAGTGTTTCCTGTTTTAAACTGTGTTATGAAAATTTGACAAATATTTCATCTTGGTTTCAGTTTTCTTCTGTATTGATTTCCTAAGTTTAAGATTTTTATGCTAATTTTTTATGCTTACATAAGACTCTTCTGAAAAAAACACGTTGGCTGCAAAATTATCTGCCAAGAAACAGGCATCCAAATCCAGGGATGGAAATGATGACTTTCAAGTAGACAAGAAAAGAATTCGACCCTTGGAAACTGCACAGCAGGTAAACAGAATTTGTTGGCAGTGAAATAATCTTGTTAGTTAAAGTTAACTATGGGGGGCTGGTGCAATGGTGCAGTAGGAAATCTTCCGCCTGTGGCATTGGCATCCCATATGGGTGCTAGTCCCGGTTGCTCCTCTTCTGGGGTCCAGCAATCTGCTGTGACCCAAGAGGGCAGAGGAGGATGGCCCAGGTGCTTGGGCCCCTGCACCCACGTGGGAGATCTGGAAGAAGCTCCTGGCTCCTGGCTTCGGATTGGTGCAGCTCCGGCCATTGTAGCCATTTGGGGAGTGAACCAATGGAAGGAAGACCTTTCTCTCTCTCTCTCACTGTAATTCTACCTGTCAAATAAATAAATAAAAATCTTTTTAAAAAAAAGAAAGCTAACTATGTATAGTCAAGAATCAAGTTTTTTATTTATTTGAGAGGTAGAGTTATAGACATACAGAGGGAGAGACATAGAGAGGTCATCCATCCAGTGATTCATTCCCCAAATGGCTGCAATGGCCAGGAACTTCTTCCGGGTCTCCCATGTGGAAGTAGGAGTCCAAGCACTTGAGCATCTTTCACTGCTTTCCCAGGCCACCAGTAGGGATTGGAAGTGGAGCATCTGGGACTTGAACCAGCGCCCATATGGAATGCCAGTACCACAGGCAGAGGCTTAATCTGCTATGCCACGGGGCCAGCCCCAAGAATCAGGTTTTCATTGGCACTTCTGGAGATCAGTTGGGCAACATGACAGCAGTATATTAAATGACAGTATTGTAACTTCATTTTATATTTGTTACAAAAGAGTTATTACAGCATATTATTCACAGTAATGTCACTTAGGTGAAGCAGAATGGTGATTCTTTCAATATATGAGTAGTAGTTTTTTCTCCCACAGTTTCTAGTATTTATTTTTCTTGTCTTAGAGAGTACCATAGCTAATTGGAATTATTCCTCATGTACATTAAGACAGTAGGATATGGAGGAAAGAACATGGACCCTGGAGAAGTACAGATGTTCAAATCCTGGCTGTCATCATATGAGGAATTTGATAGTAAATTTTTAACTGAAGGTGTATTTTGGTAATACAGCTCTTTAACTTTTTAACCACTCCATTGTTTTTAATCTAATAATGGCATTTTCTTTTGGCCAAAATAACATTGATATGAATATTTATGTTATAGGCTCTTTGATATTAATAGTTTTAGCATAATGACAGTGCTTACTTTTACATACTGTGTTCTGAAGATGGATGGATGTGGCCCAATGTTGTGATACAGCAGGATGAGCCACTGATTACAACATTGACTGGAGTCCTGGCTTCCAATCCAGCTTCTTGCTATGCACCTGGGAAAGCAACAGAAGATGGCTCAAGTACTTGTCCAATTACGTGGGAGCCTCCAGTAGAATTCCAGGCTCCTGGCTTCAGCCTGGCCCAGCCTTGTAACTGTTTGGGGAGTGAACAGACAGATATGGAGGAGCTTTTTCTCTCTTTCCCTCCTTCTTTATCTGATATTCTGCCCTTCAAGTAAATGAATAAATCATAAAAAATTGATGATAAAATTTGTACATTTCTAAAAATTACTTAATGGTTGAAATTACCAGATGTTTTAATGAAGTATACTTTTTATAAATGAACATAATGTTTTCTCAGAATTCATGGCACTGAGGTTGGGGAGGCTGAGATTTTAACAGACTTAGTTGTAAATAAAAATAATTATTAACTGGCATGCCTTTTGTAGGTTTGTAATTTGGTGCTTTTAATTAAATGTATTTAAGGTGTACTTGGATTCTTATGTAGTTGTGTCGTTACATTGAAAATCTTTTTTAATTTTTATGATTAAGGCTTGGTTTTAGAAATAGAATAAACTAGTTTATTTAGAAGATTTTCTTTAAAGATTTATTTTTATATTTATTTGAAACCAGAGAGAGAGAAAAGATCTTCCATCTGCTGGTTTACTTCCAAAATGGCCACAACATCAAGGGCTGGGCGGGCTGAAGCCAGAAGCCAGGAGCTCCATCTGGATCTTCTGTGTGGGTGTCAAGGGCCCAAATACCTAAGCCGTCTTAGGCCGCTTTCCTAGGTGTTACTAGCGGTAAGCTGGGTTGGAAGTAGAACAACTGAAACTGGAGCTGGCACTCCGGTGTGGGATGCTGGCTTTGCAAGAGGAGTAAAAGTTCACTGCATCCCAATGCCAGTCCTCCTCACCCTGCCGCGCCACCAGTTTATTTTTGCAAAAGCACCAGTTACAAATGAAGTGCTTCTCTCTCCCCACCCCTTACTAGTATGTATGTAGAGTTGGATATTGTGAAGTCAGTCTAAACATAAAAATTTTATTCTCTGACTTCACTGGTTATCATTTTGTCTATAAGCAAGGAATTATCAGTATAAATGCTTTTTTCTCCCCTTATGACTTGAATAAATAAGTCTTTGGCAATTAGGAATAAGAATATATTCAGGAGCCAGCACTGTGGCTGCAGTGCCAACATCCCATATGGGCACTGGTTTGAGTCCCAGCTGCTCTACTTCTAATCCAGCTCTCTGCTATGGCCTAGGAACGCAATAAAAGATGGCTCAAGTCCTTGGGCTCCTGCACCTGTGCGGAAGACCTGGAAGAAGCTCCTGGCTTTTGATCTGCCCAGCTCTGGCTGTTGCAGCCACTTGGGGAGTGAACTAGTGGATGGAAGACCTCTCTCTCTCAGCCTCTGCCTCTCTGTAATGCTGTCTTTTAAATAAATAAATAAATCTTAAAAAAAAAAAAAAAAAAAAAAAAAGAGGGGCCAGTGCTGTGGTGTAGCAGGTAAAGCTGCCACCTGCTGTGCCAGCATCCCATATGGCCGCTGGTGCAAGTCCCAGCTGCTCCACTTCCAATCCACTTCTCTGCTGAGGCCTGGGAAAGCAGTGGAGGATGGCCCAAGTACCTGGGCCCCTGTGCCTATGTGGGAGACCCGTAAGAAGCTCTTGGCTCCTGGCTTCAGATCCGCGCAGCTCCGGCTGTTGGGGCCAATTGGAGAATGAACCAGTGGATGGAGGATCCCTCCCTCCCTCTCTCCCTCTCTCCCTCTCTCCCTCCTCCCTCTCTCCCTCTCCCTCTCCTCTCTCCCTCTCTCCCTCTCTCCCTCTCTCTCTCTCTCTCTCTTTCTGTGCCTCTCCTTCTTTCTGTGTAACTCTGACTTGCAAATAAATAAATTAATCTTTTTAAAAAAATTATTATTACCAGTTAGAAAGCTTTTTTGTTTTCGGATGTGTAAAAAAAGCTGTTTTGATGTTCTATAACATAACTAGACTGTCAGACTTTTTAGTTTACATTAAAGTTCATTTTGTTTCTGTGTTTACAGATTAGAAAACGTCATTGTTTTGAAAAGGAAGAAATTCATTTGAATGCAAAAGTTGTTTCAGAAGAGACCGTAACACTTAACTCTCCATCAGAAAAGATAAACTCCTTTTCACCACAAAATGTATGTATGTATGTATGTGATTATTCAGTTTAAAGAAGGAAACTGGGATTTTTTAAATCCATTCTTGAAGAAAGAGAAGAAAAAAGCTTGGAAGTCCTATGCTGTATCATACCTCTGCTACTGATATGTGAGATGGTAAACAGTGTACTGTATGCCTCAGATCCTCATCTATAAAATGAAAGAATTAGATTAAAGAGAGATCTGAAAATTATTTTTTTCAATTTAAAATATTCTAATGTTTGTGAACTCCAAGAGTGTCCTAGGGCAGTGGTTTTCAAGGAGGAATCCTAGGGACTATAGAGACTCCTGATGTGTTTTTTGGGTTGTCCTTGAGATTAAAAGTATTTACATAATAGTATTATTATGTTAGTTGCCTCTTTTATTGTCCTGACATTTGTACTGGCAGTGCAGAAAATATTAATAAAACTGTAACCAAATCATGTTGATGGTACTTCTCTTTACCATCTATTTATAGTTTAAAAAAAGTCCATTTTACTTAAGAATGTCCTTAATGAAGCAGTAAAAATGAGTTAAATTATTAAATTTTAGCCCTTGAGATATTTAATATTCTGTGTGAGGAAGTGAGTAGTGCTCATAAAACTTGCATACATAAATAGGGTGGGTGTCTTGAGGAGAAGCACTTGTGGGGTAGTTTGGATTGTGATCTGAGCTAGCCGCTTTATACTATGCTTGATAATTGTTGATGATAAATGGAGTGAGGTTGATAAAATTTGAGTGTTTTAATGGAAATCAGAAATTAGAAAAGTCTGTAATTGCTGTAAGCATGCAGCTTTCTGATATTTACAGACTTTTTTGGTTAAATTGCTAGTGATATCGCAGAGTATAACTTTTTGCTGTGTATAATGAAATATGTCAGCATTTCCAAGAGCTATAAACTCAGTGAGCTTGATGTCATGCAAATGACCAGTACATGATATTACAAAGATATCTGGAAAACCTTCATTCTAAGTGCACGACAGACCTGTAGCTGTTTTTTCTCTGCCCCATCACCCCATCCCTAGGCCTCTGTGTTTTTGTCATCAGTTACTATAGATTTAGTTTGCGTTTTCTTGTTGATCTTACAGAAGCCTTAGAGTTTGAGAAGTCATGTAGGAGTTTCTAAAGTTAAATTGTTAATCATCATCATTGTAATATGTGATAGATGTTTGAATCTGCCTGTTTTTTCTTGTTTTCTTTCATGGGACCTTATTTTTTTTGGTGGCTGTACTGTTAGTATGAATTCGTATACATACTTATTATCTATTTGCTGTATAAGAATGTAGTGTCGGCTGGCGCCACGGCTCACTTAGCTAATCCTCTGCCTGCTGTGCCGGCACCCCAAGTTCTTGTCCTGGTTGGGGCGCTGGATTCTGTCCTGGTTGTTCCTCTTCCAGTCCAGCTCTCTGCTGTGGCCTGGGAAGGCAGTGGAGGATGGCCCAAGTGCTTGGGCCCCTGCACCTGCATGGGAGACCAGGAGGAAGCACCTGGCTCCTGGCTTTGGATTGGTGCAGCGCGCCAGCCATAGTAGCCATTTTGGGGGTGAACCAACGGAAGGAAGACCTTTTTCTCTCTCTCTCACTGTCTAACTCTGCCTGTCAAAAAAAAAAAAAAAAAAGAATGTAATGTCTATCTCTTTCATGTGGATCTTTAGTGCCTAGAACAGCATATATCACATATTAGTTACCTAGTAAATAATTTTTTTAAAGATTTCTTTATTTATTTGAAAGGCAGAGTTACAGAGAGACAGAAAGAGAAAGAGAGAGAGGTCTTCCATCTGCTGGTTTACTCCCCAAATGGCTGCAAAGGCTGGAGCTAGACCGATCATGAGCCACGAGCTTCTTCAGGGTCTCCCATGCAGGTACAGGGGCCCAAGGACTTGGGCCATCTTCTGCTGCTTTCCTGGGCCATAAGAGAGCTGATGGGAAGTGAAGCAGCCAGTACCCGAACTAGCACCCATAGGGGATGTCGGCACTGCAGGCAGCAGCTTTACCTGCTACGCCACAGCGCTGGTTGTCTTAGTAAATATTTGTTTGTGGAATCTTAGTGAATTTTTTTTAAGGATTTATTTATTTATTCACTTGAAAGGCAGAATTTACAGGGAGAGAAAGAGAGAGAGAGAGAGAGAGCGCGCGCGCGCAGCTGGTTCACTCCCCAAGTAGCTAAAATGGCTGGGACTGGGCCAAGCTGAAGCCAGAAGCCTGGAACCTTGTCCTGGTCTCCCATGTGGGTGACAGGGACTCTAGCACTTGGGCCATCTTCTGCTTTCCCAGGCACATTAGCAGGGAGCTGGATCAGAAGCAGAACTGGGGTTCTTATGGGACGCAGGCAGTAGCTTAACCTGTTATACCACAACACCGACCCCCTGTTCAAATTTTCAAAAAATTATTTTAAATTTTCATTTGAGAGACAGAGAAACACCGAGACAGAACTTCTATCTGTGCCCAAAATGGCCAGGGATGGACTAGGGCTGGGCTGGAAACTCAGTGCAGGTCTCCCACATGGATGATAGGAACCCAGTTACCTAAGCCATTGTCACTGTTTCCTAGAGACTCAATTAACAAGATGCTGGAGTCTAGAGTTGCAGCCAGATATAGAACGTTTTTTTTTTTTAAAGAATTATTTTATTTATTTGAAAGACAGTTACAGAGAAAGGTAGAGCCAAAGAGAGAAAGGTCTTCCATTCTGCTGAACCAATTTTTTTTTTTTTTTTTTTTTTTTTATTAAAGACATTTATTTGAAAGGCAGAGTTACAGTGAGAAGTAGAGAGACAGAGAGATCTTCCATCTGCTGGTTGTCTCACCGAATGGCCAGGACTGGACCAGGCTGAATCTAGGAGCTGCTTCTGTGTCTCCCACTTAGATAGCAGGGGGCAGCATACTTGGACCATCTTCTGCTGCTTTCCCAGGCATGTAAGAAGGGAACTGGGGGGCCGGTCCTGTTGGTGTAGCAGGTAAAGCCACCAACTGCAGTGCCGGCATCTCATATTGGGGTTAGTTCGAGTCCTGGCTGCTCCTCTTCCGATCCAGCTCTCTGCTATGGCCTAGGAAAGCAGTAGAAGATAGCCCAACTCCATGGGCCCCTGCACCTATATGGGCGACCTGGAAGAAGCTCCTGGCTCCTGGTTTCACATTGGCTCAGCTCCATTGCGGTCATTTGAGGATTGAACTAGCGGATAGAAGACCTCGCTCTCTCTCCCTATCTCTTCCTCTTTCTCTGTAATTCTTCCCTTCAAGTAAAAAAAATAAATCTTAAAAAATAAATAAAAAGAAGAAGAAGGGATCTGCATCAGAAGAGTAGCAGCCGGGACACAAACTGGAGCCCAAATGGAGTGTAGACATCGCAGGCAGCCACTTAACCCACTATACCCAATGCTGGCAAGGGACAGGTCTTCACTAAATGCTGCCATGTAGTTCCTATCTTTAAATGTTGCTAAAAGGTTTATAGTTGAGTAAAAGCTTAGTTTAATAATCTGTTAAAGTTGTTTATGGCTAAAAGCTATGTAGAGTCTAGACAACTTGGCAGTAAGCAAAGCTGTTGTGCTGAGTACTTGAATTTTAAGCTAAGTGCTTTCATTGATTTCTCTCTTTGGTTATGTAGTATATTGACATGCTGATCATATAGTATGGTCTTGTCATTGTTAAAACATAACTTAGCTGTACATCTGTATGTCTGTATGTTTATATCAGTTTTATTTTTAAACCATAAGTACGTATTTTCTTTCTTGGCTCAAGCTGGCAAAATTCCATATTCCTATAGAAATGAATAATTGTTCTTTTAAATTTTTAAAAAAGATTTTATTTATTTATCTGAGAATTATAGACCAGTGAGAGAGGGAGACAGAGAGAGGTCTTCCATCTGCTGGTTCATTCCCCGAGTGGATGCAATGGCCGGAGCTGAGTGATCCAAAGCCAGGAGCCAGGAGCTTCTTCCAGGTCTCTCACATGGGTGCAGGGGCCCAAGCGCTTGGGCCATCTTCTACTGCTTTCCCAGGCCATAGCAGAGAGCTGGATCAGAAGAGGAGCAGCTGTGACTAGAATGGTGCCCATAAGGGATGCCGATGCCACAGGCAGAGGATTAACCTGTGCAATAACGCCAGCCCCAGAATAATTGTTCTTAAGTGGGTGATTTATTACTCATAATGTTAATGGTTTAAGTTTCTGACAGTTTCTTGTAAGTTTGATGATTTATTGAACAAATTTCCTTATTAAATCTAGTAAGTCAAGTGACACAGAACTTCTGTGTATTAAGACATAAATGATATATGCCATGTATGAAGTAAATTTAATGGACATCAAAACATTTTTGCAGTACAAGAAGTATTTTCTTGGTAGTCTATAATAAAAAGCATGAATACATAAAGTAATTTTATGTACTTTCTGAATAGCAGAGAACTCCATAAATACTTAAGTAAAATGATCTATATAGTTTTTTAGAGCACCAAGGTCAATCATCTTTATGGAAATATTATAAGAAAGAATGGGAATATGAGTAGAAATAATAGATTTACAGAATGGTATCTTTTGGCCAGTATGGTACAGGAGGCTGAGCTGCCACCTGTGACACAAGCACCCTTTTTATGGTACCAGTTCCAATCTTGGTTGCTCTTCTTCCAATCCAGTTCCATGTTGGTTCACCTGGAAATGCAATGGAAGATGGCCCAGGTGCATGGGCCCCTGCTGCCCATATTAGAGACCGGAATGGATTTCCAGGCTCCTGGCTTCAGCCTGGCTCAGCCCTGGCCATTGCAGCATTTGGGGAATGAACCAGAGGAAGATCTCTCTTTCTCCCTCTCTCGCTCTGCCTTTCGAATGGATGAATTGAATCTGTAGAGGTGGGGGGGGAGGGTTTGGCTGTCATAAAGGAGTGTGTTTTTCTTTTAGGAACTTGTTTGATTTCTGGTATAACATTTCTGAGTCTTTTGCAAAGTGATTATTATTAATCATAAAAATATTTTCTCTAGATTTTCGAATAGGTAATTTGATAAAGAAGTAGAAAAAAGTTCCATACATTTTCATTTCACAAATTTTTTTTTTTATTTGACAGGTAGAGTTAGAGAGAGAGAGAGACAGAGAGAAAGGTCTTCCTTCCGTTGGTTCACTCCCCAAATGGCCGCCATGGCCAGAGCTATGCCGATCCAAAGCCAGGAGCCAGGTGCTTCCTCCTGGTCTCCCATGCGCATGCAGGGACCCAAGCACCTGGGCCATCCTCCACTGCACTCCCGGGCCGCAGCAGAGAGCTGGATTGTAAGAGAAACAACCGGGACGAGAACCTGGCGCTTATATGGGATGCCAGTGCTGCAGGCGGAGGATTAACCAAGTGAGCCATGGCGCCGGCCCCACAATTTTTGCTATTATGTAGTAGCTTTAGAAATTAATTTATCTTCAAAATTTTGTATATAGTAATTGAGAAAATGAAGTCCATCTTTTAAAAATTTTGCTTATGTTGACAGATCATATGTCTCACCTTTCATCTGTAATATTTTAATTTAGGCCATCTAAAAATCTTGAATAAAATAAATTGGAGGACTTAGGTAAATAACGTATCTCTTTTTAAAACCTGTTCCTTGGGGCTGGCATTATTGTCTCAACAAGTGAAGCCGCTGCTTGCAGTGCTGGTATCCCATGTGGGCCCCAGTTGGTGTCCTGGTCTCTCCGCTTTTAATCATGCTGCCTGCTAATGCACCTGGAAAAGCAGTGGAAGGTAGGCCAAGTGCTTAGGCCCCTGCTACTCTCAAGGGAGATCCCGATGAAGCTCTTGGCTTCCGTGTGGCTCAGCCGGCGCCGTTGCAGGTATTTGGAGAATGAACCAGCAGATGGAAATTGCCTGTCTGTAACTCTGCCTTTCAAATGAATAAGTCTTTAAAAAAAAACAAAACGCAAAATGGAAGGAAAACATGGGTGGGACTAGATTGAATAATAACGTGTATCTCATTGAGCTCTAATGTTTTCAGATTCTAAGGATACTGTTCCCATTGTGGATATTACTGAACGATAGGAGAAACTTCAGATGGTGTTTATTTTCAGAAGCATATTTATTTATTTGGATTCATGAATTAATTATTTAGTTCTGTTCCTTATGAAGACACAAAGTATATATATATATATTTAAAATATTTATTTATTTTATTTGAAAGGCAGAGTTACAGGGAGGCAGAGAGAGAGAGAGGTCTTCCATTCACTGGATCATTCCTGAGATGACCACAAGAAGCCAGGAGCTTCTTTGTGCTCTCCCATGTGGGTGCAGGGGCCCAAGGACTTGGGCCATCCATCCTCCACTGCTTTCCCAGGCCATAGCAGAGAGTGGATCGGAAGTGGAGCAGCCTGGACGTGAACTGGGTTCCATATGGGATGCCGACGCTGCAGTCAGTGGCTTTACCCACTACGCCACAGCACCGACCCCTAAATTTTATATTCTTAGTACTGTTCAAACTGGTAGTTACGTAATTCTGGACAAACTTTTTAAGTTAGTTGGGTAATTAGTTTAATGCTCTCATCAATTAATTAAATTAGTTTAAATTCTCTTGGATTTGACACTAAGCTTTTTGAATTTTTCTTTTGGATTTTTAAAGTTTTTATTAAAGTAATTTAGTTTACAAACTGTGGATTAGAAAATTAGGTGGTTGTCTTTTTAGTTTAAGATTTATGCATTGGGAAGAGTGAGAGAGAGGGACAAATATCTTCCATCCATTAGTTCACTCCTGCAATACTTGCAACAGCCAGACCAGGCTGAAGCCAAGAGCTTGGAACTCCTTTCAGTTCTCCCCATGGGTGGCAAGGACCCAAGTCCTTGGGCCATCTCCTGCTGCTTTCCCATGCACATTAGCAGGGAGCTGGATTGAAAGCAGAACATCTAGAACTTGCACTGGCACACCAGACAGAGGATTCTGGCTGGCAGATGGCAACTTAACCCACCGTGCCAAAAACACTGGCCCCGGTAGTTGTCTCTTTCTCTGTCATCGCCAGGCTCTTTACTCTGTTTTCAAGTTAGAAAATAGTGTCAAAATCTTCTTTATTTGAGTAATCTTCTCGTGTCCACCACTTGTTCTCTTTGTTTAGATTCATTTTTTATACTGATAACTCTTATGTCAGCAGTCTGGTGATGCATGGTGATGTTACTTTGTTCTGCCAGTTACAATATTTTTCTTAAGAATTTATTTGTATTTTATTAATTATATTAGGATATCCTCATAAGAAGTTTTTTTTTTTTTAATTTATTTATTTGAAAGTCAGAGTTACACAGAGAAGGAGAGGCAGAGAGAGAGAGAGGTCTTCCATCTGCTGGTTTACTCCCCAGTTTGCTGCAATGGCCGGAGCTATACTGATCCGAAGCCAGGAGCCAGGAGCTTCCTCCGGGTCTCCCACATGGGTGCAAGGACCCAAGGAGTTAGGGCATCTTCCACTGCTTTCCCAGGCCATAGCAGAGAGCTGGATCAGAAGTGGAGTAGCCGGGACTCAAACCGGCGCCCATATGGGATGTGGGCACTGCAGCTGGTGGCTTTACCTGCTGTGCCACAGCGCCATCCCCTATAACCACTCTTTGTTTATTTATTAAATAAATGCTAATGTTCTTTATATATCCTTCAGTAAAAGTAATTTTATCTGATGTAGTATAGCAAGTTTTTTTCATTCCTTTTCTCTATTGTGTAGAAGAGGCATAGATCCAGCAGAGTGCGCTGTTGATCTTCTGATAGAGTGTTGGTGTTGGGCAGCTTTGGGCTGGTTTTTTTTTTTTTCCTTCCCAGTCCTTCTTTTTTTCTTTTTAATATTTAAAATATTTTTTGTATTGAGGAGAAAATAACCAATTTTATCAGTATTTTGGAAGTCATTTTCTCATGGTTTTAATTTATTTTTAACATTATCACATACATATGGTAAATAAAATGATTATCTGCCATTTTCCCAAACAGTTAAGAAATACTAATTATCTGACAAATACAGGCTCATGAATTAATGCTGATTGTCAAATTCTTTTAACTTTTCTTTGGGTTTGACTCTTTGCAGAATAAAAAACAAATTTTTTTAAGATTTTAATTTTTAAAATGCTAATTAGTTTTAACAGATTCAGTATGTTTCCCATATCAATTCTATGAATATGATGATAATCCCCCCTTCTTCCCTCCAGACCAGCCCTGGTTGTTAAGCTATTTGGGGAGTGAACCAGCAGGTGGAAGATCTCTTTCTCTCTCTGTCTCTCCCTCTGTGTCACTTTGCCTTTCAAATAAATAAAATAAATCTTAAAAACAAAACCAAACAAACCTGGGGCTGGCGCTGTGGCATATCAAGTAAAGCCACCGCCTGCAGTACTGGCATCCCATATGGGCGCTGGTTTACATCCCGGCTGCTCCACTTCCGATCCAACTCTCTGCTATGGCCCGGGAAAGCAATAGAAGATGTCCCAAGTCCTTGGACCTGTGTGGCCGCATGGGAGACCCAGAAGAAGCTCCTGGCTTCTGGCTTTGGATTGACAGAGCTTTGGCCATTGTGGCTATCTGGGGAATAAACCAGCAGATGGAAGGCCTCCCCTGCCCCGATCCCCCTCTGCCTCTGCCCCTCTGTGACTCTGCCTAGCAAATAAATAAATAAATCTTTAAAAAAAAAGTGCTCCATCCGCTGATAGGATTATGTGATTTTTTTTCTGATATCCTCTTGATAAGATGAATTGCATTGATTTTTTTTCTTTTGCTTCAAAAATTGACATTCATTCAAAGGAAAAAAAAATTACAAGATGTTCATCTCTTTGCTCCCTCTGCTCCCTGCTCCTGCTTCTCTTCAGTTATACAAGACTAAACCCCAGGGGAGCTAGGTAGCAGGACAGCCTCTACAGATGAGGTCAGCAACATTGAGGGGCATGTCCTTAATAGAGGTGTTGTAGAAAGTCTTAGTGTCTCAAAGAGTCCTCTTGTCTTCTTCAGTTACCATATATTAATAGCCACAAACTTGGCTCACTAGGCTAATCTTCCGCCTGCGGTGTTGGCACCCCGAGTTCTAGTCCCAGCTGGGGTGCCGGTTCTGTCCCGGTTGCTTCTCTTCCAGTCCAGCTCTCTGCTGTGGCCTGGGGAGACAGTGGAGGATGGCCCAAGTGCTTGGGCCCTGCACCTGCATGGGAGACCAGGAGGAAGCACCTGGCTCCTGGCTTCGGATCAGTGTAGTGCGCCAGCCGTAGCAGCCATTTTGGGGGTGAACCAATGGAAGGAAGACCTTTATCTCTCTCTCACTGTCTAACTCTACCTGTCCAAAAACAAAAACAAAACCATAAACTTACTACAAAAGCGTCTACAACAGCCAATTATTTAAATATTTTTTTCTGTCTTGATGGGAAGGTCATAGTTGATGATTAAAGAAACTTGTTGCACATCAGTGACTCTGCCTATGTAGAGAGAGAGAGAGAGAATTCAGTGCCGAGGGAGGAGAGCGCACATAATCCATCCAGAAGGGGCTTAGTGGGTACATGTAGGCAGCCCAAGGAAGGCAAAGAAGCAAACATTCCTTTGTTCCCTAGAGCCCTTGGGTATGCTGGATTTTCTTCCAAGTTGCTACTTTCCTGAAAAAGGCCCCAATCACCTTGTACTATTGATTTTTTTTTTTTTTGACAGGCAGAGTTAGACAGTGAGAGAGAGAGACAGAGAGAAAGGTCTTCCTTTGCCGTTGGTTCACCCTCCAATGGCCGCCGTGGCTGGCGCGCTGCGGCCGGCGCACCGCACTGATCCGATGGCAGGAGCCAGGAGCCAGGTGCTTTTCCTGGTCTCCCATGGGGTGCAGGGCCCAAGCACCTGGGCCATCCTCCACTGCACTCCCTGGCCACAGCAGAGGGCTGGCCTGGAAGGGGGGCAACCGGGACAGAATCCGGCGCCCCAACCGGGACTAGAACCCGGTGTGCCGGCGCCGTTAGGCAGAGGATTAGCCTAGTGAGCCGCGGCGCCGGCCTTTTTTTTTATTTTTTGACAGGCAGAGTGGACAGTGAGATAGAGAGACAGAGAGAAAGGTCTTCCTTTGCCATTGGTTCACCCTCCAATGGCCACTACGGCTGGTGCGCTGCGGCCGGCGCACCGCGCTGATACGATGGCAGGAGCCAGGTGCTTCTCCTGGTCTCCCATGGGGTGCAGGGCCCAAGCACTTGGGCCATCCTCCACTGCACTCCCTGGCTACAGCAGAGAGCTGGCCTGGAAGAGGGGCAACCGGGACAGAATCCGGCGCCCCGACCGGGACTAGAACCCCGTGTGCTGGCGCCACAAGGCAGAGGATTAGCCTAGTGAGCCGCAGTGCCGGCTAGTTTATTTCATTTATTTCTTTTATATATATATATATATTTTTGACAGAGTGGACAGTGAGAGAGAGAGACAGAGAGAAAGGTCTTCCTTATTGCCGTTGGTTCACCCTCCAATGGCCGCCACAGCCAGCGCGCTGGGGCCGGCGCATTGCGCTGATCCGATGGCAGGAGCCAGGTGCTTCTCCTGGTCTCCCATGCGGGTGCAGGGCCCAGCACTTGGGCCATCCTCCACTGCCCTCCCGGGCCACAGCAGAGAGCTGGCCTGGAAGAGGGGCAACCGGGACAGAATCCGGCTTCCCGACCAGGACTAGAACCCAGTGTGCCGGTGCTGCAGGTGGAGGATTAGCCTATTGAGCCGCGGCGCCGGCCTCTTTTTTTTATATTTTTATATACTTATTTTTGACATACACAAACACATCTGAAGATCTCTCATTAGTGTTTCTTAATTGTCATTATAGAGATCTTTCACATCCTTGGAATTTTATTGTCTTGGTAAAAGTCATGAATGGGATTTCTTTTATAATTTCTTTTCCAATAAGTTTGTCATTGGTCTATAAAAATGCTACTAGATTTTGTATCTTGCAGCCTTACTTAAATTTATCAATTCCTGTAGACTTGGTGGATTTTAGGTTTTTCTCTATATAGATAATCATCTACAAACAGGAATGATTTGAGTTTCTTCTTTGCTGTTTATGTTTTTTTTTTTTTTAAAGATTTATTTGAAAGCTAGAGTTACAGAGAGAGAGAGAGGAGAGACAGAGATCTCCCATCTGCTGGTTCACTCTCCAAATGGCCACAACAGCCAGGGCTGGGCCAGGCTGAAACCAGGAGCAAGGAGCTTCATCAGGGTGTCCCATGTGGGTCCAGGGATCCAAGCTCTTGGGCCATCCTCTGCTGCTTCCCCAAGCACATTAGCTGGGAGCTGTATCGATTGTGGAATAGCTGGGACTCAAGCTAATGCCCATATGCGATGCTGGCCCTGTAGATACTACCGTGCTGGACCCTAGAGAGAAAAAGAGAATTATCTTCAAGAATTAATATTAAACTGTGGAAATGAATATTTTTCAGTTTTGATTATTAGGTTATATTATACTAATAGATATCCTGATCATAAGTTATTCTTTTGTTTGAGGCTTTTTGGTTATTTCTATGTATATGTGTATGTGTGTGCGTGGATGCAGCAGTCCTGATTGCTTTAACACTTAGAATTCATTGTTTTATTATTCATTAGTGAGATGTGCTTTGTTGTATTTTTTTTTTTTTTTTGACAGGCAGAGTGAACAGTGAGAGAGACAGAGAGAAAGGTCTTCCTTTGCCGTTGTTTCACCCTCCAATGGCCGCCGCGGCTGGCGCGCTGCGGCCAGCGCACCGCACTGATCCGATGGCAGGAGCCAGGTACTTCTCCTGGTCTCCCATGGGGTGCAGGGCCCAAGCACTTGGGCCATCCTCCACTGCACTTCCTGGCCACAGCAGAGAGCTGGCCTGGAAGAGTGGCAACCGGGACAGAATCCAGTGCCCCGACCGGGACTAGAACCCGGTATGCCAGCGCCGCAAGGTGGAGGATTAGCCTAGTGAGCCGCGGCGCCGGCCTGTATTTTGATAAGAAGTTTATCTATAAAAAATTATAAAGAAGTTTATCTAGGTTTAGTTTAGGATCAGTATTGTATGGGATTATAAAAAATTCTGGGGGGTAGTGCTGTGGCGTAGCAGATAAAGCCACAGCCTGCAGTGCCGGCATCCCTTATGGGCGCTGGTTCTAGTCCCAGTTGCTCCACTTCTGATCCAGAAAGCAGTAGAAGATGACCCAATTCCTTGAGCCCCTGTACTCGTGTGGGGGACCCAGAAGAAGCTCCTGGCTCCTGCCTTTGGATGGCTCAGCTCTGGCGACTGTGGCCATTTGTGGAGTGAACTAGTGGATGGAGGATCTCTCTATCTCTCTGTCTCTGCCTCTCTGTAACTGTGCCTTTCAAATAAATAAAAGAAATATTTTTAAAAAAATTTAGAAGTTTTCCTTATTTATTTATTTATTTTTTGAGTTACAGAGGAAGGGAGAGACAAAGAGAATGGTCTTCTTTCTACTGGTTCACTCTCCAAATGGCCACAATGGTCAGAACTGGGCCAATCCCAAGCCAGGAGCTTCTTCCCTGTCTCCCAAGCGCGTGTAGAGGCCCAAATACTTGGTTCATCTTTTACTGCTTTCCTAGGCCATAAGCAGGAAGCAGAGAGCTGGATCAGAAGAAGAGCAGCTGGGATTAGAACCTTTGCCCATATGGGATGCCAGCACCGCAGGTGGAGGCTTAGCCCACCACGCCACAGCACTGGCCCCAGCTTTACTTGTTTTAAAGACTTGAATTAAGGAAACTTCATATACAGAGAGAGGAGCGTGTAATGAACCCCCTTGTGCCTATCACTCAGCTTTAACAATTTTCAGTATTTTGCAAATTTATGTCCTGTATTTGTTTTATTTATGTGCTGCCTTTTTTTTTTCTTTTCTTTTTTTGAGAGGATGGCTGGAAGAAAGGTGAAGGACTAGAATTTTTTTTTAAGATTTATTTATTTATTTGAAAGGCAGAGTTGCAGAAAGAGAGAAGTCCTCTATCCACTGGTTCACTCCCCAAGTGGCTGCAAAAGCCAGAGCTGGGCTGATCCAAAGCCAGGATCCAGGAGTTTCTTCAGGGTCTCCCACATGAGTGCAGGAGTCCAAGGACTTGGACTGTCTCCCACTGCTTTCCCAGGCTATAACAGAGAGCTGGATCAGAAGTGGAGTAGCTGGGATATGAACCAGTGCCCATGTGGGATGCCGACACTGCGGGTGGTAGCTTTGCCCGCTACGCCACAGCAGGGCTCCAAGGACTAGAATATGTTAAAGCAAGTATCAGATAACTTACCTATTCACTCATAAATAATTGAGTACATATTTGTAACAGATAATACCTTTCGGAAAACGTAGCAAGGACTGGGTGGGCGTTTGCTGCAGAGGTTAAGCTGCCACTTGGGCTTTCTGCATTCCCTAGCAGAATCAGCTCTGCATTCAACTTCTTATTACTGCTGTGCACCCTGGGAGGCAGAGGTGATGGCTCACGTAGATAGGACTCTGCCGCCCACATCGGAGACCTGGATCAAATTCTCGGTTCCTGGCTTTAGCATCATCCAGGTAGTTTGGTCCCTGCCACATATGTGGGAAAGCTGGATTAAGTTCCTGGCTCGTGAATTTGGCCTGGCCCAGCCCTGGCTATGCCAGGCATTTGGGGAGTGAACAGATGAGAGATTACTTTTTTTTTTTCACATATTTAATAAAAAATAAAAATTTCAAAACATAGTGACATTTTAAACATAGCATTCCCATAGGTAGAAAATTAACAGCAATTTAATTTGTCTAATACTCAGTCTCCGTGGTTTAATTGTTTGAAAACTGACGTTTTAGGGTTGCTTTTTAAAAGTCACAGTCCAAACACGGTACATGCATGTTGCTTAAGAGAAATGTCATTTATTTATTGAAAAAACACGTCTTTTTTCCTAAAGGATTTACCCTGTTCAAGATTTGGTCAGTTGTATTCTCATGGTGTCATTTAAGATAGTCCTCTAGTCCCATATTTCCAGTCAAATAGATGTAAAGTTCGAGTTAGATTCAGGTTTGGTTTTGTTGTTGTTTCCTTGAATAACACATGGATAGTGCTGCATGATTACTGTTGTATCACTCAGGAGACAAATAATGTCCATTTGTTTCTTTGTGTAATGATAGATCAAGAGCATATCTTCATGTTATTTAATATGCTTCTATGACATTTTTAGTGACTGTGTTGCATTCTGTTGAATAGCTTTTCTGTACCTTGTTTGTAATCTCCCTTGACTAGATGTTTAAGGGAGTATTCATTTGTTATACTAGTTTTTAGTAGATTTTATTATATTAAAAACTTATGGACTTCTTCAGTTTAAAGAAATAGTGTCTTTTTTTATGACAGTTTCAGACCCTCCACTCTTTTTACCAATTGAATTTTTAGTCTCTAAGGGCTTTTTCTTATGCTGTAATTGTTTGCTTGAAATTATTTTCCTGGACTATAGCAATGAAAATATACTTCTGTTTTAAATGGCTCCTAAATTATATGTGTTTCCTCCAGAGCAAATTTGCATTTTCTTCCTTTCTCTTTTACCCTCTTAATTTTGTCATATGTTGATCATCCTTGATTGTGGTTCACATTTAAGGCAGAAAAAATATTTAATTCCCTGCTACTCTATTCTCCCATGTCTTTTTCTTTTTTAAGATTTATTTATTATTTAAAAGTCAGAGTTACACAAGAGAG